CCGACTTTAAGGGACACCTAGGGTCTTAAGCGTGACACTTAAGCGGTGGTGAAAACGAAACTAGCATTTAAAGCTTTTTTCGGTCTCCCTTAAAATTAGGGATCAATGGTGAAACCGGGCATTAGACTTCTATATTTATAAGACTGACGTTTGTGGTTTCATACAAAAATGTGTAGTGTACTGTAGATTTTCTAATTATGTATCAGTGTCGTAGATAAAAAACGCGGACAAATAGCCAGTGTGTGTTATTATCAATCGAAACGGTATCAAAGGGAACTCTCCCTTATAGAGAGGAGACGATTAATTAATATAAAGCGACGTTTATTATCGACTAAGGTATGAATGGATGTATCACTACATAGTTTAAAACAAAGTCGTCCCTCTGTCTGTCTGTCCCTATGACTGTATGCTTAGATCTTTAAAACTACGCAACGGATCTTGATGCGGTTTTTTAACTAGATACAATGATTCGAGAGGAAGGTTTATATCTATAACCCATTGTACTCGTGCGAAGCCAAAGCGGGTCGCTAGTTGTCGTATAATTTGCAACTCGGTAACAACTGGATCAACAAAAAATTATCGCTGACAAATATTATTATACAGCTGTTATATTCTTACCTTGTTTTTACCCCTGTGTACAGGACGACTTTGGTCAGTATTTGCTCTTATCTTATTATAACGGTCAGGCGTTGAAGATATGTAAAGTCTGCTATGTATGCACTGTGACTATTTGCCAATACCGTCCGTATTGCAGAGAACTTTTCTCGCTAGTGGAACACACTACACCTAGGACATCTAATAGTTAAATCTCATATACTCTCGATGGCATGGATGGTACACAGGGTGTTGGTTTCCAACGAACTGTCACAGAGTGCTAAATTGCTCATGGCTCAATCTAAGCGATAAAAAGTTGTCGGTTGTTCAACAGAAGTTTTTGTATTTTTTTTTTATTTTTTCCTGTTCATTAAAAAGGAGACTGACGGCAAAAAGTAAACATTAAAATGGAAGCATTCAGCTTATACGAGGACCCATGCAAATGTTATCTGCATTGCAAGGAAATTAGCATTTCATTTATACATGAACGAGAGAACTATCTATATATCTTTATCAGATTCAGCGTTCCGAGTGCAAAAAGTCCTAAATATATTTTTAGACACAAACAAGTATTACATCATAACATATAAGCTACATGGATCATTCATATAATGATCGCGATGACATGTATGTCACTAATAATGATATTTTATTAAATGGTAACCAAGACAAATAATTGTCAAAAACCTACTTTTCGAATAGAAAAATTATAAGAAGAAATACTTTAATGGTCATACATATGAAGTTTAAATAGTAAAACTTAGAAATATTTTTATGTCTGTGTCATCATCATCATCATCATCATTTCAGCCTGTTTGAGTCCACTGCTGAACATAGGCCTCCCCCATAGACTGCCACGAAGTACGATCCTGAGCCACCTGCATCCATCGACTTCCCGCACATTTGCACAGGTCGTCACTCCATCTAGTGGGGGGTCATCCTACACTGCGATGGCCAGTACGAGGCTGCCACTCGAGAACCTTTCTTCCCCAACGGTTATCGGTTCTACGAGCTATATGGCCGGCCCATCGCCACTTCAGCTTGCTAATCCTCTGAGCTATGTCGGTTACCCTCATATATGGAAGTCCAAGGTGTCTGTGTAGTTAGGTCTTATTGAACGAAATGTTTTCTCTCTAAATTATACGCCTGTACAATTATTATCGATGACAACTATTCAACCCAAGATTTTGACCTCCGCCACGCGAGGTGTACGATTACTTACGAGGCAGCAGAGCTTGCGAGGAGTCAGGTCAATGTCGCCGATATACTTTCCGATAATCGTTTCCATTTTACTTAAAAGGTCTTTTACCTCCTCCGAGGTCAAGTAAGGGTAACCATTAAGATGGAGAAAATATCGATTGACAGACCTTCACTTATTAGAATATCATTATAAATACATTCAATAATAGGAAAAGGAATAAAGTAATGTGTACAAAGTTTTGACACAGGATCCTAACAACAGCTAAAAATAAAACACCGTACGTACCATCACCCCTAATTTCTTGTGTGGTTACTTAATGGAACTTTTCCTCGTTGTTACACGAATGGGCAGGTCCGTCGCCCACGACCTCACAGAACTCCGACGTGAAGTGGAAGTATTATATTCTGCGTTTTGTCTGGTGAGTGAGGTAGACGGGGGCGGCCACTTAATTTAAAGGTAGCAACACATCCCTACGAGTGCTGCAAATGTCAACGGGCGGCGGTTATCAATTTTTTTTTTGTGTTTTTTTTTAAATTAACATCAGGTGAACCACCAGGTAGCAAACGAGTTACTTTTTCACATAAAAAAAAGCTTGTTATTGCTTTCGATAGTAATATGCTTAATCTAGACGATAAATCTCGTTTACTAGCACTGCGAAGTTCAACGCATACTCTAGGTACACCAGTGTTGCGAGGCGGGTCGCACCGTCCCGAGGGTGCAATTAGACATTCGACAACCGCCGTTGTAGAGGTTCGAAACGAATAAATAATAGACCCTTAGCTGCTAAGGCACGTAACCGAAAAGTTTTAGCGCGCATGTGGACATCCACGAGCTTTCACTACATAGTATTAAACAAGGTCGTCTCGCTGTCTGTCTGTCCCTAAATTTTCTTAGATCTTTAAAACTACGCAACGGATCTTGATGCGGTTTTTTAACTAGATAGATTGATTCAAGAGGAAGGTTTATATGTATAATTACACAACGGGGCGGGTCGCTAGTGTATGCTAAAGCTAAGTCGTGACTTTAGCTAACCCGCTAACATAAATGCTTTACAGTGCCTGGGACTTATAAAGAGAACATCGTCCAATAAAGTGATATTGCTTTCAAGTGGCACTATAATAACAATTAAATTTAAGAGGGATATTTTAAGTAACTATACTGGAGTCCAACGAATCCGAATGCTACTCATGTACGTGCTAACATAATAAAAAATAATAAAAATAAAACATAATAAAACACTCCGGACGGGAATCAGAAAATTTCTCCTTTGCGAAAGAAAATTAAGAGTGATGACGGGCGCCGGATGCGATGATACAATTCCAAGCAATCCAATTAACTCTAAGCATTCATTTAAAATTGGGAATACTCCTAACGTTAAGCCGTATGTTACGCGAACCGTAAGTACTCAATGAATAAACTTATTTAAAACGGTTTCGTAACGCCATAAACGTGTATTGTGTGCAGTACAACAAACGGACAAACGTCATACACATAATTAAAAAAAGGCAATCATATGGCGCCAAGCTGCGCCTATTAAGGGCTTTCACACAGCATTAAAACCATGCCATCATAAATACGACTTTATTCCCGATAACAAACTTTAAGTTATAACTAAAGTATCAAGAAATATCTGATTAAAAGCTAATATATTTCACACAGATTGTAATTGCCTAGTGTTTGGATCATCAACTGGGGACATTTTATGTATGTGTTATCAGTATCATATATTTCTCAGATATATGGAACAACATACCATTGCACAGATGAAATGAGGAGACCTACTTCAATATTTTTATTAGTATTTGTTATATCGGATAACAGAAATATGTCATCTGTGAAAATTTCTACCGACAACTATTCATGAAATGCAGCCTGGTGACAGACGGACACACAGGCAAACAGACAGCAGAGTCTTAATAATAGGGTCCCGTTTTACCCTTTGGGTACAGAACCCTCAAAATAGAGAATAAATAAATAAATACCTATTTTCCAACATTTTTAGTTCTGGTATCTGCACTCGAAATGTGAATATTTTGTAGAAAAATGGCAAAACATTTTCAGCACAGCAGGATCTAATCAGATAATGAATAACATTTGAAGCTGTTATTAAACAGTGTTGATAATATCATTTTAATATCCAAATTATAAAATGTTACTGTTTATCAACCTAAGTATGTATGTTTGTTCTTTTGTGGCATTCTACAAACAAAACGCAAGAAATGATTTCATTGATTCTTATGTCAATCAGACTGTTTTAATCTTGTGACTGTTGCAAGACATGCCTGTAATCAAAATTCAATATGACAATCACTAGACATCATAATTATTTCATAGAAGTAATAACAGTATAAAGACAAATACAATATAAAGACAATTCCATTCATAATGGCATATCAGAAAATATCAAAAATTTTGGTTGTTTTTCTTTATTTCATGTGGTATGTTTTAAATTTTGCACCATATGGTTACAGGCATTTACAAACAAATGGCTTTAATAAAATCATGACTATATGGTAAGTGTAGTCATGGTTTTATTACAATGTTATTATTTACTTTAAACACTTAAGAATATTTTTAATATTTATCTAAACTTAGCTAGGAAAACCTTAACTTGTTTGGTAATTGAACAAAAACATTGTATTGATCATTATAATTTATGGCTATATTAAATTTAAAGAACAATACAAATTAGCTTATATTTTATAGCCTTTTAAGTCCAGAAAGATTAATAATATTTCAATGTCGTACCTAAATATTTATAATATTTTTTCTGGAAAAACATAGCGCATAATATAGTAATAACTAACATAATTCCATTAAGTTACCAACGGACACAACAACTCTTATTTATTTATATATGTTAGTCTAAATAAACAAATAATTATACATTATTTGGAGCTAAAAAGTGATACCATTAAAATATGCTGAATTCCGATTCAATTAAAAGAGTTAAATAAATTGTTGTATCAATCTTCTGGCGTTTATATTTACATTATATTTCTCATTAGGCAAAAGGAAATCGTTATAACATAATCTCAATGAGGAAACGCTTCCGCTGCCTTCGATACTTAGAACCGCTTGCTGTTTGTCACGAAAAAAAAACAATATCCAATGTAGTGTACTTTCATTTATCCCTCATTAGAAGATACAATGACAACAATTTATATCACATAACTGTAATACATGTTTTATGTTTATTACTCACCTAAAACTGGATAACAAATCGCGATACACCCAAAATAAATGGCAAGTGCCGCGGGATACTTCCTGAGTGCACGGACCATTGTCATGGCGGAAGAAGCTGCTTTTTACACACTGTACACTCACAAACGTGACAAGAAATACATCACATAGTTATTACACCATCTTCTATTCACTTGTACAACGGTATCACTGATTATTTCTATAATTATCATACAAAAAAATTATTAAGAGCCTGACACCAGAAGCCGAACAAACAATCCCAGCTCACAGTGTTATCAGCTCTAGCTAAAAGCGACAACTTAAAAAAAGATTTCATAGAATAAAAATTATTGGAATTAAAAGGAATTTATTGTCTATGGCATAGAATTTATTTACGGTTGTTAAATAAAATGATTGCATTTGCTATCTATCATATCTCTATACTATAGTACCTAGTAGAACATTGATAAAGATTAAGATAGTATTTTTTTTTCAATAAGACTATATTAATAGAAAATAAATGAACCATACTTACCATACCTTCTTTTAATTTTAAGGCATTTTTCGTGTTCCAAGTAGTGAATAATATCCGTTAAAATATAAAGTGTACAATATTTTCTTTTTTGCATGACGTTAACATGAGATTTTCAGATTTATCAGTTAGCCGATCATATCATTTATCATAGATCGCATTTAAATATCGGAAAAATAATTTATTACTATTATTTACTACGTGAGATTTTTTTTTCATGATTCATTTCCATTAAATTAACATAGGCGTTACGTCGCAATTGCGGGAATGGTAACATTTATTGTTTATTGACAAGACGAGTGACAGACGGCGGGGTCCAGCTCGATGGCAGCTTGATTGAGACAATTTAGAGGAAATAAATGACTCGTTAACAAGATTATATCCGCCTTCACGCGTTAATGACTTGAAAATGTGGTTTACAAACATTTATTAGGACATTTTCAAGCGTATTATACGTGAGCATCATAGTTAAAAATGTATTTTCAGTACACTATAGGAGCCATTTTTGCTGTATTTATTTTGTGCGTTCATTGTGATAATGTTGCTAATTACAACGAAAGTATGAAGATTTATGGTGAGTCTTTTGTCAAATTTCGAGTTAATCTTTTAAAAAGCCAACTTTTGTATATGAATTGTATAACGCCTATCTCGATTCTCATCTGTCAATCTTGGTCATCCATGATATACGATTCTAATGCTTCCACAATACCGACTTATACTTGAGCGCCTCTAGGCAAAAGTAATTGATATTGACTGTTAATTTATTGTTCGGAACAAATGCTTACACCTTACTCCAGGTAAATGTGTTGTGAAATAAATTTCCTTTTACTCTGTTCATTTTCATATTTCATTTCTCTGTTCATTTAATATATAACAATAGTGAAGTCTGTTGTTTTAAATAACATATTCAAATAGGAAAAAATGTTGTGCATAAGCTCATAATACAAAAGCATTTTGTGACCCAAATTATGAAGTGTAATAATTTTAACTAGGCCACATGTTGTATTTGCTTTTTATGTTGAATGCATGTTACTTTTTCAAATGAAAAGAGAACTTTTTCAAATTTAATTTAAATACTGCATATTTAATAATTAAAAGTAACTAACTGCATAGTTATTGTAGTTTTTTCTTTATGAAGGAACACAATGCAATTGAAATAGAATTAATTGCAGGTTTTTAAATAAAAGTATTCTTTCATAAAATGAATTGGAACATCTAAAATAAGTGAGATTAATAAAATATTCAATAAACAATTTAAAACTTTACAATCATTCACCTAGCAAATTATTATGATGGCTTAGCAATCTTCAATACAGTATTATTAAAACATAGTTTTTAATTAACAACTATAATAATGATGACTTTGTACACATAACTACTAACTTTGTACAAATAAGGCCATTAAAATCATTCTTGTTTTTTTTCAATTTCAACATTTTAAGCAGTATTATATTATTTAAAAGTAATGCTGTATTTTTGTTTACTTTTTTTTAATATTGTGGAGCAAAGGAGCATAAAGTTGCGTTTAAATTCTGTTAAGACTATCCAGATTTGCATAACCATCAAGTCATCTAATACAGATGTTAATAAAAGGTAGACACAAGTCAAAGGGGAAGGTCATTTCCATTAGACTCGAGCTACCACAACACATTATAATGTGTATGTCTAATGTATATGTGTAAAATATGTTCTGTAAGACTGTAGAACAATGTTTCAATGTTAAAAAAAAATTGTTTTTTAGTAATTGGTTGAAAACCATACATATTATATGAAAATCATCCAATGAATAAAACATTTTAAAGATGTTATACATTAACGAAACAATATTTAGTAGTCCTAAAAATAAACCTTGCATAATTTATATGCAGATATAAAAAGAATAACTTTACTCAGTATTGTGTTACGAGTTGAAAACCAAGACTTGTTTTTATATACCAGAAACTGGCCATTGAAACAGCAGTGTCAACCTGATTGTGCTGTCAAACTTTAAGATAGTTATAACATTCACCAAGCAAAACATGAGAAACAACCATTTTATGTCTGACAACAGACTTTCACTTAATTTTTTTTAAATCTAAATCTTAATCAAAACCTCTGATGAGTAGTATATATGGACATAAATAGTACAAAAGGCTTAAGAAGTAAAAGTTATATAAGATATGATAATCTTTATATATATAATTCTTTTGAATGTGTGTAACAGCTGGACCGATTTAAATGAAATTGTTTGTGTCTTCAAGTCGATTCGAGAATGGTTTAGATTCACAAAGTTATTCTAAAACGTTTTAAAATTTCGAATTTAAGTCAGATGTACAGGACAATATCTGTCCAGTCGGCTATATATTTTTAATATGTTTCGGACATTCATATTTCTTTCAGACTTTATAATTTCTTGAATAATAATTCAGAGTAAATTACAAACTGGATAAGTGTGGTTTCATTTGAAGTAGGTTAATGGTTAATACCACTTTGGTGGATGCGGGTTCTGAGTTATAGAAATGTCGGAGACTTGTAATTTGCATTTGTCTTTCTTTGTCTTTTTTGCATTATAATTTTATAGATAATAGACGACATACGTAATATAAGAGTTTAATAACTTTTAGAATTCTTGTAATTAGCAAAGCTGTAAAAATGATATAGGTAGGTATTTTAGTTTTGAATTGTTATGTTAAATAATGTTTGATTCAGTAAATTATTAAGTGTAGGTAATTATATGTGGGTAACATACAATAAAGATGGTACAAGAAGATAAGAATCATAAAACATCTTCTGTTTTTTTTTTTTACTTAGTTCTTTTATATTTACGTGAATTGCAAAATTTATCCGAATCGGTATAATAATATCTTATTAATATTTCCGATTAATATTAAGTACGTATTTTAAACATTGGAAAACTAACAAAGAGAGACGACGTAAACAAACCCACATTGCTCTTATTTGTCTCTTAACTTGTCAATCGGCAAGTCACTATCGCGATCTGTCGCAGTCCTTTTATAAATAGTACGTAATGCCATCCATTCATAAAGCCGGCTCGTACTATAGCTATGTAGGCGCGAAAAAAAAACGTGTTTTATCATCCATTCACGCTTATGATGTAATGTTTCATTAACACGAAACGAGTTACTGCGCGGGTGTCGTTGCACGTTTTAACGACTTCTTATTTTTTTTGTTTATCCTATATAAACATAGATGTTCGATTGTTTTAAAAGTCGCGGAAGCGAGCTTTGTTTACAATTTTGTTTAAACACTTCTAGTTCTATAGATTTGTACCCTATCTTTCTTTATTGGCCTTTTTTGCTATCACTAATTCCCCTTTTGATGTTTTTAGGGTTCCGTACCCAAAGGGTAAAACGGGACCCTATTGCTAATACTCCGTTGTCTGTCTGTCCGTCTATCACAAGGCTGTATCTCATGAACCGTTATAGTTAGACAGTTGAAATTTTTACAGACGATGTATTTCTGTAGCCGCTATAACAATAAATACCAAAAAAAATATTTACTCCCATAAATTAGACATAATTTTTGGCGTTTGTATAAATAATAGATAATGTATAATGTAAATTGTACGAAACCCTTCGTGTGCAAGTCTGAGTCGCACTTGGTCGGTTTTTGTTTAACCAATGTTCTATATAAACCTAGAAGTCCGATTGCCTCCAAAGTCGAGCTGATGCGAAACTTGTTTACAATGTTAATTGAACACTTGAAGTTCTAGATATACCCTATCTTTATTGACATCACTTCTTCTATCACTAATTCTTCTTTTGATGTATTATTTAACGTATCGAACAAAAATGAACTAAATTAAATTTAAACTGCTCTCGATTCTTGTTCTGGATAACAAAAATAACGGGTCGCTATCCAGTTACTGAGATTTTTAAGACGATATGGTAACAGATTATAGATGATCAGTCTATCGCCGTATAACGGTCATGAATGTTCTGGAATAATGTTCCATGTTAAATGTCCAAAACAAGTCATTGAACAAGTGGGATTTGAGACGCGCCTAAGGACTATTTATCAACAGGCCATTAATACAATTCAGTCTTTTATTTGCCCTCTGAGTGTACATTACACCTAAAATAAAAAAAGTAACAAAATTATAATTATTTCTGACGCCATCATTTTTATACATTATCGATGTATAGACATATGTCAGGATCATAATATGTTTTGTTACATTCGTTTAGTAAATAGTTAAAATCAGCGATTTTTTTTAATGCTCATCGCTATTGAAAAATAAATGTAACCGAAATGCATTACACGGTGTTTTAGAACATCTAGATTCATTTAGAACATCCGACCTTATAACAGACACGCACATTTTTTTTATATATATATAAGAAACAGGATACAGAATGTCTAGTCGCATTGTAGGTACCCTGATAATTTCTACAGCTTCCTTCGTTAGAGTCACGCGTCTTGATAGCGTCCCGTCTTTAATTACGCTAGTATAATATATTAATTATGCAATAACTCAGAGGAAGCTTGCATTTCCCTTCCGGTAGATATATTTTGTGTTGACGTTTTCTAATTTTAGCGACCAACGCACTGCTCTTTGAGTTTCAGCTCGAAAAGTACTATTCTCGATATTTTACTCTTAAATTTAGGACATTTGTGTCTACGGTCTGTGTAAAACATTGTTATTTGCGAGAATAAAATATTTTAAAAAAACTGTTATGGATTGGGTACTAACAAGACTTCTATAATATTTTACACATACTAGTTGACCCGTTATACTTTTGGCACAGAACTGTGATCAGTCACCGAATGGTCATATAATAATGTCTAAATATGTATTTATAAATAAAAGTCATCTCAATAGGAAGAATAACATTTTTCAGTTTACTTCGCTCCCTTTCATTTAAACAGATTGCCAATAGATCTCATTATCATATATTCTTTAAAAGAAATTTTTAAACGAGCTTCTTTTTTGAATGAAATAATTCTATTTATTGCACTTTTCTATTGTCTGTCAATAGCGACATACATAAGCTTTAAAATGTGATAAAGAATTATGGAAGTCAGTGCGTCCCGACAAAGTAAACACGTTTGAGAAATAGTATAATAAAGAGCTTTTAGGTACTGCGTTTCGTATAATTAAGATGAAAAAGACCTGTTTTTCCCTTGGTCTTGGATGTATTATTCGAAACTTGGGTATATACAAATTATAATTTAACGCAATAAAATGATGGTTATCTGATAACAGTGGTGACTTTCCCCATTTAGAAACAATAAGGAAGCATTCGATAGGATAATAGGCGGTGGCGAAACTCACAGCTAGTAATTGTACTGCATCACATGGAATGAAGCATTATGTTTTAGCATCTTGCGCTGTAATCGTTTACAGCGGTTTTAATAACATGTCTATCCCTCGTTTCATTTACTAGCGATAGGTATTTGACATTAGCTCCATAAAACTTAGTCCATAATCTGTAGTAACCAAATCCACAGATAAATAGAATGTTAAAACCGGCCCTTAGTCTTCCACCCATCGGCAAGTCCATTATTAGATGTCTATATACATTCATTTGAATTATTGCAACGGTGTAATTAAGGCTTCGAAGTATGTATTAACATAAGCGAATTCATTTTAATTTAGCGTTACCGACGTGTTCCTATTCATATCACGAGTATCTGTTTTGTGCAACGAGAGTTCCGGCCGAGGGAAATTTGACGTTGCGAAATCCGTCCTTGATAACCGACGGTTTTCTATTGTTATATTGTTGGACTACTAACCGATGGAAGTGACCAATTAAAGCACGTTCCACCTTAGCACTTTTGCTCACAACTCGAAACTGGGCACTCGAAAGAATGATCATTCAAACGACAATGCTGCGCGACGGTGTTGCATTAAAAATGCTAAAGTACTTTACTCCGTTTCAGTTCCGTCCGCGCCGCAAAATCTCACAGCGAACAGTGTGACGAGCGAAGTTATCCACCTCTCGTGGACCCCACCCTCCACGTTCACCCTGCACCTGCGCTCTACGACCGCGGGCGTCGACAGCAACCAGCCGAAGCTAGACCCCGACCTCGCAGTAATCGAGAAGTCCAGACAGGACACACAAGCCGACGAGCCGATAAATGACGTCATCGAACCGCACGCCACCCTCACCGAAGCGAACGGTCCAGACAAACCAAACTACTCCCCCTACAACTGGTACAAGAGCGACAAACAAAAGTACAATGACGAATACTCAACATCGGACATCCTCTTCGACGAAGCCTACAGGAGTAGAAGGGAGAGGCGCTCGCACCGTCACAGGAAGAGACGCCAGGACAACAACGCTACCGACCCGAGGATCCTACACCTCGAGAAGGTTCCAGAAGAAACGCACGAAGCGTTCCAGCTGCCGATAGAGGTCGTCAAGAAGGCACCCTCCACCGTTCCCCACAAGGATTTCACTCAGATCGCGTACGTCCTGTACTACGAGCAGGGCGTGCCGAAATACAATGCGGCCTCGGTGGTCGGAGTCCAAACGTCACCAGACGTGAAGAGGAACAACGTGTTCCCCAGCGACCTGGGGATGGAGAACTACTCGAAGGCGACGAGGAACCTCACGCTCTTGAATAATTCCGGTGTGCTGACGAAAGCGGTCGGCTTCCGTCTGAGGGACTTAAGTAAGTTGTGATATTCTTTTAACCTGATAACATTACCTTGTATTGTAAGGACATTTTGCAAACATAAATTTCACGCGGAATTATCCGTGGGTCACACAAATAGTTATCCCGTGTGGAAATCGAATCCACGACCAACGACCTTCAACGCCGAAGCCAAGAAGCCTTGGCAATTGTGGCTTCATCAGATCGTCGTTAATCAAAAATTTTAACTGTGGTAAGGGCAACATAATATTCTCCTCTTTGTTCTTTCTTATGTTGCACGAATGGGCAGGTCCGTCCGCGTAAGTACCGCGGTCTCACAGAAAACCGGCGTGAAATGGAAGTATTATACTTCTACGTTTCTTCTGGTGAATGAAATAAGCCTTTTTGTTGATATATTCTGATTACATATTGATTCACTTTGAACTGATTCTAATGCGCATTAATCAACTCAATTGCTTTATACATATTGTTTTACACTAGCTCGCTTGTACTTCTTAACTATCGGTAGGGGTCGCTATTACCTAATGTAGCTATTTAAATTCGCCCAGAAAAAGAGATATATTGAGACAATATAACCCTCTAATTGGGTTACACACAATAAATTATAGTATGGTGTTTGTTTTTTTATGTGCTCTATTTTTAAGTTTAAGTTTGGTACATATGATACTGAAAGTCGTCAAATCGTGTTGAATACATTTTTTAATTCTGGTTTTACTTGCATCTTAAAATATGTTCCTTTGTTCAAAATAGAATCAAAGTTAAACTATGCTAAGTATGGGGAATTCCGTTTCTAGAGCCGTTCTCACCGTACAAAATTTGGGTGCGCGCCTTCTACAAGTTCTCACTCAGCGGCGTGAGCTCTTCGGACCTCTTGGAGCGACTCGGTCCAAAGTCGGAGCCCCTCTACGTGTTGACGGACGTGCGTCCGCCGTCCGCGCCCATAATACTCAACCTCACATGCGATCAGCCGAACGGTAAGTAAATGAATAGATGAATATGACTCACACACACACACCACGTGCGTGTGTGACGTGCGTACGTTGTGCACGTGCGCCGATGACGTCACCGTACGCGTTTCCAACTCCCCTCCATCAACTTATATAAAGCCTAGGTGATTAAGCCACTGTAGGGTAGGTTCACCGAGGTTCAGGTTAGGCGCCCCGTACGCCAGGCCACCCCAAGTCCGTCGGATCTGTGAAGGCCCCTAAGGCCCCAAGTGGCTCATCCTACCAAAAAAAAAAAAAAGAAAAAAATGTAGGGCAAGACATTCGTGCTCAGAAATTATTGCCCGTTGTACTCTTTGGAGTCCTACATTATAATGCGTTCCACTACTTAATTTAGTTTAAATAATGGAGTGATTTAGTTAAAATTGCGTGCTAGTTTTATTTCGATAGTTTAAAATAATGTTTGATACCCCGATGCAGACACATTTCAAAGACATTATTTTACACAAAGTTATCTAGTCCCGAACTAAGCGAAGCTCGCTCTATAGGTACTAACTGATAACACAAGCATCATTTTCATAAACACCAAGACAACAAAGATTGTCATGCAATGTTTTACTACTAAGGATCGAACCCGCACCCTCTGGCACAAAAGACAGCATTCAGTATCCACTACGCCAATCGGATTCTCTGTTTATTTGTTTACAATTTCAATCTCGATTTTTAAATTGCCAAGCGTACGCGCGGTAGCTGTCCAAAGCTCCCTCATATCACGTCGTATTATTTAGTCGTTTCTTTTATCTCGATACTTGACGTAGATAATTGATAAATTTATCAATATAGTTAACAAAGTGTAATAAGTATTTACGTACCAGAAAAATGTACGCTTTCAAAAAAAATGCCTACCTCACACTCCACAGTTTTAATCCCTACATTTTATAAAACAAAGCCTCAGTCGCTTATGTTTATTTTAATGCGACAAAAAGGGAAACATTCACGATGCGCGGATAAAACTCTGCGAGCAAGCAAAAAATAAATGTTGGCACGTATACTCTCGTAGTATATGAGCCTACATTTATTTTTTGCTTGCCCGTGCTATTCCATGGCGGATTGCTAGTGATAAATAAAATCATAATCGATTACGGACCGGGGTTCCACTTGACAACACTATATACCACAAATAGTTCTAACACATTGATAGGTTTGTGTTAAAACAACAATACATATTTTTAACACATAATTAGGTATTCTTTTAGAAATTTTAACTTTTATACTGCTCATCTCTGCACTTAAGATTAAACATTAAAATTTGTAGTAGTAGTATTTGTAGAATTAAAAATTGTATGCTAAAAATGCTAAAAAACAATGTAGATAAAAAGACGTCGAGATTTTTGTCGATTTGGCAATCAGTCGCTTCGCTTAGTGGCTAAAGCGTCAGGGCACGAATCCCGTGACGCGGTTTCAATTCCCACAGCGGCGAAACACTCTTCGTACTTTTTTCTACAAATGTTGACATATGTAGGTGTTTCAATTAGTTTCGTTTTCGCCTACGAGCATGGCGACGGCAACAACCGTGGACACAAGGTACAACCGCGTTCCCACTGCCCCCAGGTCGGGATCAATACAGTCAAAGGATGTGGCTCACGTCCCATCCGTACCGAAGCTCGATGGCCCGTAGGTGAACATTCGCCCCGTTTAAAATAACGCATACATGAGCATACGCGTGGCCGTACCCTCACGTCAAAGGCCGTATCAAGCACACGGGTTCTGGCTAGCCCACTAGTTCTGCATTCCATAAAGTAAAGCTTATAGTCTACGGGCTGGATGCAAAAGGATTTCCCTGAGCTTCCTCCTATACTATTGTATTATTATATACCTCTTAATATGGGTCTTGAAGCAGGCGTAGACTAGATGATAAATTTAGGACTCGGTGAGGTCTGTAAAGCTTAGATGGCATTAGCTGTCTCTGTCTACTCCAATAGAGTCAAAAGCCGCGATCCGGCGCTTTATCAGGTTAAACTAAGCTTATGTTTAGCCTCTCGACGCATGCATATCACCTTTCTTGCATTTTCTCCGAATGTTCTCAACGCCTATCGCGCGCTAAAACAGCTCGTCAAGAAACGGCGAGCAAACATTTTTATTGACGCCCGCATCTCTGCATGTTCGTCTATTAAGTAATTGAGAGCCCGGAGACGTGCTGTTTTTTTTAATTTTACGGCATTATTTTATCAGGCCATTGTCTGATGTCGATATGAGCCAATATCATACATCAATCTGTTGCAAGCGGAATAAAACTGTTACCTTTAATTGTATAACGAGCATTACTCATTACACGGCTACAAATATAAAGTCTATATCTAAAGTCGGCTTCGTAATTTAAAATTCAAATAGACGCTTGCGCTTTCTTATGAAACGTCGAATTTTACATAATAATTGATACATAGCGCACTATCGATAGGTAGTACATTATCGCAAAACGATCTCAGTGACCGCCAGTACGGAATCGCCGAATTCGTTCCGGTGGGGATCTTCTATCATTGTATGTCACTCACCTTTGAGGCGTGGCTCTCGAGGAAGATAGGAAAAGACTTGCGGTTACCCTCGATTCTCCAAGGGCTTCGACAGGGTTCAGCACGCTAGCCTTAAAAGCAAGCTTCCAGCAGACGGCTAACGTTATATCTCCTGACCTAATCGGTTGGGTAAAGGACTACCTACACAACGTCCTAAACAACATCGGAGTTCCTTAGGGGCTTGTCCTTTCCGCAACTATCTTTTTACGGTATATTGATGATATGCTGATGTCCGGTGCGATGTGTGGGTACCTGGATGATAGCACAGTTGTTGAACAGTTACCAGCGAGTATTAGGCCCAGTAGATATTTAATTCGGCCCGAAGGGGTGGCAGTGGTATCCCATTCTTATGGGATTCAATGCCACAAAAATCCAGGCGCGTCTATTGAATGCCCATACACCTCGACGGGTGTTGAGTAGCCACTTTTTCGGCGTTCTACGGTTTGCACTCCGGAGATTGTGCACTTTGTTGCTGACATTCCACGCCTACGAAGAGGTTCGCCTCTTTAAACGCCACATGGGTAAACTTCACACAGAGATAACTCTAGGGAGATAAATCATCATCCCCTCTTTTCCCACCTACACAAGTGAATTATGTTGTAAGCGGTTTTGGCTATGTTTTTTTACGATTAGCCGCCTGCCTGACACCAACACTTCTTGGGAAACAAACACAAAGATCCGGGACAATCTGTGGGTCACACAAATATTTGTCCCGTATGGGAATCGAATCCACGACCCTCGAAGCCGAAGCCAATTACTTAGCGACGGCGCCACGAAGACATCTCTCTTCTCTTTCGGAAGATCAATATGTAATAGTTATCACCGAGTACTATACCCATAATTCAACGCCTAACATCAGCGATGATTTGTCATTAGGTACGCGTTCCTTTTTAAGTAAAACCTTAAACCGTGTTACGAAGCAACGCGTGCCACACTGCTATGACATTTCATTCGACGAGACAGAAGTGACTAACATTATTAAAATTATATCTTATTACGTTTTCTTTGAAACTAAATTAAAAAGTAGATATTACATAAAAAAAACTATTATTATTTCAACCATGCATAATGCCCGCTGAAATGCATGCAAATTTAAAATATGAATTTTTCTAACGAACGCGCGCAAACACTTTAAAGAAATTATTATAACTCAATTACCTATTTATCGTTTTTTTTTTTTTTTAATGTGAGAAAGTGGCAAACGAGCTGGCGGCTCAACCGATGTTAATGAAAAACAATAACATTGCCAATGCGTTGCAGCCTTAATCATTGATCACTGTATCCTTTTTCAGGCATGCTCTATCTGCAGTGGCGCCAACCTTTGGAGTACAACAACTCGTTGGACCAGTACGTGGTGACCCTTAGGAAGATACCGGAACAGCAGCCGCGCACCAGGATGACCATTCCAACAAACAAGACTGACATTGACACCGCAATAAGTGTGGTAAGTGTGGCAGCATATCAAATCTGCCGGTGATAGGGCAAGGCGGTGGCTCCTGTTGCACGGATCGAAGGTCGAAGTGGCAAGACCCTGATGTGATAAAGTGGAAGCCCACCCTGGGAACGCACATTCAACTCCTGTGATATATGAGCCAATATCACACGTCTATCCGTTAGAAGCATAACAATACTTACATTAAATTGTATTAAGGGCATCACGCGAACAGTATCCGGCAATAAATATTGCACAAAAATCTCTGGGAAAACACAATCTACCAAAATCGTAGATTGTCCTTTTATTATCGAATTATATCAAATCAGCTTGTGATAGAGCAAGGTGGTGGCGTCGATTTTAAGTGGAAATAGCAGGACCATGATGTGGTAAAGTGGAAGCCCACTGGGTACCAGGACGCCCGACCCAGCTACCCACTTGCAACTCCTCGAGTCATAGGCGGCTTGTTTCACCTGAAAAGTTGGCAACCGACCAAGTGGCTCACTCTACGTTAAGTGTTGACCGAAACGCGAAAGTATAATAATTGGGGCTGCGTTGCCCAGCAGTGGGACATGTTATATGCTGTTACTTCACTATATTTGTTACACCTGAAAAAATTATAATTCTTTCATAAATCATTCTTTTTCTCACAGCCCGTCGAGCTATGGAACGTTACGCGGTATGAGGTCAAGATATACGCCGTTACTCTCTCGGTAGCGAATTCAGACAAACTCATCAACGGCTCGGAGTCCCCGCCAGAGGTAACGTTTAGGTTTTAAAGTTTAGGAGTCTAACCGCAACATATAGTATCTTATTAATAACTATGATGACTCCTTGGCGCAGTTGCCAAGGTACTGGCTTCGGCGTCGGGGGTCGTGGGTTCGATTCCCACACGGGACAACTATTTGTGTGAACCACAGATAGTTGTTTCGCGTCTGGGTGCTTGTCCACGTGAAATTTATGTTTGTATAACGTTACTACAACACAGGATAATGTTATCCTAAAGTAAGGGCAATGTGTTTAAAAGAAACAAAACTATGTTATCTTGTTAATTACATAGGATATGTACTCGTACTTCGTAAGGAAGAATAGATAAAGAAGGACATTTGCGTAGATCGTCAGTGAGATAAAACACACGATAAATTTTTGCTTACAACCCTATATTGTTTTTTTTAATGTAAGTAATTATATGGATATTTAAACTGTGTTCTCCAATTTTGTAATCTGTATTAATATTATAATAAACGTTAAAAACATGACACATATTGACAAAACCTAATAGAAACGTTACTTCGTTAAATACTTTAGGGAAGACAGAATTATGCCCACTCGCGTAGGGATTGCAATCCAGCACTGTTTCCAATCCAGCAGGATTTTTGCTGAATTGACTTCAATCCAGCGGGACCCCGTAAATTATAGCTTTTATTTGGAATTTAAATAAGTATTATTTGTAATTTATGATCACATATTTATTAAAAATTACATAAGTCAACAATATCTTACTACCTCTAATTGACTAATTATTTTACTTTTGGACTACTTATTTATTAATAAAAAAGTTCAAAAACAATTGCAAATATCAATATTTGGTAATTTTGTAGTCTTTGTACTTTAGTTGACTAGTAATATTACTTCTAATCTTTATCTGAAGTAATTATAGTCAGTCTTCTTATTCAGAGATTTAAAATATCATGTGAATTTGAGTTTACTAATTGTCTTAATTTTTCTTACTAAAGTAAAGAATAAAAATATGTAACAAATTTAAAAATATCAAATAATAAGTCACTTCTTTTTTTGGAAATATGATCTTAAAAAACAAATAGCATCAATAGTGTTATCTCCCAATCTACTTCTTGTAGAACTACATAATATGTAGCCTTCTTATAAAACTGTAATTCAAGGACAAATTATACTTACTCTAGGTTGTTGATTGACTTCAAAACAAAATAAAACGTTTGTTGTTATGGTAAGTGTCAACCTAGCGAGTCAAATGGCAACTAAACTCATAAACTGTTTAACGCGACGACATGCGGTCAGCATGGAGCGGGTTATGCATGTATGAACAGGTCAACTTAAGTGACACGAAGCGCCGCGAAGTAAATTCAAGGTGGCAAATTTGAAAGAATGTGCGTGATTTTATGCTTGCGGATCCGCAAGTCGCTGGATCCCGCTTGATTGTGGGAACCCACTTTGCTGGATTGCAATCCCTACACTGGCGCCTCAGCGTACTGCGGTAGCACACCACTTAGTACTGCTACCCCATTCAAAGCCTACTCGCCCTCGAGTTGGCAAGAGCGGGCTATATCAGTCTTACCGATTTGAACCCCCATTATGTTCTGCACAGCTGGAACACAAAACGCGTCAACTCGCTGCCCCTACTGAATTTACTAAAACGGAAGATCAAGGCCACCCCCTTCGATCGCTTCCATTTTGCAAATTTGAACCTAATGCACATACGACCACGGTTGATTTCGGCGCGCAATGTCGAGCAAGAGTCGAGAGACCGGACTCGCACCGATTAAAACCCCCACTATGTTCTACCGCTGGAACATTAAACGCGCCAACTTATACTACTGCCGAGTCTACTACAAGTATAATTTTTAACAAAAAAAAACCGACTACAATCAGAAAATTAAAGACTTGGTAATACCTATAACATTCAATGACGGCCCTCGATTTCTCTGGGATGCCATCATTAGATCCGGGTTTCCTTATCATGGTACCACCCTTGGGAAATCTCCTTTACGACAAAAAAAGAATCATCAAAAAAAGTTCATAAATGACGAAGTTATCCGCGAACACATAAAAAAAACGAATTGAGAAACCTCCCCCTCTTTTGAAGTCGGTTAAAAAAGGACGTTCAAGGCCTCCCCCTGCGGTCGCTTCGATTTTGCAATTTGAACCCAACGAACATACGCCCACGGTCGATTTCGGCGCGCAGGAGGTGTCGAGCGAGGCGTGCATCGCGTACTCGGCGGCGATGTCGCCGGGCGAGCGGGCGGGCGGCGCGCGCGTCGGCACGGCCGCCCTGCTCGCCGTCTCGCTGCTCGCGCTGCTGGCGGCCGTCGGCGCCGCCGTGCTCTACTGGAGGTGGGCGGCCCCACTAAGGGCACTCGCTACTCGCAACTCGAAACTCTCTCACTAAGTCGATTACGACACGCATGCGAGCATTTTGTGGTCCGGTGACTTTTAAGGCGGACACTCGCTCGTAACTTTTAAAAAATATAAATTTTAGAGGTACCACCGTGTCGATAATGACACGAACGTTTGCAAGCGTTTTTAAAACCTTAAAATTATGATCATTTAAATTACTTTAACGCCCATTTACACGATACCATTTTCTTGTACATACAAGAGCAATTATTGAATGCAATAAATTGCGCGCAATAATTGTTTAGACCATGCAACTCATTTATTGCTTCATTTTTAATTGTATACAGGCAAGAAACTGGCACCATGTAAATGGCCCTTTACTCTTCTAACTCATTCATTTTTATTTAAACTTCCTATAGTTTTTTTTTTTTTGGTTGATATTTTAACTTTTACCAATGAGTGTTCCCGTTACTCGTAGATGCAGATCCCGCCTAAGCAAATGTATCAGCGCAGCCTACAACTACTTGGAAGAGGGCGGCGAGAGAGCGGCTAGGGCCCCACTGAACGTTTACAAGAAACCGGGTGAGACGGTCTAGTCATATAAACAATAACGATAACTAAATTGAGAATGACGGAGTTTTTTAGTGACTGAATGAGGCCATTTATTTATTAATTCAGTAATTCAATTGCTTTACATATTTCAGAAGATTTTATAGTACATGTATGCCAATTAAGAGTTCAGTTGTTGACGTTCGATAAGAGCTTAAGTTAGGCCTATATTGAATAAATATACTTTGACTTTGACTTTTAAGGATTAAAAAACAAGTAATGCACTTACGTTTACATTAGTGCTTTTGTAACGAATATTTGAGGCGGTGAAAATAACAAATAAAGTTAAGTAAAATGGAATGCAATATTTAATATAAAATTTAAAAAAGTTAACTTAAGTTGACTATAGTAAATTAAGTTAAATTAAACTAAATAGTCTCTCTATGCAAGTAATGTGTTAGTTAAGAGTGCGCTTCGGTGTGATTGTGTTAAAAGTGTGTACGCGCGCGTAGGGTATAATATTTCGAGATCCCTTTGGTTCGGTTCCAATTGACATTAGCTTCATAATACTTACGCCAAAATTCTATCTCCAGTAACCAAATCTATCTGTAGATCGAATATTAAAACCGGCCATAAATGAGTTAGGTAATTAGGTATTAACGCCATCGCAGCTACAGATTTCGTGGTTTAGATTAGAGCAAATAGGAAGCGGGCGACATCATGCTCGTCACAGAACCTCCACAGACCGAATCCGACTCGGATAGATTAGGTTAGAAGGTTCAGGCGTTCGTGGTTAGGTTATTTTTTTATGACCACCAAGAAATACGAGCAGAATTGACATATTGACAACAAAAAAATGGTAGATAACTGCGTGCACATGCGAACAAGATTGCACTCTATTGGCGTATAGGCGCAATTTATTCTACGGCGGTGGCGTTAATACGTAAGTACCATGAGTTATTAGTATTTTATTCCCAGATTAGGAACTTGTAATAATGGTCTATTCTAGTAGCTCTGCAAAACCGGTGTGACCAGACAAGTATTTCGTCACGAAATAATAAGTCCCTTTATTTTCGTCCAAAATGTATCGTAAACAAATGTGAAGTGTGCGGGAAGTCGATGGATGCAGGTGACTCAGGATCGTGCTTTATGGTAGTCTGTGGGGGCCTATGTTCAGCAGTGAACTCAAACGGGCTAAAATGATGATGAAGATACAAATGAGAATATTTGATGAGAACGGCTTTCGATGAGTAACAACGATGGCTCATTAAAGTGTTACTTGGCAGTTTGCTCGCCGCTGCGGGGCGGCGGTGGCGGCGCCGGCGGGGCGTGCGCCGTGGGGGGCGCGGGGGCTGAGGAGGCGGAGGCGGCGAGGCCGCCGCGGATGGCAGGCGCGGCCCGGCCGCCGCTGAGGGCGCGCGCGTTCGTCCGCCACGTGGCGGCGCTGCACGCGGACGGCGACATCGGCTTCAGGTCGGTGTTCCATTTTCAAACGGTAGGGCGATGACACCGAGGTGTCGTCTTATGCCCGGTTCCTATATTCAACGAACGACCGTTGGTTAAGTGGTTTCGTTACTTTTATTACGCCTAGTAGATAAAAGGCGTGTACGCCCGGTTCCTATATTAACAAAACAAGGCGTTTTCCTTACGAGCCGTTGCATTACCTACAGAATGTGAGTTACTAGCGTTCCTTTAATCTACAAGTCGTTATGAAAGTTACGAAGCGATGTAACTAACGGCCGTTCCTTGAGTATTGGAACCGGGCATTAGGCGCTGGGTGTCGTGGATTCGATTGCCGCACGGGACGACAGTTTGTGTGACCCACGGGTGATTGTTTCGGGTCTGGGTGTTTGTACAAGTCAAATTTGCATATGTAAAACGTTCTTAAGACAAAATTCGAAGGCAAGACCGTAGTAGATCTTCTAGGTACTGCGGCTTAAACTTTGGGACATACTACCGACTACTACACAACCGAATCCATAAAAAATATAGCAGCAGAGCCAAACCTTCAAGCTATGGACGATATAATTAAATAAATAATCGGGGAGAAAAATCTCTGCGTATGTAACGGGTCCGGCCGGTTGGTACTAGGCAGTGGCGGTGAATTTAAAGTTACCATGGTTACTTGCTACCAAAATCTAACTCAAAAAACCCAAAACGAACTAGAAACTTTTCCAATTAAACCCAATTAAATGACAATAAACTGGTGATAGTTTACTTGTACCTTGTACTGTGAAATTCTCTACATCAGGAACATTTTGGTGTTCAGCGTGTAACATAAATGCTCGATTGCGCACAACTTGCTTACAAACAAGGAATTGAGTCCTCTTCCTCTTCCAAAAATCCAAAATGGTTGTTCCCTAGTGGTGGAGCTGTTCAAAGACAATTTTGTTACTGGTTTAAATATCTTTTAAACAGCAAAGAGTACGAAATCGTCGTGGCGAAGTCGGCAGCTCTTGGGCACACGAGCCATCACAGCTATCGCCCCGAGAACAGATTGAAGAATCGCTACCTCAACATCACAGCATGTAAGTGAATCCCTCCGTGTTTTATGTATAGGTTTTTCAGGTCATTTAAACATTTTTTTTTTAAATTATAAATTTCGAATTTCGAGTTTGAAACAAGTCGCCCCACCAGACAAACACTCGCGCGTGTGTGGTTTTTCTTTTTCGAACCGCAAGTAGTAGAGTTTTGACTATCAATAAGTACCTAAATGTAATGCATCTATATTAAACCGTTCGAGTTCGAATTTAGAATTTGGAACAACTCGCCCCCATACGAGCACTAGCGAATGTATTGTCAATAATTAAGAATTTCTAATCAATGACAAGATATTTGAATTTAGAATTTGGAACAGGTCAAAACTTTACTATTCTGACTCGAAGGTGTGTTGTCAATAAGTGACGTGTACTCATCTATATTCAATAAAAATATTTGAATTTCGAACTTGGAACACGGCGCCCCCAGACGACCACTCGCGTGTGTGCGTGTCTGCGGGCGCGCGGTGCGGTGCGGCGGGCTGCGTGGGCGCGGGCCGCGGCGCCGCCTGCGACTACGTCAACGCGAACTTCATCGACGGCATGCTGCCGGCGCTGGACGCGCGCGCCGAGCGCCGCCTCGAGCGGCGGCTGCAGCGACGCGCGTGCCCGCACAGGTGAGCGCGCCGGCGGCCCCGCTACTTGCGGCACCAGCACGGGCATATGTATGCACACGTACACTGCACGGACGGTACTGAACACCCACACGTGCGCGCTATGATATGGAGTGCTCTTGCGGATGTTATCACGTGCAGTGTTTTTTTTTTTCGAATGAAGACATGGTACTTCCCTAGATGCCCGTTCGTGCAACAGCGAAGACTGTTGCGTTGTCTTGCTGTTTACGCAGGTAATTCCACACACGTATGTTCTTTGACGTGTAATGTTCATAACCCTATTGTATCCTGTACTGTAACTTCGTACGGCGTACCTGTGCGGAGATTACGATGGAGAATATTTTATACATTTTTATATTTTAAATGGCTGATAAATGTAATACAGCCGCTCACATGAGTCGGCAAAGGGCGTCGATCTACACCGACCTAATCGAGTTAAGCGATTTGTCGAAATTGAGTCCGTACATTTTCGCGGATCGTAATGTTTCTTTCCCGCCCTAACTAAGTCGTACACTTTGCCCGACTCGGTCACCGAGTCGCCCGTCGAGTTGGCACTCTAGCTCATAATTCGACTCGCCCCGATGCTCAGTTTGGACGCTTGATTCTTTGGTGTTTGCTTGATTGTTTGATGTCGCTTACATTCAACCGCCCTTGTGGTTTGACAGGCAGCCGTCGGTAAAGCAGTCGAAGCCTCCCCCCAACCTCGCCGAGGGCATCGAGTCCGCGTTCCTGAACATCGAGTTCTCCGGCATCGTGGAGTCGGAGGAGCAGCCCGAGGACTCGGACAGCGGGCGCAGCGACGAGGACAGCGAGCTGGACGACGTTTACGTGGACATCAGTGAGCTGTTGCACCGTTATATTGTTGTACCACTTTGTAGCGTAAGACAATAATATGGAAGAAGTTTGTAGAGAGAGTTTATAGATAGTCTGGTAAATGGTTTATTAAAGTCTTACAAATGGTATATTAACTTTATGACTTATCCGTGACTTTGTCCATGTTGAGTTTGTGCATGCATATGCGCATTTGCTCCGGTAGAGTTGTGCAGATTGGGCAAGCTATTTCGGCGGAGTACAGTACCATCTTACAGAAGTGAAAGTTTACAGGTCTTAAAACTTTTGTCAACTTTTCACATTAAAAGAAACATTTAGACCGCTGCTTGTGTTACCTCCGTCTGATGGTGAAGGTGAATGAAGGTGGTGGTGAAGGTGTGAAGGTGGTTAACGATTACCGTTGGCCCCGCAGACGGTGCGCCGCGCCGCGTGAAGCTGGAGTGGCTGGTCTGGCGGCGGCGCTACATCGCCACGCAGGGCCCCACGCCGGCGACCCTGGACGCCTTCTGGCGGATGATCTGGCAGCACCGGGTGCACACCGTCGTCATGATCACCAACCTGGTGGAGCGGGGCAGGGTACGTATTTTATTGCTAATTTGGATCATTTTTTTATATATTTTTATATATAGTCTTATATCCTGCGACATTGAATTATTATTTTACTTACAAATATAACCATATAACCAGTACGTTAAGTTCCGTGATTGTGATAACACAAAACATTTTTATTGAACGATTGTGAGAGCTATAATAATCGTCACGTGTTAATAATATTAATTTCTACTATTAGACTATCGCATCCGCTATTTTCAATTCAATTAAAGAAACAACAAGACTGTTTTCCATACTCTCTATATTGTAAAACATTGTCGACATAGGCGAGCTTCAAACGCGCTCTGCTGGAGGCCGGTTAGCACCGCTATTAATTGAGTGAATTCGAGTAGACTTTTAATCGTATACCTTGTTCGTTTTGCAGCGCAAGTGCGACATGTACTGGCCGGCGGGCGGGCGCGGCAGCTCGGCCGAGTTCGGGGGCGTGCACGTGACCCTGCTGCACGAGGACGTGCGCGCCGCGTACACGGTGCGGCGGCTGCGCGTGCGCGTCGTGCACAAGGTGCGCGCCCCGAAAACGGCTCTTATTGCGTTGCGCTTACGGTCTGTTGTGCCTTGACGCAGCGTGAGCTGAGCCGTTGTGCCAATAACGACTCTAGGTCGCAACGCATATGGTCTATTGTACCTTGATGCAACATTGAGATGAGCCGTCGTTCCAATAACGGCTCTCATCCGGAGATGTACCATAGCCTTATAGAAGCCTATTACAAGAAATCTGCAACGCTAAAGGTGTTGCAGATGTCCATGCGAGGCGGTTATCACTTAACGTTAGAATCCATCTACTCAAATGATTTTTTTTTGAGACATTGTTTTTATGTGAGAAAGTGGCAAACGAGCTGGCGGATTTTAAGTGATAACCGTCACCCATGGACATTTGCAACACCGGTTGCAGATGTGTTGCCACCTTTTAACAATGTGGGCCCCAGTAACCTTACTCACGTGACGAATCGCGAAAGTAGGATACTTCCACTTCACGCTAGTCTTCTGTGAAGTCGCGATACATACCCAGATGGACCTACCCATTCATGCTACAGTGAAGACTGTTGCGTGGCCTTATTACAGTGAAAAATAATCTTACGACGTCATAGGTTGGCTGGTATAGCATATGTTAGTTGTTGTAACAGCACATTGCTAAATACGGGTTAGTTGAAGGTGCGGTCTGTGCAGGGCTGCGAGGGCGGCGACGCTTCCGAGCCGGCGGACGGCGGGCGCATCGTGCTCCAGTACCACTACACGGTGTGGCCCGACCACGGCACGCCGCGGCACCCGCTCGCCGTGCTGCCCTTCGTCAAGGCCGCCTCCGCCGACCCCGGCACCGTGCTCGTGCACTGCAGGCGAGTTTGGGCTTCACCGATCTGAGCGCAGGGTGCTTATTAACGTGCACTGTTGAAGTGATACCCTGACACCGTGCCCGTACACTGCAGGCGAGATTAGGTTTTAACACGCTGAGCATAGGGTTCTTTTTGACATGCATTAATGAAACTTACCCTAGCTCGGATACTACGGGTGAGATTGACCTTTATAGCAAAAGCTTTAATGGAATCTTATGGTTCGATTGACTATGCAGTTCTCTGCATGTAAATTTGAGATTTAAAGTCCTAAACGCATGATTCGATTTAACTTGTACCGATGAAACAACGTGAAAACAAACAATTACATTAAAAATAAACTTATAGGTATCCTTCCAAATTGCCCTTGATAAAATAATATGGGTACTATTAAGCCCTAAAACTGCTAGATTGGAGATGTAGATGATTAAGCCGCTAAAAACTTAATCATTGCGATATTAAATTACTGATTGACATACTATATCGGATACCTATAGGTTAACATATTCGACAATATAGGAACGATTAATAACTGATTTTTCCCCCGCAGCGCCGGCGTGGGCCGCACGGGCACCTACATAGTTCTAGACGCGCAACTGAACCAGCTCAAGTTGACCGGCACGCTGTCGCCCCTGGGCTTCCTGTGCCGCGCGCGCACCCAGAGGAACCACCTGGTGCAGACCGAGGAGCAGTACGTGTTCGTGCACGACGCGCTGCTAGAGCACGTGCGCTCTGGCAACACCGAAGTGGAGTTCGCCAGGGCGCGCGACTACCTGGCCAAGCTGCTGGAGGACATATCCGAGGAGGAGCTCGCCGTGATGGACCTCAACCCGCCGCGCCCGAGGAGCGCCGTCGAGCCCAACGGCGAGACGTCCAGCGTCAAGTCCACCCCGAACGCGACAGAGAGGGACGACGTGTGCGAGAACGGCAGCCAGCTGTCGATCAAGACCGACGAGCTGAATAGCGAGCTGAGCAGGTCCTCCGGCCGTGAGCCGGACAGCCAGCAGGAGGAGCAGAGCGCCGGCCTGGTGAACGGGAACGACTCGGAGGGCGTCTACGACCTGGCGCCCCGCTCGACGGACACCTACAGCAGGAAGATGGCCGCCTACAACAGCATGAACGAACAGGAGAAGGAGGAGATGAGGAGGTACGGTCGGGCTTAAAAGAATGAAGTAACAGCCTGTACATGTCCTACAACTGTGAAAAAGTCTCGACCTCGGGTCGAGGGAGCCTGAGCCCTTACTGCAGATTGGGGTACTTCACATATCTTGGAAATATATTTTTGTCATAATTTCAGAAATAGCAGGTCTTCTCACGATGGTTTTTTTTTTCCACCGCTGAGCAAGTGTTAAATTAGCACTTAATTAACAATTTCATTGTTGCCAGCACTAGGAATAAAACTGAGTGCTAGAGTTTATTGAACAAACCGAGCGCTCGGAAAAAGAGCTAATGAGCTAATAATAATTGCTAATAAAGCAATTATTATTCACACATTACGGCATAAATATGTTGCTCTGATGTGCTCATGAAACACTACTCATTAACTCACTATTTTAATACACACCCAGTATTTAAACGATTCTCCTGTGGTAGGGTAGTATATTTTCGTAAGTAATAATCTGCAGTGATATAAGTAATAGTAAGATGTGAAATTACGATCTAATTGTACTAAATAAGGAATAAACCGCGTTTTTGAACATTTAAAGTAGGTTAAGTATAATTTATGATTATTTTCAGGGCTAATCGAGCAGAGAACTATGCCTTATTGGAGCGAATGCGATCGCTTGCCAATCGAAACAACGTGTACCAGGGTCCGCCCCCAGTGAACTTGCTAGAGAAACAATTTCAGGTGAGCACTTCACAAAGTGTACACTTTCTCATATTCTTTTAATAGTGTCAGTGAATTATAGTGAGTGTAGAGTAAGCACAAGATAATATTCCTTTCGAAAAATTTTTTTTTATTCGAAAGGATTATCTTTTAATATAATTTTTTATCTTTTTAATTATGTTTACTGTCGGCTTTAAATAAAGACATGACATATGTTTCAATTAATGCATTTTCATCATATTAATAAGCAGTGTTTTCAGCATGTGTTCTTGACATAATATTATATTATGTCAAGAACACATTACTGTTGTTTTTGTAAATGCATGTTGTTGCAAGTTCCTATGGGATCTACACTTTCTTTAATTACTATTTCAACGGACTGACTGTACCTGTCTTTATCATGATATACGATCTATTGACCATCGAAAAAACCAAATGATCTTTTTACTTCACGCTTGAAGTCGTCATTGCAGTGATGTTTTAACAAAGATAATGCATGTCCATACTGCGCGGCGTTTAAAAATCATTCCGCTTTACATTACAACATATGACTATTATGTAAATGTTGCGTAATCATAATCGCGTTGTGTAATTGAATGTGACGGATGATATTAGTACGTATGATACGAAAAGAGTGAGCAGTCTATAGAATTCCAATCCAATTACACCAATTGGAGTAATTTGAGTGCCTCAGTTTCGGTGTTCTAGTTTCATATCTACTACTATATAATGCCATTGCTACCTCGGATGCGCCTGCCTATTCCTGCATCAGCTGAAGTTTGCGTAGCGGCTACCCATACCATAGTAAATGAATTATGATATTATATTAATTATTATAATATTATATTAAAAAAATTGAATCATGCACGCAGTTGATAACGCGCTCGTGCGTGGAGCCGAGCGTGTGCGCACGCGCGCCTCACAACGCGGAGAAGAACCGGCCGGGAGGCGCGCTGCCCTCCGACTCGGCGAGGGTCATGCTGGTGCCCAAGCCGGGGGTCGAGGGTGAGTTCCGCGCCCTTTTTTGTTGTGTTAAAATTTGGCAATCTAACAGGCGGTTCACCTGATGTTAAATGATTACCCCCGCCCATGTACAACACCTGACGGGTTTGGCAAATGTGTTGCCCACATTAAAAAGCGAAAATATAATACATACTTCCACTTCACGCCTGTCTTTTGTGAGGCCGTGGCACTTCCCAGGACGAGCCTGCCTCCATTCGTGAAACAGCCTGGATTCTATTCACGCAGCGGCGAAAAGCTTTTCGTCCATTCTTCTAATTGTTTCGGATCCGTATTGTGTACGTAAAACGTCCTTTCAAAACCGGACAGTGTTGTTCTACAGCGACGGAGCAACGTTTTCGAAGAGAGGTCTTTGTGACTTAGCAGCGGTCGTCGGGACGTACCCAACCCCCTCCGCACAGAATGAGTGATGCGACAATTAGTGACGTATTACTTTCCGCGCTCGCAGGCAGCGAGTACGTGAACGCGTCGTGGGTTTGCGGCTGGCGGCGGATGCGCGAGTTCGCCGTGGCGCAGCACCCGGGCGGCGCGGCGGAGCTATGGCGGCTGCTCTGGGACCACACGGCGCAGCTGGTGCTGCTGCTGCACGAGCCCCACGACCCGGTGCGCGGCTTGTTCACACTGTCTAGTCGAAGTGAAACTTCTAATGCGACTTTCGACAAGGTTGCGTTAAACGTTCAACGCCGCCATGGAGGCGGTATGAAGGCGCTGTTGCGTTAAAGGTTCAACGCTCCTGGGGAGGGGGAATACAAAGAGACAGAGCGAGAGTGAATGCGTGGCACTCGAAGTCTCACTTGTTCCGCGCGGAGGGACTCCACGCACTCTTTTTATTTTCTCTTTTTAGGATTCCGTGCCCAAAGGGTAAAACGGGACCCTACTACTAAGACTCCGCCGTCTGTCTGTCTGTCTGTCCGTCTGTCACCAGGCTGTATCTCATGGACCGTGATAGTTAGATCTGTTGAAATTCTCACAGATGACGTATTCCTGTAGCGGCTATAATCGCAAATACTAAAAAACAGATCATGAAAAATATTTGATTGGTGTGCCCATACAACATTTGTTTGCCGTTTTTATAGATGTCCATGAACACCTGCAACACCAGAGGGCTTACAAATGTGTTGCCGGTCTTTTAGGAAAGATTATGCTGTATTCTTGAAGGTTCCCTCGTTGTAACGGCTGGGAAAGACCGCCGGCGGCAGCTGGTTCCATGGAGTTGTTAAATAAAATTATTTTTATCTTTGAAATTCTTTCAATATTGTGATTATAATGCGCAAGTATGTATGTATGGAAATAGGTAATAAACAATTACGTGCGTATCGTGTCGCAGGAATGCGACGTATTCTGGCCCACGGAGGACGAGAGGGAGCTGTTCGTGGCGAACTTCCGGGCCAGCTTCGTCTCGAAGGACGTGTACATCGCGCACCGCAAGAGCGAGCGGAGAGCGCCGCCAAGGAGCCCAGTCGACGCCGAGCTCAACGGCTACCGGCGGCAGGAGAGCGAATGCGCTGACGACGAGAGATTGATCCCGGAGCACCCCTCCCCGGCCGCCGAGGCCGAGCCCGCGTACCGCTTCGACAGAACAGAGCTGAGGCTGGAGCGGCTCAGCGCCGGCAGCAGGGACCTGTCCGCCCGCAAGTCGATCGCGAACGGGGACCTGTTCTCGTCCCTGTCCGAGAGGAAGGGCGGCCCGAAGTCCCCAAAGAGCCCGTCGAAGATGTCGCTGAAGAACTTCAAGCTCAGCTCGCCGACCAAGTTCAAGTTTCCCGAGTGGGGCACGAGGAGCGCCGGCTCGCCGCCCGACACGGCCCCTCCCCCGCCGCCCGTCGAGCCCGCCCTCTCCGTGGAAGAGGAGGCGGAGCTGCGCAGACCATGCTACTTCTTCGAGAAGGTCAAGGAGGTCCCCGAACACACGCCAACCGATAGGGTAATAGAGGTGACGAACGTGAGCGTGCATTCGCTGCAAGACGACTACCAGCTGAGTGTTAAGTTTATAAAGTGCAGCCGGTGGCTGAGCGGCGAGACGACGGCGTACGCGCCCGGCAAGCCGGACGATAACGAGTTCGTTAGAGCGGTGCGGCAAACGTGCGGGAGCGAGAGGGAGCAGGCGCTGGACAGGCTCATAGAGCCGTATAAGGACTCTTTTGCCCTGATAGAGTTTGTGGCCGGCTGTCAGATGGAGTACAAGAATGGACCAGTTGTCGTTGTTGATAAGTAAGTGAATCATTTGGTTGTTTTTAAATCCCACTTATTATCCACGTTATTTTGATAACACAATTATTTTACATGAACATGTGTTCTGTAGACATTATACCTTGTTGCAAAGACGTTTTACCTACGTAAATTTCACGTGGACACAATACCCAGATACGAACACTGTGGGTCACACATATAGTTATCTCGTGTGGGAATCGAACCCACCAATACTTACGCAAATGCGCAACGGAATCATCGCGGAACGAGCTAGCCGGCGCTCTATCACGCGTGTTCTGTAATACCTACAGCGGCGGTAACTTTAAAGAGCACCATCCGCGCAGATACGGCGGCTGGAAGGCGCTGAGCTTCTGCGCCCTGAGCGCGGCGTGCGGCGGCCTCGGCGCGGAGGCGGCTGAGCTCTACTGCAGCTGGGCGCTATCTGCGCACGCGAGATGCGCCGACCCGCCCCCCTCCCCGCGGCCGCCCCACTCGCCGCAGTCGCCCGTGCCGCCCTCCCCCTCCGGACCCCTGCCCGCCGCCCCTCCGCCGCCCGCGCCCCACTCCCCCCACTCGCCGGCCGCCCTCCTCGCCACGTACTGCGCGCTCGCCGCGTACGGGCCAATGATCGCCGCGCGCAACAGCTGAACCGGGTGAGCTCGATCGACCGTTTTAGTTTCACGATTTTTCAAATTCAACTACCTAACCTAACCATAGTTTATAAACAAAATGATATAGGTCTGCCCTTGTGCGCGCATAACGGAAAAACTACTGGGTAGATTTCAATTAATTCTTTCAATTGTCTTTTATTTCTTACACTCTGTCCTATCCACAAAAGTGTATAAAAAATTAATAATGAACTATTTTTGTAAGACACCACTTGGAGAAATGGGGAAAGTGGTGTAGTTGTTAATACAATTAGCCAATAAATATCGCACCGCTGGACAGAGGTCTCCTGTGTACAGAGGAAATATTCCACCACGCGACCCCACGGATTGACGGCATTTACATATCTTTGAAATATTTTTGTCTCATTATTTAAAAAATATGTTTTTGGTTTCCTCGCGCCGTTATCCTTCACCGCCAAGCACGTGATGAGACAACACTTAATAATAATTTCACCGGCATTTGAACTCAGGTTGCGCGAGTATATTCGAATTGAAAGCGATTTGGTTACTAGTGATAGGTATTTGACATTATCTCCATAATACGTATACGTCGTCAAAATTCTGTCTCCAGTAACCAAATCTAGCTGAAGATAGAATATTGAAACTGGCCGTAAGTGACCTGGCGACTTTACGCTATTTCTCGACTTACGACTATTCATCTTTCAGGTGGCGGACACAGCTGCCGCTCCGGTAATGCCCGAAACACGCTGCCCTGTACTATACACTCAGTGCGTTGTGGTGGTCATTAGCCCGTGCTCGTGAATAAGTCTGCTTACATCGGCCGATATAAACAGACTATAATCGGAGATATCAACGGTTTGTTTCGTATACGGTAGAAGTTTGTTCCGTTTGAGTGCGCGTCGAACCGAAACGACGGGAAACTTATGCTCGGGAAACTGTCGACGTTATTCTTTTCGCAATAAGATACACTTTTGCAAATCGGCTTTGCGCTCGGTTTGATTTGTCTGAGGAGAAATTTCGACGTTGCCCGTGAAGGGTTAAGGAGCATTTTTGCACATCACGTATTCTCGAATCGAGCATCGCGTATCGACATAGTTCTTAATAGAGAATCGGAAGAGAATCTTAACGTTGTCTTGTTATATTTTAATATGTTTTTCGTGAAATTCGACAAATGGACAAAAACAAACAAAAATCATGTATTTGAGATGACGAAATAATCTATAGTTATACATTGGCCCGGAAAGCCTGGAGATTAATTTAATCGAGCATAAGTTTCGCCGCCCATCAAAACGCTCAAATAATTATGAAAGAAAAAAAGAGAGATCCAGTAGAAATTATTACGAATAATTTTTCTCTCTTATGAAATAAGATTGGTTGTGTGCGTTGCAAATCCGGGAGAGGAACGGAATTTTTCTAGAATTTTCTCTTTCGGATCATAGCCCGCTAGTAGCGTTGATTTGTGATTCGATGATAATGGGATGTTGTTCTAGTAAGTACAGACATCTTCGGCTAGAACTCTTTGTTCTGTGTATTAGACATTACAATCAAATAACCAGTGAACTTGGCTACGGCGATGACGATATAAACGAGTATTTCCAAAAATTATCATTGACTGTTAGCGAGTATCTTTGTACAATTGTATTTTTATTTTTTTGACTAAGCAAAGTTTTATAATTCGAGTTCACCACGTAACAAATAGTTTTTCTTTTGTAATGAAACGAATACACAGACTAAAGTGGTCCTGCTTAACAGTTCGGAGCGACTGTGAGCGTTGCTGGCAGCGAACACGCAATGGGTTGAAAAAAGTATGTTAGCAAGCGACAGATTAAAAATAAATTCAACGCTTATGTACAAATCAATGTTGTAATGGTATTTATTAGTGTGCCAACTGCACTCTATATTGATTGAGTCGTTGGTATTTGCTTACGGAAATCGTTAACTTTACTTATAATACTCGGCGATTAATATTGCACATCTCGCTTTTGAAAGAGACAGTCTGCTGATTACGGCTTTTGTGAAGCGTTATCTCTTTCGCACACCACCTATGTTGTCCTACAGTCGTTGTACAAGTGTGCGACATTGATAGCGCGTACGATGCGGAAATAAGCATATTATCTCTTTCCATATGTCGATGTGCAATATATATGGCCGATTACTGTATAATAATAGTGTTATAGAGTAATTTATTTTTACATTAAACGCACATTTTAATTCATACCAAATACGTTATACGCTCGCAGTCGCGCCTTACACGCGACGTGTTGAGTCTTCTCGTGGTTTAGCCATCATAGCATTTAACGGAAGTTTAGCTAGTTTCAGTGCAATAGTTCAATTTTATAAGCATTCAACGATATGACTAAAAATATATAAATATTTTAATATTATTATTCTTTGTCATAGCTTTTTAATTATCGTCAGTGTTAAGGATATTATAGATGTCGCGGACATCGCTATTTTGTTTTGTAATCAAAATATACAGATAATGTATGACGTATTTGTAATTCCTATTAAATCAAGTTTATGGTCCAGTATTTTTATTATAATCTAGTGTTGTATATTTGTGAAGACTGCTTCTTAGTGGTTGGTCAATTAAGGCGTTAACGGTGTTTGTTGCGCTCCGCGAGCAAGTCTGCACATTTGATCTCTGTGACAAAGTTGAAGGAGTTTCAAAGTTTCGGACGAAAATGACAACTTACGAGAGCTTTCTCATTAGAAAGTATGTTTTTTTTCGATGGTAACTTTTTAAATTGAAATGTACTTTCAGTGTGTTAAGAAATTAAGGTTTGCTCGACGGATCGCTCGGAACAAACGTTATGTAACATTTTGCCGCTTAGGAAAATATTTAACCATTCCAGATTCTTATCACGCCGCAATCGCAAAAGTTATTAATGTTAATATAAATATTATGTATTTAAAAGAAACTATATGTGAACGCTGTAGTTCCGAAAATTTTAAATTCAAAGCCGATTCGAGAAATCCTTGTAACTTTAGCTATAGATATATATGATATCGATAAACCAAAAGCGTTCACTGTTCGGTTAGTTATTACGCCCTTCGGAGATTTTCTAATGGATTTGTTTATTATTCGTTATTACATTGAGGATATTTCACGTATCGACCATCTGCCGCTGTATGGCGTTCAAAGAGTAGTGGCGATTCCCCGACGTGTTACTCGATAGGGTTATGGATGCATACGAATACATTTTAGTGTCGCCTCCGTCAAGGCGATGATTACATGATTCTACATTTTTATGAGCGGGTAATGTCGTGCGCTGCGAAGCTCTCTTATGTGCCATTTTAGGCTAAACGTATCGTTTAGGTAATTTAATTCTATATTCCATGTGGTAGTGTAGCCTTATACAGTGTTTGTTTTCGTCTAACATTCTAATTTAAGTCGACCACAAACTATTTAATCTGTGTTAAGTTAAGGGCGCGCAGTCGAAGTCGTATCCGCGCTTTAGATTAATATTTGTTCGTATGCTGCTATATATAGACTATATTTAGGAGTACATACGGTGTTTATTTGACACTCGAGAGCACAATTCTTTTTATCTACGTCTCTACTAGTGACGTACGAACTACACACAACCTGAAAGTCTGAATCGTTAGTCTTAACGTATACTAAACAATCATCCAAATTAGCAGTGACGTTTCTGAAACTTTATATACTTTTCAGCTGCGTCCGCGTTTTGTACGACCATATGTTAAATGTAGGCCGATCTAGTTTTAATAATCACAAGTCACAACATAATACATAGGTCATAGTTTCTGTACCGAGAGTGTAATAAGTTGAACATAATAAGTTAACTATGTAACATTTTCCACACGCATTTTACGAAACGGGGTTTTTTTTGTATATGATCGAAATCTATCTATATGCAGTCTATTCACTATATTCATTAATCAACATATCACCCGCACAAACGTTGCCTGAGCATATTATTATTCGATTGCACTTTGTAAAAAATTGCCGCTAAAGCGCGCAAAACTGGAACACGCCTCTGAAGATCGTCAGTCTCGTTATGTGTTTATATTATGGGATACCGCCAAAGTCGTTGATACAATTACAGGAGGGTGTATCGTTGCGGACAAAATCATTATTCGATTTGTTTGTGAACTTACATCAATAACTTTACTATGCGATAGCTCAAGTTTTCTCACCCGACTGTACTCGTCAAGAACACTCGCACTCAACTTAACTATGGCGTATTTGAGTTTCGCGCGACCGTTAAACGGCGCAAAATGAACTCTTTAAATTAGACAGCGAATTATTGGCCTTGTTGGTAATATGTCTGCCGTGTTGCATTTGTTATGTGACCAATAACTATCACAATATTCAGTTTACAATTAATGATTTAACCATTATACTTTACTGACTGTGTTGAGTCTATAATCAAATGTAGGTATTTTAGAAAACTTGAATCCGTATTTTTATAGAAAAAAATCAAACGCGCACACCGAATGAATTACGACGATTTTTACGAATCGTTAAATATACAAATGAAAACTAAATGTTGTTAAGTATTTTATATCTTGTTTTATATTCATGAAATTACAAATTACTTACCAAATAGGTAATCGAAGTCAGAGGAGTGTTTCTTAACTATATTATAACTGAATGAAAATGATTTGTTAAATAGTTGGCTGCTTTGCAACTACGTGTTCGTCTCAGAAAAATTACTTACATTTCTTCTAATACGTTTTAAAAACGGCATGGCATGAAGCAGGACGCTAGTTAAGAAGTGGATCTAATGCATTTAACAGTTCTAATTTTCATACCCGCTTAATTGACTAGCTGTTGATAGCCTTGAATTTTTACCTCCAGATCCTATACTGAATTCGATGTATAATGTTTGTTGTTTTTAGCTAATGAAATGTCCGATTTACAAGAGACATATGTATACGTAAAATAATGGAAATTTTCATATATATCAACTAAATAACAACATTAATACGTCTTGTTTGATTGTTGAACTGTGACAGCGAAAGTTCGAGTCTCAGTCTGTGTATATTTCGTATATGTACGTACGTATTTATACAATACCGCCTTTTTGTATAACATTTTTATACTTTGATTGACAGCTTTTTTTATTATGCTTTAATTTTTCTATTTTTTGTTGTGACGTCTGACTCGATTATTGGTAGATTATATCCACATGCGACAATTTACATATAAATATGCTGTACGTGATCCCGTTTGTAAATTTAATTTTGAAAAGTTGTTAAATGTTACATAAAGTAAATTACGGAACAAAATTGTGTGTGTGAATTTCACAGAAACTGTTATTTATAACAGTTGTTAATACATAAAGTCGACGCAGCTGACCACTTTGACACGTTAGGGTGTGAAATAGCCCACAGATTTTAACAGGAGTCTTATTTTATATGTTGTCTCAATTTCTCTTTTTTTACTTTTTCCACTTATTAAACGATTATTATACGACTATGAAACGCGATACGTTTCATAGTCGTATTTCATTAAATCCCATATATTCGCCCTTGTACAGATCGTTTATCGTATGACGTAGTTTTGTAATATTTTAACTATTTTCTACCCGTAACATCACACTGTTAATGTAAATCGTACGAATACCCTATTTATTTTTATGTAACCGCCTGTATTATTATTATTTGAAATGTAAAATATATAATAAGATATTGTAACATGCGTTTCATTTGTCTGAGCGTCCTCTCAATATTGGTCTTTTATTAAGGAACGTGGCAAAGGTACTCCTTCTGGTAAGTAATCCAACCTCATTCCGGAATTTTATAAAGAATAATTTTCTATAGTTTTCTTTTCGTCATGGCTACGAGGCGACTTCTATTGATCCATTGATGGTTCATTTGATTTTTCCATTTTAAAACATAGAAAACAACCGATTGATGCGAGCGGGAATTTTTAATTCAAGTAAAAAGTTCCTGCAGAGACTACTACTTCTTTTGATGTCTTGATAAATATTATTCTACCATCTGTTAGTTTTGCATTCACTCCTATCGCATTATTGTTATCAATATACCGCATTATTATTGTTATCATTTAAGAAGGTACAAATTACATCGGCACAGCAACAACCGAAAACATACAAATTATAGAAAATTTTCTAATATACTATTTTATTACTATTTTCCTTTTCGAATATACTATATTATTATTTAGATTGGAGCGTTGACAACTTTGAATACGGGCGTAAGGTACACGTAGTTTACGGAATATGCTTGTTCAGCCATGCCTGTAGGCGAATAGAAACTACAGTATTTTGGTTTAAAGCTACATTTGTGTGGAATATTATGCAATGTGACCTCCAGCGAGTCCAGAAAACCTTAATTGTTTCAAACGACTACGTAATACAGGCCTTTGAAAACGGAAGGATTTTGATGGCTTTTGGCTCTCTCGTATAACCCATTGTTATATTAGTAGGCGCCTTACTTCTGGAGCCTACAACCACTTTCTATGCGGATTAATTTAAATGTCACTAATGAGATGTTTTTGTGGAACATGCCAGAAAGACATGGAAGCGTCGGACATTATGGACATTAGAATAGTGGCCGCGAAGCGCGAGCCCTCCTGCCGAGTCGTAGACGGAGAAAACAATTTTTTTATTGTGTGTTATATACAGTGTTCTGTGCACAGGGTCAAGACAAGGGTATATTAAAGTAATCTGTGACACATAGTAGTAAGTACTGTGAGTTTGTCTCATGCTGTAGTGTCAGCCACGGAAAGGAGGCCTACTGCTAAGGACTAACTAAAACCAACACTCCCTAAATATTTCTACTTCTTAAATTAAGTTTTGATTTGAATTTAGTGAATTTTAGTGGGTTTTTGAATTGACTATTTTATTTTTATTTTTTATGAACAATTGGCAACATTGCTGAGTGCTGTCAGGTCAGCCCGTGTCAGCTGTCGTAAACTTGTATTCGTACGTAAACGAAATTACATATTATTAAAAAGCTCGTAGCTACGAAACTTACGAAGTTTATCAGAACTTACGTAACTAGAATTTATATCGAGCAAACAAGTTTAAAATTATGGTTAATTACTGTTGTGTGTATGGTTGTGGTCGTAATAGCCGGTTGAACAAACATTTAAATTACTACAGCCTGCCTAAAGAAAGGCATCGGTTAGTAATTTATCATTAAAAAAATAAATTAAATTATATCATATAATATGTAATGAAAACACATTTATTTTGATCAGTTATAATAACGGCACATGTTCTTGCCCATTTAGTTGTTTTGGAACAACTTGAATGTTAAAGTATACTTACGAGTTAAGACTACTATACATAATTATATCGTTTGCCATTTATTCTGTACATAAGACCTATTTTGAGGCATACATTTATTATTAACCTGTTTGATTCATACTTTTCTTTAAATTAGGCAGGTTGAATGGCTGAAAGCAGCTTGTCGGGAAGACTTATTGAAAAGAATAGAGGAAAAAGCTGCTGTATCAAGTCGCATCTGCTCCCGCCACTTCCCTCCATCCAGCATTAAAAATAGGCATTTGAGCAATGATGCGGTGCCAACATTATGTCTCCCAGGAAGCTGGAACGAAGGTTAATGTTCAAATTTTATATTAAGAAAAAAAACATTCATAATTTAAATTTAATTAATTTTTTTCTGCAACAATAAAAGTTTATTAGGTATTATACCTTTTACCGAAAAGTTTTTATATTTCATTAATAAGAAAACTCTGATTAAAACAGGATAAAGCACCTCTAATGGCATAAGCCATTGAAATATTTTCCTATGTTTGTCAATTTTGCTTTCAGAAGAAATTGAACCTACACCAGCAGTGCATAATGACATAATTTGTGACAATTGTGGCAATCCAATCATGGGATTCCGTTACAAATGTGTTAATTGTGAAGACTTTGATCTCTGCCAAAAGTGTGAAATGCAAGAAGCACATCCTGACCACTATATGCTTAGAATTCCAAAACCTCTTAAATTTGTAAGTATAAAACAACCCAAATCTCTCCTAAAGAATAAAAATAACTGTTTGTTGTTTGTTAAAATTAAAATTAATACAAATGCCATAAATCATTGTTACAGAAGCTAGCAGATAATCTCATTACCAAATGGCGTAAACTATTTAAATCGGCACACATTTTACCAAACAGTGAAGAAGAGAGCAAAGTACAAGAAAATATGTCAAGTGATGATGAACCTATTACTAAATATGCAAAAGACTATGACAGTGGAGTAGATTTATCTGAGGATATCAAGTTAAAAATACGCAAGGAAGTAACCAGAGTTCTGAAAGATAAATTAGATGGTGAACAAACAAAATTTGTCAAAGAAGACCCAACAAAAGCTAAAAGAAAAATGAGTTTCAAAGGCAACAGACCAAATAAAAGAAACAAAACTGTGAGGACAAGCATAGAAATTGATAAAACTTCAACAGTAGCCACAGTGAGCCTAGATAACAATGTCCCGGATCTAGTGTTTGCAGATGTTAATGAAATTAAAGATGAACAAGAAGGAGCTAGAAAGAATGAGTTAGCTGCTTCAATTGCTTCAGTTGCATCAGGTATAATACCACAACTATACCACAGCTATAATACCGCAAATATGTCATTTTTACATATAAAACCAATGACTTAAAATGTAACATTTGTTGTTATGTATTCACCGAAATCCAGAAAATCATTGGTATTAATACCTAATTAATTAATTATGAATTGTATTTTGTTAAATATGGTACATTAGTTTGTAGCAATGGCATTTGATTTTAAATTCTAACTTTTTGTGTTTCTAAAATTCACAATTACCAATCTATTTAAAGAAATTCCTATTTTTAAACCTTGGAATTAGTGTAATGATTTGTTTTATACTTAATCAATGATGATTTCTTCATTACCAATCCATACTGTATAATTGTGTAAAACTTACATAAATGTTTCATTTATGATTGTAATTCATAGGATTTTATGGATTTTCAGATGCAACAGACATGAAGTTAGAAGATGATCTATCACAGCTAATGATAGAAATGACAAAAAGCGGTAAACAGATGTTGTACAAGTATTGTGATGGTAATTTGAAATAGACAATCTCCAATGGGTATTCCCCATCAAATGGACCAATTAGTATCCAAACTTGAGCTGATTTGGATTGGTTGATTAACTTTGAATTTACCATTATAAATGAATGTCTACCCATTTCTGTAGTCTATTTTCTAAAAGAAAAATATGAGAATAATTGTACCTCCGACATCACCAAAAGTACAAAGTTATATCTAGTTAGTAGCAGTTTCAATTATCATTAAGGATTAGCGACCTGCCCCAGCTTGGCTCTGGTAACAATAATTATCCAAAAAAAATGCTGTCGATCTGGTTGAAACTTTACAGGATCACCCACTGTGTTACTGCTTAAATTAATCTTAAAAAATTGGTCCAGTAATTTTGAATCGATTTTTTTAAATTCTGCTTAAAACACTTTTATAAATAACTTATTTTTATATGAAGTATTAATAAAAATAATCCTCTCAAGTGTTTTGTTTTGTTTGTAATAAAAATATAATCTCAGGACCAAAGAAAAAGCATAGACAGAGTGCTCATATAAGTAAGGCACGTAATATTTCGGCAGTTTGCCGTGAGTGAGAGTGCATGCCGTAGTGTTAAACAAATAATACCGAAACGGTTGCAAAAACAATTACGTTTTTAAAAAAGTGTTCTAGGATTACTTTTCACCAGTTAATTTCGATCGAATCGATTTACTGTATAATTTAAACTGTCCAAAAATATTTGCTAGATGCTAATGTGCTAGTGTTGCAGGTTTAGAACTTTATGTTTACCCAAAAGTAATGGAGGATTTGATATTTTCCAGCCTAGACTTTTATAAATTCAATTAATCAATCAATAAATTACATTGACATTCAATATTAATCATATTAATAGTGAAGAAAAATGGTCCTGCGTTTATGCATTATTAGATACTATAGTATGTTATTTCAGTCAATAAACATTAATTCACTTTTAAGATCGGTAGTGCTCAAAGTTTTCTACGATTTGGGCAATTTATTAAAAATTATTTACGTAACTTGGGTCGATGGCCAATTAACTATGATACATGGTGAACTGTCAATACTATTTGTAAGAAGCCAGACCAATTGTAGCTGACAAAAATACAGTCCTTACGACATAATTGGATCGCCATTGTTTACGACGGCTCCGTCGATACTTTTTTATTCGTCTGAGGCAATTGAAATATGCGGCGATGAGGTGTAGCACAGATCATCTGTGACAACAGAATTTTAATGTATATTGAGTTTCTTTACCGAATAATTCGCGCGATGGCAATAAACAAGGATAATAGATGGTATAATTCAACTTTATGATGCAAAACCTCTTAATTTAAGAGTTTAAAATAAATGATGTTGCTTCATCTATGAAACACTAAGTTTGATATTCCCAGAGTGTTGTAAACGCCGAATATATTTTTTATATGATACCCAGATTATAATACTAAAATATATAGTCAAATAGATAAGATATAAACTTTTACATTATTGACCGTTAGATAATATTTAATTAAAAACGCTGATGCCAATTGTCCATCTCAACTTATAAAATAGCTATATTTCTGAAACAAAATGCCGAGTGCCGACTACTGGGGACCCTTTATGTATGATGCTTGCGCAGAGCCAGATTTAGAGGTCTGGAGACCTCGGGGCAACAAAGGAGTGGAGTGTGGAGGCCTCTTGGCCCCAAATTAACTTCTATTGATTTCTTTTAATATTTAATGTAATCATGTTTGTAAAAAGTACTGTAGGTAAAGGAAAAAAATATGAAATGAGACGTTGTTTACTATGGTTTAGTAGTCTGAATTTGAATTATTTTTTCCGAAGTCTATTGTGGGGGCTCTCGTTTGTGGAGGCCTCGGGGCTGTTGCCCCAGTTGCCCGGCCCTAAATCCGGCCCTGAGCTTGCGTATATATCCTCTCCTGTACCGAATAATATCCGTAAAAAATACCTTTTATCAGACCTAAGTATCTAAACATTTTTTTTAGTAAAATGCATTTGCGGTATAACATTTAACATGAGATCAATCAGAGTTACTGATATTTGATACTATAGATATATCTTATGTAAATAACCTGCTTAATTCTTTTTAGTCTAGTTTCGTCCCGGACATAGTATCACAACTACATTATTTAAAATCACTCAGGATATAAGACTAGGTATGAATGTTTGAAAAAGTAACAGTTATGGTGCTTATCGAAATCTTTAACACTTAACACAGTTGACCACGATATACTCCTTTTTATTCTTACCCACTTGGTTTTTTTCACCCCCCAGTTTAGTTAGATTGATTCTCTTCCCATCTGCGCGGGCGTCAACAATCGGCCCATGTAGGGCAAAATTCCTTTTAGAAGGCTGATATTGAGTCTGGTGTGCCGTAAAGCGGGATACTCTTTACTCCCATTACATTTTCAGTTTCTAATAACTCCATCACGTCTTGTATTGTTTGCACGTACTATCTGTATGCCGACGACTTGCAAATCTACATTCAAACTGACGTTGACAGTATCACAGCGCGATTACTACTGTAAATTTGAACTAAGATCACATGTACGATTGGTCATCGCATTTTGATGTATCTGTCAAGCTTTTAAAATTTCATGCCATGTTAGTCGGAAGTGCTCGATTGCTATGTACCTGTGATGGTGTTCACAATGGATATCCATCACCAGTTCATGCCTTAAATCTTTCAACTACTAAAATGCTCGGTAGCTTAACCGGGTAAACAAGTTGTGTATTGCTATTTTACATTTTCTCAAATATCTTAAGTAATTAATTAACTGGAAGGTACTCACCAAAACCTTCGTTACATTAAACCAAAAATTTTTATCACCATAACTTGTAGTATAAAAAAACTGTTTTATTTTAGGGGGGTAGGGTGAGAAAATATGTCGCCGATTGTTTGAACAGCCAAATGCGAGTTTTCGTATCCCATTTTTAACATAAGACTTCTAACGTTTTGAACTTGAAAATTAAAAACTACTATAACGACATGTTAAGATTTTCGTCGGTGAGGCAATCGGCCGTTTTGCTTAGTAGCTAAAGCGTCATGCCGCGAATGCCGACGACGTGGGTTCGATTCCCACCAGCGGCGACAATCTTTTCGTACTTTTTCTACAAATTTTAATGTTTAATCTTAAGTGCAGAGATTAGCACTATAAAAAAATTTAAAGATTTGATAGATACCACAAATTGTGCAGTCTAAGTGGCTTCCGGGCCGGAAAGATGTGATTTATCATAGACACGTAAAGAAGAAGTGACAACTTAAATTTTTATGTTTTATATGACCACCTGTTCCTTTATTTTTATCAAATAGTAATTAATACATAAAATGAGTATATTTACCTACAATGTCCTTGTGGTGTAAATATAGACAACTTCTCCACGGGCTTTCTTGTCAAAAAAGTTCTGGCCGTTTTTCCCACAACAGTTCCCTGAACGAAATCATCCAATCCTCTTGTTTCCGTCAATGTTCCATCTATTTTAGAGCCCTGTGGCATTTTTCGTGACGATGGTAAGAGACTCGACGGTTTAACTTTGATCCCTTAGGAGAGAGGCAAAGCCCTTGTTTGGGACACTACCTGTGTAGACAGTTTGGCTGCCTCTCATCTAAGGGGTACTTCGGTCAGGGCCAGGCGGCCTTAAAGGCAGCTGGAGTAAGTTAATAGCGCAAGTATGAGTCTTTATGTTTAGAATATGTATTTGTGCCATTTGCTATTGAAACTTTAGGTCCGTGGGGTCCCCGCATATCAATTTTTTTTAAAGTTTATATCCTGGGCTTAACGCTGCGGCTGGTGACAAGAGAGCTGGGCCTTTTCTCGTTTAAAGGTTATACATAACTATTCAACAAGGAAATGTAGCTAGCGTTCTTGGCACCATACCGCGTGCATTAGGTTTATTAGATATTAAGTAAATTTAGATAGATTTAATCTTGTGATAAATAAAAATTTTAAATTATTAGTGTAGAGAGAAAGAAGAACTTTCTTTAAACAACGAACGAAATTCCGATTAAGAGCGCTAGACGGGTTCCACCGCGCAACCCAACCCGTTAGTCGTAAGTGCCGTCACTTACAGACTAGGTATGTTCCGTTGCAATTAGGGTAGACCGCGACACGGCCTCGATTTCCCTGACGATGTGACAGCTATCGCCATCGACAGGATTAAAAGATTACGTGAAGACACCAGAACACACCGCACTGCGAGTGCGGCAAACATAAACTAGGTTCCGCCACGTACCAGGCAGGTTTTCCCCGTGAATAATAGAAACGTTGCTGGAGTTTGTTCCCCACTTCTTCTCCCAGCGCCAACGCTTTCTCAAGTGGTAGTAATGATAGCTTTACAAATTCTCCCAATCATACTATAGCTGCACCGTCCTACCGTTCTTGGTATAGTGTCAATACAAATTTTGTTCGGGTGTCTTTGCATTCTATGATCTATGTCTCGACTTTTGTTGTAAGGGAATTCTTAGTGCTGTTTATTGAATTTAGCCATTTCTAAAATGAATAAACAAGGAATGGGAAGAACACCTAATTATCGATGTTATTCTGAAAATGTGTGTCGCAGCGTTGCAAACACATAAAAACATTCTTAGCCTCTATGCATTACCCCAAATCAATAATTCGTACCTTAAAACCGATTCAACATATGAAAAGTATGCAGGTAGTGCAGTCTTTTTATTCCATTTAATGTATATATAGCATACATAAATGTAAATTTAAAGTTTTTTATATTGCTAATCTCTGCACTTAAGATTGATCATTAAAACACGCAGCTAGTGAGAAATAAACATGATCCATAGACGCCTTTACATTATGTTGTGACGCTATCAGAGATGGTAAAAAAATAAAAGAATTTGTACTAATTTTATTCCTACTGAGGATTCAGGATATGTTAAAAAAATTAAATTCCAAGAATGAAACTAATATTAAAGAATTGATAAACTAGAGAGAGGAGAAATGCCTGTTAAAACCAAAATTATAAAGTGTACTATAATTTTTTTACAAATATCCTTTTCAATATTTTGTACTATCTTTTTCAACATACCTAAATCCAGCCCTGCTTAGTGCTCTGTGCTATGAGTCTATGCTTTTGTCAAATGTCAAAAACAGAGTTTAATTACAAATATAATATTTTTGTGTGCGATATTAGAAGTACATAATACTTAATATATGATTTTACATGGAAATGCAAAAATATGTCGTTTTTATACCCGGTTGATTGATTGAAATATGAAAAATACGAAAAAATAACGTGTTCGGGAAGTGATATTTATAGTTAATATTAGTATCAGCATGGATACAGTAATGAAGCCAGGACTCTCCTCAACTGGCTCGGTGCCGACTGGTGCATCAAGTACTAATGCGCCTGCGGTAAGGAATTGATTTAATGGACATTCATTTTAATTATGTACCACATTGAATTTTAAATGACTTATTGATACGAATGTACGTTACGGTATGAGGTTTTTCATTCTTTAGTGTCCGATTTTTGTGTTTTAAACTGGCTTTAGAATATTTTTACGTATTTTTAAGGTGAACTTCACTAAAACATGTTTTAATATAAATATTTATACAATTTAGTACCCATAATACATTAATAATTATGTTTTTATCAATTTTTTATGGGTACTCTATTTATAAACGGTTTTAACCTATATAGCCTTTCATTTGACATGAAGAAGTATTTAATATTGTCACAATCAAAGTGATTTATCAAATGCTTTTAATAATACATTAAAATTTTAAAAATATTAGGGTTATAAATATATTGGAAAAAATTACTATATATCTACAATAGAATGATTTAAACAAACATTAAAACATAAATATTGATAGTTAAATTTTTTGTGGTTTTAAATTAAGACTTAAAATATTTTAGGTACCAGAAAACTTGGCGCAAACACCTAAGGTTCTTTCAAAAGGAGTGGAAAATGCTAAAAAAAGACTCAGAGCATTCTCCATCCAGAAAAAAACACCCATAGTACCCATAGTTGTTCCAAAGACATCTGGAACAGGAAGTATGTATAATAAAATTTTATACTAAATTCTAATACATTTTTACAATACATCTATAAAAATTATTTGGTATTGCTAAAAAGTTAAGCATATTTCTACAATGTACAATAATATACAGTGTTATTGTTGCAGTTGTAATGACACGCTGTATAATACTTTTTGTTTAACTTACAATGAATGAGGTTATTTAATAAAATTATTTTGCAAGATTATATAAAAGTAGTGTATATAAAAGTAGTAAATGTATCAAGACCAAAAGCCTCAAGTTCATAAAATGTTGAATCTAGAAGTGGCATTTTGGCATATATGTGTATGTTTGCACAACTATTATTGAATGTATGATTTTTTAGGCACCACAGTTCTGATTGGTAAACTGAGTAGTGCGAAACCATCAGTTCCAAAGGTGGACGATGAACTGCCTAAGCTGCCTAAACCTCCAAAGCCAGGTTCCAATAAAAAATCACTACAAGGTAAGTAAAAATCATAATTTATGTTTATATTTACTTTTAGTCATAATTTACACTAAAAATTTACATTAATATAATAATTATTTATTAATTATTTTATTATTATAATAATTATTTAGGTTAATTTTTTTAAGGTGAAACTTAAAATAACAATTTTGATGAGTAATTTCTGTAGATAAGTGACCTAAGCGGCTAATATCCTCATGTGGAAATTATTGACAGCTCCTAGTGACCTTTTTAACAGTATGGCAACACCTTCAATTATTATTTCACTATTAATATTTGTTCGGAGATGTTATCTTGCTTTTAAAATTTTAATTTTTATCTTAGTGTAATTATTGACAGGCTCAAAATAAAAATGTCATTAATCTTGACATCAATATATTCAATATATTTAAACTACAATGAAAAAAATTGATAAAGTTTCTGGGATTGATGCTTGACAAAATTTAACTAGATTGACAAAATCTGCAAGAAAATTCAATTATGTTATTATGTTTTGAAATTATTAAGAAAAACTTATCCATTTCAAACTGCTATCACAGCCTATAGTGTATACGGTGATAATATTTACATGTAGGTGAATAGTATGGGGAAGTACTTTTCATTTAACAAGAGCTTTTATTGTGCAAAGAAATATGTTAATAGGGCACCGATTAGAGCTGATTGACACAATATAAGTGTTCATTTAAAAAAAGATCTTCACAGTTATAAAAAGGTTGCTGACATTTTTCCAAGAGTAAATTTACATAATATACAGGGAGGCTTTTCTAAGGGTATTTATTTTTTTATTAAATTCTAGACACATATAATGTTACATAAAAAATGATAAATATTTAAAATCACTCATAATTAATCAATTACATTCCTTTATCATCAACTTATCTTATTTACTTAACTTATATATAGGCAACTCATTTATTTTACATGCGATCATTCATAACTAACACGCACACAAGTTCGTTTCAAAAGTATACGACGCCATGCCGGCACGGGTCCTCTCTGATTTATCGCGAGCTCATAGTTTTGTTTGTGTGCGTGCATAGTAAAATTTAGTTATTTATGAATGACTACCGCATTGTTAACAAGTTCTGTTTTTTACGGAATAGAATGGCAATTTTTTGAAAAAAAAAATTGTTTGTTTTTATTTCAATAAACGATTATAATACCGAGTGAACCTCCTGTGTGAATTTGGGCACCTTTAAAAAAGCCACCCTGTATTATTCCTCCATAGAAACAACTCATCTATCCACATTAAAAATTAAAACCAACAAATGCAAATAGGGTGTTGAAGAAATGTTTTGTAAACTCAGATCACTACTGCTTAAATATTATTGTATTTTTTACTTCATCGTATTTTGTCTGTTGTTTCGTAATTATTCATAATGTTCTTCTTTTTCATCTTTATCTGGAATCGGCTCTACGGCAGTAACACACACTGTGTCAAATAAGGAAACTAGGGTATGATAACTCTGTAGCACAGTTGCCAAGGTATTGGCTTCGGCGTTGGGGGTCGCGGGTTCGATACCCACACGGGACAACTATTTGTGCAACCCACAGATAGTTATTTCGAATCTGGTGTTTGTCTGCATGAAATTCATGTTTCTAAAACTTCCTTACAACACGAGATAATGTTATCCTAAAGGAAGGGCCATATTTTTAAAAAGAAAATAAAAGTAAAGGTCTATATAAAAAAAAGTAAGGTGCAATCGGCTAATTCCGTAAATCGGGCTATTCTGATAAACACAATTTTTATTATGAAATATGGCAATAATTTTGCTCTGGCAACGTTCACCTAGCCGCCATCCTAAGATGGCGGCTAGGTGAACAATTGTGATTATCAGAATAGCCCGATTTACGGAATTAGCCGAATGCACCTTATAACAAAAATATAAAATCTGCAAGTTCAGGGATTTTAGTGAGGTTATTTGGCCAAATAGGTTGTGTGTATTAGCACGTCAATTATTTCTGTTTGTGATAATATGAGGTTTCCTGGTCAGAAACCCTCCTAAGACCTACACAGGATACTCTACCTATTCATAAAATAAATATGACTTATTTAATAGATTTATAACAATTTTGTTACAGATTCCTACTCAGACCTACAGAAACGTACGCTTTCTGAGATAGAAGACATGAAGCGTAAGATGGAACTAGTGGAGTTGGGAATACCCCTGGGTTTGATATGCCCCACATCCACCAGCGAAAAGGCTATGCCCACAAAAGCAATGCCACCTATTAAGCACTTTTTAGGTAAGTCAACTTGTTCCATATTAAATTTTATGATTACACAAATTATCTTCGCTTGTAATGCTTAAATAAATAAATGTGATAAATTTTATCTAAACCCAAATTTTATGCTAATCTTTCCTAGTTTTAAAATTGAGGTAATACCTAATGCATATGCATACCAAATAAGCCTTGTGTAAAGTGTAAATTTTGCTTAAACTTAAATGTTAATTGATGTTTGCTATATTTTTGATTACTCATTGTTTCGAATTTGTTTGGTGTTTTTTTTTACGGTTCCGTATCTAAAGGGTAAAACGGGACCCTATTATAAAACTTCGCTATCTGTCTGTCACCAGGCTGTATCTCATGAATCGTCATAGTAAGACAGTTGAAATTTCACAGTTGAAGTATTTCTGTTGCCGCTATAACAAAAATACTAAAAAACAGAATAAACAAGGGACACCCGGATGGAACGAAGTTCCTTTCGATTAATTAGTGAAGGAATTGTAATATTTTTTTTTAAGTTATAATAATATTTTAATGTACAAAAAATCTGTATACACTCAACAAAAATAATCGTCGCGATACACTGTTCAATGCGAAATAGAAATGAAAATATCTGGCATGCTTTCTATAAGAAAGAGAGAGAGACAGACAGAGAAACATGCGCACGCCGCACAGCTTTCAATAGCTTACTATAGCAAAAAGTGTCGTTACAAATTTTCGTGAGAATTTTTTCCTTCTAGCCCCCTTTCACAACGCGCGATAAGGAACTTCGTTCCAAAAAGTATTTAAGTGGGGTGAGAAGGTGGCAAGTGAGATGAGGATACCGGTCATGTTATGGACATTTATAACGACCGTGGAGTTATTGCGTTGCCACCTTTTACAGCAAGCCCCAGGTACCTCACTCACCAGACGAAACGCAGAAATATAATTTAAATAATACGCTTTTTTTTACTTCACCTGTCGATACCTGCACAACAAATGTTTCGTTAGGTTTGACACAAAATCAAACCAATACAATGATAAGGCAAGTTCTAAGCTAAGTTCTAAGTTTTTTTTTTATTTTTTTTTTTTTTTTTTTTTTTTATTCCGAATTTGTTTTGGGGTTTTTATCCTTTTTGGATATGTCAACCCCATTGTGACCATCTCATTTTTATACCATAGAAATACACTATCTAAATTATTGTGAGAACACAGAAGCTGCACAACAAAATTTTTTTGCATCATCTGAAATTGGCAGAGACAAGATAGACTGCGCAATTCCTATGTTGTAAGAGTTTATGTTCAAGGCTCCCATCACTTCCTCTCTCAAGTTCTAAGTTATTGCCTTATCATTGTACAGTCTAATACTTTACACTGCTTATGGAGGCATTTGCTGACATTTGAAATAAGTAGACTGTAAAAAGCATAAATTGGAGTAATTCCTAACTTCATTTACGTTAAAGTCTATTAGCATAGCTACAAAATTTGCACTTAAATGTAGACTTGAGAAGTGAACTGACAAAAAGTTATTAAACTGGAAAAAAATATTTTTATCTTTAAAATAATTTTATAATCAAAATAAAGTAAAAGATTTTCTTTAAACAATTAATATGAATGCATCAACAATACAATACTAATAAAGATGTCAAATAATTGCTCTACATTTGTTTATTAATACTTTGTGTTGGGCATCTGCATGAAGGTTGCAGTTTCCGAGTGTACAATGCGCTGAACTGCAGATGTAAAGGAAACAGTGTGAACACTCAAACTAGTAAGTTAGGGAAGAGGTTCATAAATATTGTATTATCAATCATCAAATATTTTTGGTATTGAAGATGTAGTACTGTTTTATATATCAGCATATGTACTTGTACATAGATGTAAGTAGATTGTATTATTGGCAAGGTAAGATTGTAGCAATATTGATTTGTTAAGTCAGTTTATATATGCATTTGCGAATTATATTTAATTTATATTATTGGTATGTAATCATATATAGATTGTTGTAAGATTTTTGGTATTGAAGATGTAGTAGTTACATTATTAACATAATCACTGACTATCTAAAATTCAGTTTCCTTTTAGATCCAGCCAAAGTCGACGAAATTATTCGCGAGGCGAAAAAGGCACGGGACGAAGGGAAGAAGTACAAGTTCGATTACCAAAAGCTCTTGCCCAAATATGATAACCCGTTCCAACGGAAGAAAGATGAGGACAAAGTCAGAACACCAGACAGCCGAGGTAGGAGTGATTACGACAGAGATAGAGAAAAGAGGAAGAGTGATCGATACGACTCACGAAGGTATTCCGAACACAGGCGCGATGACAGAGACAAATATAAAAGCAAAGACAAAGAGAAAAGCAGAGATAGAAGCAAAGACAAAAATCACGAGAAACATGAAGATAGGAAAGCACTTGACAAGGAAAAGGATATCACAGAGACGAACGTGAATCTAAACGACTACCTAATCTGCGACAGTTGGTCACTGGACAATGAGGACAAAGGTAGCTCCAGTCCAAAGGTCGAGGATAGTAAAACGTCCAAGCCCACAACTCAAATCATAAGCGACACTAAGCTGATCAAGCCCATTCCGGAACAGGTGAGGACCAGCGTGCTGAAGAATCAGAGCCTCCTCAAAGAGTACACAGTGGACAGTCCGATAAGGCCGATGAAGATCGAGAAACTGCAGCCCGTCATAGACTCGTTCAAGTTCGAGATAGACCCGAACGACGATGAGATCGTGGATATATTCGACGAGGGGCCCGGCATCGAGAAGTACGCCGGACGCGCGAAGTGCCACTCCATATATTCGCCGACGGACCTGAAAATGTCCGAATACACCGAGCATGAGACCTCTAAGGACGTAACCGAAGAAGCGAACGAGGACACCTTCCTGGAGTCGGTCATTGACGAGATCAAGCACGAGGACATGGGCGAGGAGCTCAGCCAGGACAAGGGCCTGGTGGAGTACGACATGTCCCCTGCCAAGGAGGAGGCCGATGCCCGCGCCTCCATCACCCCCGAGCTGGACCAGGGGACGAGCGACGCCCGCAGCCAGGGGAGCGACTTCTCCGACGGCTACCGCTCTAGCGAGAGCGGCTACAGAACCGGCGACACCGCCGAGAGCGGCTACAAGTCGATGGACAGTTTCCGGCTGTCCGTCGAGAGGGAGCTGGACGCCGGCTCGATGTCCAGGTCGACGGTCGACTCGCTGGAGACCTGGAGTTTCGTGCTGAAGATCTGCCAGCCGATACTGTTCAGACACGACAAGAACAAGTGCTACAGGTGACATAGTTCTTTAGATTAGATCACGGTCTTACATACATATTTTTTATTTATATCTTTATTCTCATCTGAAATTTTATATTAGATAACGGTCTTACGTATCTAATTTTTTTTATTGTTATGTTTAGTAAAATTTCAAATAAAGAGAATCTTTATTTGAAATTTTATTACTCTGGCATATCTTGTTGCACCTACCATAAACACCACATCTTGGGTTAACTGGTAGAGAATGCTTTTGGGCATTAAGTCCGCCCCTTATTCCTTTTTTTTTTATTGAAGGTTACTTATTACTTTTTTTTTATTAACGATTAAATAAATACAGGTCTTGAAACTCCAGATTTCTATGTGAGTCTTTTAACGCGATTCCGTTACCGAGTTACAGTGTAGAGGGTGATATGGTGGGTTTGTTGCAGAGAGACACGCACCTCGCCCAAACTGTGGTACACGGAGAACCCAAAGTTGTGCAACTGCGTGAAGGATCGCAGCGTCGTCTACAAAGAGCTGAATATGTGCAAGATGAACCTTGTGGACAGGGTGTACGGATGTGACCAGTAAGTTGAAAAACACTTCTTTGCTCCCTTTGAAATAGTATGGTGTTTCTAGAAAATTTAACATATCAATGCGTCTAGAAATGGCCTGTAATGTTTGAATATTATTTCACATACAAAAAATATTTTTTTAATTGATTGCCTTTGACTTTGTGACGATATTAGTATCGCGCATGGCTTGAGGTAAGCAGCTTTCTTCCCGGCATTTGTTCAAGTAGTTGTGGAGGATGAGAAGGATGCGCTTAAGTTTGACAATTTGCGGTGCAAACTTCGTCTTTGTCAAGACTTTACCGTCATTAAGTCCATCCGTTTCTGACTGAATATCTACTGGACGCGTGCAGAACGGTGAAGAATTGCGTCATGAATTTGAAACACAAATTAAAATATTCCTTCGTTCTTACGTTTGGATAGCTTTTAATCGACAGCTTTTTTACGCGTCTTTTTGTTTTTTGTTTTCTTCTAATAAACCGTACATTATTTGTCGCCAGTCAAGCTAATGTCTCTTATGCCAGTCAGATGTTAGTTGTATAGTGGCCATATGGTTGCTGGAGGTTGCATGGCCGCAACAGCCGGGAGCCAATGCTTTTAGGGACCTCCCTAGAGCCCCACGTAACACCTGAAAGATAATAAGTGAGAGCAATGAACCGGCATTCCCAGGATTTCGGACGCGCCGTCCCCGAAATGCCGCAACTGGTACCCGCGCGCCCACATCTGCCTCTCCGAGAACTACACCGTGCCGGTGTCGACTGAGTGGGAGGGCGACGACATCGGCCACGTCGACCACGTCGCCCACGCCGCCCGCGACGGCCACGTCGACCACATCGGCGATGAGGACCACGACCACGAACCGAGGAGGAGGAGGTCGAACACTCCGCAGCGCAGCGAGGAGGTTTTGCTCGATAGGGAGTACCAGAGGTATCTTGGACACTATATCTGCCTGCTTTCTTACACATTGTGTATAGAGAATTTCTTCCGATGCTTTTTTTCCCTTACCATTCATAACGATCAAGATCTATTCTGGTTGCAGAATATACAATACGTTATTAAACAAAATAATTATTACGAACTTTATGGCTTCCTCATGAAATTTATTGTATACAGGGTGGCTTTTCTAAGTGTTTTCCAGTTTTTTTTTATTAAATTCTATTCATAAATAATGTTATATAAAAATTGATAATTATTTAAAATCACTCGTAAGTAATTAATTGCATTCATTTGAACTTATCTCAAAAAGTGCGTCATTTATATGCAACTCATTTATTTTACGCGCGATCATTCATAACTAACACGCACACAAGTTCGTGCACAGTAAAATTTAGGTATTTATGAATAACTACCGCATTGTCAACACGTTCTGTTTTTTACGGAATAGAATGGCATTTTTTTTTAAAACTGTTTTTTTATTTCAATAAACGATCGAACTACCGAGTCTGAACCTCCTATGTAAATTTGGGCACTTCTCAAAAAACCTCCCTGTATATAACGTCCTTACAACACGAGATAATATTATCCTACAATAAGGGATTTTCAAAAGGAAGACTACAATAGATCTCCCAGTGGTCACAGTGGTCGTTGCGACTTACTACCTAACCCATTCGAAATAAAGAAATTAATACAAAATGTACAAAAATTCGGTGATCGTAAATGAGAAAGGTATTCATTCTAATATAATATTTTTATTGTTAACTTAAGCTTTCATACATAACTATAGGTTCATGAAAGCGGTGTGGCCTGAAGTTGCCGAGGCCAAGATCGACACGCCGCGCAGCACTACTCCGGTGAGGCAAGATGGGGTAAAAAAGAAAAAAGACGACGCCGAGAAGGAAGTAGAAGTTAAGAGGCCAGCGAAGAGGATGAAGCTGAGCAGCGAGGGTTGGAGCCAGGAGTCCGATTTGGAGGAGGAAGTTGAAAGAAGGTAGGGTACCGATAAAAAGCGCGCCAACTAAATATAAATTCTTAGCAGCGTTCATCTGAGAGTGGTCAATTGCATAAGTGTGTCAAACCGACGCCAGAAACTTATAAAGGAGTGAGGTAGCCGGAGCCCACTTTATTAAAAGGTGGCAACGTAATTGCAACCCTACGGGTGTTGCAAATATCTATGGGCGGCGGTTATCACTTATAGGTGAACCGCCAGCTGCCTTGCCACCTCACATAAAAAAAAGTTTTTGAAACAAACCATTATAAAGTTTTTTTTTTAAATAAACGCATATTTTCAACATAAAATTTTATTTTCTTTCATTAGTAAAAAAATGAAGATCGACAAAGAGAAACTCCGCAAGAGGAAACGTTCCTCGTCCACGCTCTCGTCGTTTTCAGACAGTGAGATTGAAGTGAAGAAGAAGAAGAAGAAATCGTTAAAGAAAAAGGTAAATGCCAAATATGACAATTCCATATACATTTGTTGCTGTATGAGCAATTAAAAATACATGTCAGTGTGAAATTCAAAAATTGTTATCATAAATTGACTAGGCCTTAACTGACTTCAAAAAACACAAATTACAAAGTCACTGCACAGTACAAAGTTTTGAAGGGGTTTAATGCTAAAAGCAGTTCTGCTTGTTCGCGCCACAGTCTAAATAATTTTCATCTTGCTCCCACTACACGTTGATGTATAATCGCTAATTTATAAAAAGTCCGTTCTTTGTTAAATTACACGCGATGTTTATACTTTCGGCAGGCTATCAAGAAGTCCAAATCGAAATCGGCCAAAAAGCGGCGCATCGGGAAGAAACTCTTGCGAAAGTTGAAGGAGAAGGAGAAGAAGAAGAGAAAACAATCTAAGTTAGAAAGAACGGATGACTCTGATGAGGACGACGACAGCGGTTGGTACACTGCTTAGTGATCAAATATCTCATGTGATATCACCGTGATAGCTTACTTTGCGATCTTTTTCTATTATTTAATCTTTTTTTGGATTTTTCGCACACAGTCATACAATTAAAATTTCTTTTCGATATAGTAAACTGTAACATATAAGGTAAGTTACATAGGAATATGTTCAATTGTGTGTCGATTTGAAAACGTATTTTACAAATAAATATATTTTACACAGACAAAAGAAGCAGCAAAAAGTATAAGAAGAGAAAACAGCAGAGGTTAAGGAAGAAGAGTCTGAAGAGAAAGAAGAAAGAGGAGTCTTCGACTAGTTCCTCGTCGTCGACGTCTACCGAGAGCAGCACCGACGAAAGCGACGATAGATCGAAGAAGTCGAAGAAAGCGGAAACGAAGAGAAAGAAGGAGAAGAGGCGTAGGCGCAAGAAGTCCACGTCGGAGTCGGCGCAAAGCGAGGATCTATTCGATGTGAACATTTTGAACAACATAAAGACGGAGCGTTTGACTGACGACGAAAAGTCAAAGTCACTGATGGAGTTCTCCCCTCGGCGACAGCAGAAGCCGAGGGAGATCATCAACGTGAAGGAGCTGCAGAACGACTTTGTCGGCAATAACATACACATCAAGAAGGAGGTAGCGGAAGTGGTCGCGAAGGAGACTGCGACCAAAGTGCGGAAAGAGAACCAGGCGCAAGAGAGTGACATGATAGTGGAAATGTCTGGCGATACGTCGGACGTGGTCGAGATGGTGGGCGGAGAAGAGAGAAGCGATCTAAAGGTAACGGTTTCGCGTATATTATGTGTAATAGTTACTTCCCTAGGCGATCCTCAAAATTCTGACACATTCCATCAACATTCAGTACTTACGTACTGTACTTTGTAAGTCAAATGGCGCATGTGCATAGCTATGTTTGTGCTTAGGCACATCGTATAAGTACACAGTTCCAAAAATGTTAAAATTAATATGTTAAGGTATCTCGCAATACCTTTTATAATAATGATTTTTGGACTTGTGTGCTTGACATACCAAGGGCTTAATATCAGCTTTTATTTCATTTTTTCTCTCAGTGTCTTTGTCTTTTTTCAAACACAAACAGCAAACATTGTTTCAATAATATCTTAAATATTTTTCGTTGCAGAAGCCGCAGCCTGTAGAAACTGTAACGGTAGATGTTACGTCATCCCCTGTGCCGCTAGCCTCACCGACCCTTTCGCAGTCCGAACCAATTGCAACCCCGCAGACCGTCCCTACCGTCCAAAACAGTGCCAACATCGAGATTATACCGACCATCCCAATGCCCCAACCGATTCAAATGCCCCCTGCCATTCAAATGCCCCCCACTATGCAAATGCCTTCCACTATTCAAATGCCCTCCACTATTCCGATGCCCTCAAATATTCCAATGCCCCCTTCATCGCCTTCGATCCCAGCGGCTATAGTGAGAGAGACCACGGCAGAAATGCACTCGTCAAAGTTGTCGCGCGAAGAGACAAGCTTGTCGTCCGAAGCCTCGTGCGGAGTGAAGCCTTATGAGGGTAGCGATATCCCCTCGCTGCCGCCGTCGGAGAGCTCCAACTACAACTACGGCGATGCGATAGGCGCAAGCCAAAATGCGCTCTACCCGAAGGCGATAGAGCCGGTTGTCGAGTGCGAGGACAAGTTCCACGAAGGCTACCAGCAGGACTACGAGATGTACGAGCAGCTTGCGATGGCTTATCAGAGCGACGTTGCGAGTCAGGTGATTTTTACGTCCTACGATTGCTAGGACTGGCATTCTAGTATCAAAATATTTATGTACTTTGCTAAAGACACGTGAAAATGTGTAGACGCAATGCGTAACGTAATTTTGCAGCTCCTCACAGCGACAATGATGCAACCTTTTTCACATAAAGCTGGTCTCATTGCTGTGGTAGGCCCATGGCAGCTTCTGCCGGTGTATGAATCGGCAGGCTCATCCGGGCAGCTCCACGGCCTCACAGAAGACAGGCGTGAAGTGGAAATGGTATCGCGTTTCGTCTAGTGAGTGAGGTAGATAGAGCCTGCGTTTTAAAGGTTGTCAACGCATGTGCAACCGCTCAGGTTGTAGGTGTCCATTGATTGCGCGTGGTCACTTAAACTTGAAAAAAGGATGCAAAACCGTAACCGATTTTGTATGCCACTCCGCTTGCGATTTGCGATTTTGAAGTTTCGAACCGCAGATGCGAACTCCTATAAATTTTCTCCTGAGTCTGATGGTCTCCCGCCGAAGCAGTCAAAGTCGCCGGGCTAACAGCAAACGACACGTCACAAAAAATAATAAGTTTTTCCCTTCTTATTGAATTTCTCACGGGGTTTAGCGACGTTCTGTTTTTATGAGAGAAGGTGGTTTGCCACTTCCTCTCATAAAAACAGAACGGTCGCTGCTGAGCTGGCGGGATTGCAGATGCGTTGCCACCTTTTACTAAATTGGACCCCGGTTGCCTCACTCACCGAACGAAACGCAGAAGTATAATAATTCCACTTCACGCCGTTCTTCTGTGAGGTCGTGGTACTACCCCGGACGGACCTGCCCATTAGTGAAACTGTGAAAATTATTGCGTGGCCCGACCACTGTGAGAGTTGCGAATTGTTATCATTTCGAAGCTAGTATTGGTCACTGATTGGATGTGTGAATTTGTGCCGTTTGTTGTTCCTTTACCAGCAAGCGTCGCCGCCGTCGCGCGTCGGCGAGCAGCGGATAGAGACGGTGGTCCGCGCCCGCAGCCGCGGCGAGATCAAGTGCGACTGGCGGGCCGGCCTCTCGCCCGCACTGATGCCGCCCTCGGCCAGACCCTCGCGCTGGGGTCAGCATATGCTGGTTTTTATATCGTTAGCCGTAGTACCCTCTGAAGAAATTTCGCGCTATTTGTATAATTAAGTAGATGTCTCTTGAAAACGTTTAAACGTACGTTGAAAACGTTCAAGAGTCTGGACATTTTTGTTTTGTAACGTTTTAATTGTGACTTAATGGAATGAGAATGGAAACGAAATAATTGTGGCATCTCGTTCGATTGAGGTGTTTTTTCTCCAATAAATATTAGGTGACACCGTGGCGCAGTTTAAAGGTATTATAAGGCTTTGGCGTCGGGGTTGTGGGTTCGATTCCTACATGTTACATTATGGAGTCCTTACAACACAGGATAAGGTTATCCTAAACTAGGGGTAAAGTTTTTCAATTAAATAAATAAAGCAAGTATTAAATTTTGCAAAAAAAGATTTATGCTTTATAGATTATTGAGATGACGGCTGATAGAGGAAAGTGGAAGGAAAGGGCATGTTGTGTTGACCCCACCTAGTGTTCGTTAAGGGCAGGGGATGAAGAAGAAGTAATATTACCACAATGAGTGGAAAACTGTTATGAAACTGTAATAAGCAACAGTTTTTTTAAACGAATCTATAGTTTATTACACCTGCCGTTTTGTTAGCTAGGTGTTGTGTTTGTGATGCCGGAGAGGTAGTAAATCTCACCGTCTGGATTGTACTGGTTGCAGGTTTGAAGCCGGGCGAGGTGAACATAGTGCTGACGGGAGGTGGGGACTTCGCCCCGCGCGCGCCCTCGCCCCAGCCCGTCTACAAGATACAGAGCATCGCCAACCGCACCGACTCCGGTACCACTAGCGGGTGAGTTGGGCTTGGCCCGGGTTCGACCCGGGTATCTTCGCGTCATTGCACTCCTGACGTGAGGGTATAGCCGAGGCCACGAGGGAGATAGCCTGGGGCCATCCACAGAATAGTGAACACGGTGGAAGTGGTTCTCATAATCCCTAGTACCGGAGCCGCTGTCGCCAAACTCAAACAAGTAATGCTTGTGTCGTATTTTGAACTACAAATGTATTTTAGCCGCTACAAGCATTAACTATTCAAAATATTAAAATTACAAATTTTAATAAAAGTTCTTCGCCGCAGTGGGAATCGAACCCCACTTCGTCTTCGGGATTCGCGCCCTGAGCTTTAGCCACTAAGCTAAACGGCTGATTGACACACCGAAGCAAATCTCAAGGTCTATTATCTACATTGCTTTTTTTAGCATTTGAAGCAATGCTTGGCCCTTCCATTGTTATATCCTTTCCAGCATACTAAACGGCTGATTTACTCTTTGTGTTTACAACACTACGTGTGTTGCAAATGTCAATGGACGTCAGCTATCACTAAACGTCAGGTGAACTGCCAGCTCGTTTGCCACCCACTCACATAAAAAAGGCTTTGGGTTCTTGGCATTTGGGTTACGATTATAATCTTATCGACATGGCAAGTGTGGCAGTAGTTCTTTATTGATAATTGGCGGTGCAACCAACCGCGGATGCCTACAGTATCAATACCCCTGGATCAAGTGGCTATACGGGCGTTTGTTTCGCAGCTACGACGAGGCGTACATGGACATGTACGGGGCGTCCGACCGGCTGCAGTACGGCGACTGCTTCTCGGAGGGCGAGGGCGGCGAGGCGGAGGGGGTGGCGGGGGCGTTGGGGGCGGAGGGGGCGTTGGGGGCGGAGGGGGCGGAGGGAGCGGGGCGGGCGCGGGCGGAGGGGGGCGCCCCGCGCGCTCGCTCCCTCGACGCCAGGATCGACCACGCGCTCAAGACCACCGGTGAGGGACGAGCATAGACAACTTTTGTTAATTTTTTTCTGGTGACGCACAAATTTTCGCCATTTTGTGAAAAAAAAAAAAATGTCAATTTGATTCGCCTTAATATATTTACTCAGAGAAATCTGTAATAGTTTGAAGTATAATAAAATAAACAAAAATTACATATTGAAAAATAACACTTTTAGATACGATTTAATAATTTTATTTTTCCAATCGTTATTTGACCAATCCGATGATTGCCCTGCAAAGAAATCTCGGACAGTAATATATTAAAATAATATTTGAGGACAACACAATTATTTCGTACATTAATTGCGTACCATTTCGATTTAAAGGCTCGAGTGACGTATCGTGCTATCGTTAAAAGTCTAAAGTCTAAAGCTATTTTTTTCTTCCTATTTAACATAAAACATAAAAATTCCGTTTGATACACGTATTCCTGAAACTTAATATTATAATAAACAACCATGTTCTTTAGTTCTAGGCGAGGTGGCTAAGGAAGATGATACTGACGACGTCAACAAAGAGGGCCCAGAGAAGGGCATTCTGATCATGTGAGTGTTTAGATATCATATTATTCCGTCTGCTGGGTAAATAACTAAAATAGTTTAATATACTTAATGCATACCGGTAGAGACCAGTGCTCTATTTTTATTGAACGTATGAATGATTATTGAATTGATATGAATTCTAACGTAGTTTTAGAATTTTTCTATTTTTATGTCTACCACATAAAAATACCGGTATCTTTTGTTACCTACATGTGTCCTAATACCGTAAACTATTATAATGTCGAAGACGTTGAGGACAAATTTGTGTGGAAATGACTCTTGATCTGCACTTACAAGTCCCCTGGCTGCTGCTAATTTAATACTTTGAAATTTAATACTTGACGATCCGATTGGCGTGGGGAGTAGTGACCCTGCCTCCTGCGCCAGAGTGTGATTTCGATCCCTACTACTGGGAAAAATATTTTGTGATGAACATCGTGTTTTCGTGTTTTTCCAGTGTCTTGTGTTTATATATGTATTATATGTATTTATTTACAAAAATAAAATTATGTTTAAATAAATTTATCAGTTTTCTAGTACCCCTAGTACAAGGGTTGCTTAGTTTGGGACTAGAGAACGTTGTGTAAAAAACGTGTCCGAAAATATTTATTATTATTATTAATTTGCTTACTTAAATTAAAAAAGAACAAATAAAAGGTAAGACCGCGGAGTTTCTTGCCGGTTCTCCTCTGGACAGGTCTAGTTTAGTGAACCGGTGGTAGTTTTTTGATGTTCAATAACTTTCAATAAGAGCTTAAATTGCGCTTAATATTGAATAAAGAAATTTTGATTTTTACGTTGGCTTTTGTGCTGGTTGGCCCTGAAGTAGCACAGTCTTGAAGCGCACGGAAGACTGGCGTGAAATGGAGATATTTAACTTTAGCCTTTCGTCTCTTCACACGAGGGCAAACTTTTTGAAGTTTGGCAACGCCTGAAACTCCGCAAGCGTTCTGGACATTCCTGGGTGGCGGTGATCGTAGAACATCAGTTGGAACCCCTTTATGTGAGACGGTGGCAAAACAGCTCTCATAAAAAAAAACTTATCCTCTCATAAAGTTACTTATCCTTAATCGTATATATAAACGAAAACATATTTTCGGTTAATTATGTTCTATGTGTTCTTCTATCGTAGGAAGAACTATACAGAGGCTTTCTACTTTTCACAGGTTTCAGACAGATAGGTTCAAAACTATCAGAATTACCAATGTTATTCTTATTTGTTGAAATGTATTCGTTGCAATGCTCCTTTGGAACTGAGAACAGCTAATAATCTCCGCAGGCCAAGCTCAGGCGAAACCGCGCGTGTTTCGAAGCGCGTGAGTTTCGCGGACGGATATAAGCCGGGACAAGACTCCGACTTGGAAGATCCACCAGTGAAGAAGGTAAGTAGTCTTATTGGAGTATTAGTGCTATTCACTGCACTCAAGATTAAATTTAGGAATTTGTGAAACGCGTGAAATTCTTTTCTACTTTGCGAGGATTTGGACCTGTGTCTCCGGGACACGGCCGAAACTACTCACTGAGCTATTTTAAGTACTGTCTAGTTCGTATCTAATATTCATTGGACCTGAGAAAAAATCTTATGATGCTCTTTCCTATTGAATTTTTTTATATAATCTTATTTTGTGCTGTCGAATAATTTTTTTTCGCTGGCAGGACTTGAATATGCTCCATCTGGTGGATTCTATAAATGGCGGTGGAGAAAATCTTCGGATTATGTCTATACATTTTATAGATGAAAATCTTAAGTGTAGAGACTGGCACTAAAAATAAAAATGCTATATGGTATCTATTTAGCATTGAGTATAATTGCGACATGAGCACTTAATGAAAATTATGCCGTCATAGGAATCTTGTGAACAGTTACTTAGTAGTTTTAAATATGTTGTTTTTGATCGTGTAGTATAATAAATTGCGTCATTAATAATGCTAAATAATAAAGACGTCAAGGACCACACCCCGTGCTGTTTCATCTGTACAATTGCGCCGAGTCGAGTTCTATTACGACAGATTATGAAATATATTTGTGATTTGTGACACCGATTCCTGCGTCGCGTTATGTGAGAGAGGGATAGCTGTACATCGTTCGCGCTGTGTGCGACAGAGACGCAAGGTGAGGCGCGTCGGCTGCGCGTGGCCTTGCCCGGCGGGGCACCCGGACCACGTGGCGCTGTGGGACGCGCTGCCCCCTCCCCCGCCGCCGCCCGGCTCGCCCCCGCCGCCCCCCCGCCGCGCCGCGCCCCCCCTCCACCTGCTGCGCCCGCCGCCCCGCGCGCACCACTCGCCCCTCGGCATGCCGCACAGGCTGCAGAAGCACGGTGAGTTCACACACGGACGACTGTCAGTGCATTGTGCACGTGTGTATGTGCGTCTGCGAGCGCGCGTGTGTTTGTATGTGAGTGAGCGTGTGTGTGTGTGTGTGTGTGTGTGGATAGTTCACACTGTGGAGTTTTGCGCAGTAGACCCGTGAACGGCGGTCATCATATATCATGAGGAGGTTTTATTTATGTGAGTCTCACCTCACTCGCCAGACCTATGAACTGCAAAGTTATTTTATAGGTGACATAAATGGCGCAGTGGATAGTAAACCTGTCTCTTGCGCCAGCGGATAGTGCGTTCGATTCCCACTACTGGAAAAAATTTTTGTGATGAACATAGTGTTTTTCTAATGTCTGGTTGTTTATATCTCTGCAATATGTGTTTATTTACAAAAGAAATCTATGGATTTCTGTTACCTAGTACCCATAATTAAGCTGTGCTTAATTTGAGACTAGATACTGGATAAAAAGTTTAAATAAAAGCAAATTCGAATAAGAACTAAGACGATAACTTTGGGAATCACTGGCCTATACTAATTTTATTGATAACAGGTCAACTTCGTCTATTTTTTGGGTTCTAAATTAACCGCTAATTGTATATTTATGCTATTGTCGAATAATGTCATAGAAGTCCTGTGTTAGATTGTCTCTTAGTTTTTGTTTAATTTTATATTTAATCAATACCTAATCACTACTTGCTGCTGTGATTTTTTGATGACGTCTAAAACCATATCTCTTAAAAACCTTCTTTCTATATGCTCCCTTTTGAGTTTTTAAAGCAATGCCAACGTTATTGGGCTGTTTATTAAAAGGTAAATTTTTATTTCCAGATTCAAACTCCCCAATACCGACCTTCATACCAACGGAGCCTCCGCCCAGTCTCAACTTTCCATAGAGTACGATAAGTGTAACTTCATCGTGAGCCTGAGATTTATATTGAAGGCAATAACGACATTGAGACCAGTTGGTGTACGTGACCGCTATGACGCCGGTATCAAGGTATGATGGACAAACTAATTTGTACATATATACATATGTTTTTATGTAAGCAATAAATACATTTATTTTTCCTTATTTGTTTTACTGCAACACACACAAACCACGTTATATTATCTGAGACGAAAATTCGTCCTGTTAGAGATATCAGTTTATATTAAAATAATCCGCAAGTACATACTTAATCATATTGTTATGCCAAGCTTTTGATACAATCGATTTCATTATACTTATGGAAGTCTTGTTTCCGAGCCCTTGAGAATTCTACGCGTACATTTGACTATAATTGTTATAACATATTTAAATACATGTTTAATTTTTTTTTATGCGACAAGGTGACAATTTTTTCTAATTAAATGTGGGTATTTACCTCCAAGAATTTGACCTTCCGCCAAGGGGTAGATTTGCCGTACATGGTGGTTTGCCCTAGCTTCCTCTTCTGATGAGCGCGCCTCCGGTGGGAGGTTTGAGTAGGTTTCGCGTTAACGCCTATCATAAATTTACGAAATCGGTTGGCGACACTTATCTGAATAGAAGACACCGTGTCGTCCGTGAAAAGCGTGAATCAATTTAAATTCTGTAGGGATATCACCAGTGTAGAGCGAAAATATCCCGGGAGTTAGAAGGAAGCCTTGAGGAACGCCCGTCGTGAATGGGCGGCTCGTAGAGAAAGTACCCTCTACTGGGTATCAGAAAGAGCGATTCAATAGGAAGGGTCAAATCGGCATACTAGCCTTCGTAGCATGTTGAGTGCAAACAGCTTATAGATCAGGCTATGACAGTCTTTGTCGAATGCATTTCACATCGAGATCACCCGTAGTCATGTGTTTAGCTTGATAAGTCTTTCAGGACCTTCGAGCTAAATTTGAATCCCTAAATAAAATGAGGTAATTAGATGATCTTTTTCATGTCGATATTTTCAGACTACAAATCAATACATTTTCCTTTTTTAATTTTCTTGACATGCGTCTATTACACAACCAGAAGTAAAAAAGAAATTGAATCAGGTTTACGGTTGCTTTCATAATATTTGATCACTCCCTAAGACTTGAACTTTGTGCTTACTTATATGCACCGCATATTTGTGTGTTTGTCTTGATTTTAACCAATTCTCCTTGCATTTACTGTTGTGCTAACTAATATATCTCTGGCCCCTCGGAGAATGATAGCGCGGTTCGTTCGTAGAGCAGTTTCTAGGTGTCAGATGAGGCTATGCTGGGCACAAAGGAGAGAATTGCCCTCTCGTTCTGAAACACTCATTCTGTCCCTGCTCCTACCAGTCGTTAATGTAGAACTGCGAGCAACGCTGTTCGTTACTTTAAATAATTTCGATTTTATATTTGTATTTTCAATAATGGACATGTATAAAACTAAAGCAGTCATCAGCTTTAGTTTCCATCAATACGTGTGACCGTAATAATTAACCATGTTGATTGTGAGTATGATCCAATAATACACAAAAACTGTAATATTGATACATATTTTACCAAGTGTAATTATGGATCAAATTTTATGTAGGTATATTCATTCGAGGGTTGGTGTGCAAAATGAAACAGCAGGCGTAAAAACAATAAAATAGATTTTCATTTATTGTGAGACGAAAAATACAACAATGGGACTTATCACCTAGAATGGTTAGTGGCAGACTGTCATGTCAAAACAACTGATTTTAACGCTTGCCTCGGCGCCGCGTTTGCGCGCCTACAGACTCCTAATTTATTATGTCTTTCATCGGGAAACTCATGGTAAGTCGTAACGAATAAAAGAAACAAAAAAGTAGCGATATAATACACAAAATGATATAATTGCCTCTCTAATCACTGAAACCGTAACTAATATTACAACATGTGAACCTTGAATAGTTTTTAACTAAGTTTTTTTTAAAAAGGCTTTATTGATTCGAAGCTAATACTTATTTTACTTACAAGATTGTTTAATAGTTCGCTGCGGGTGCCAATCGCCCTATGCACATCGCGCGGCCCTCTACGGGGTGCGCCTACGGACCTCGCAAAAATAAAACGTAACAACTCTCAATACCGCTACTATGAAACGTTCTATACAAAATTGAACATTGCCGATTCGCTAAATCGTTTGACTCCATTATTTATTTACTTTATTATGTTTTTTTTCAATAATAATAATAATTATTATTATTTATTACTAAAAACAAGTGGGCGGCGAGCGGTATGCCGCTCTGGCACGTGTCGCTCTCGACTCGTCACTAAGTCCTTTAAGTACATGTCTTACTTTATAACTTGAAAATGCCACTGCTGCGATCCTACTTCGCCTATATGTGATGCGCGAGCGCCGCGCCCCGCGTCTGTGTGCGTGCGCCGAGTGCGAACGGGACACATTCTTGTGCTTGCGCTGTCTCGCTCACTCACACGTCCCTGTGCGTAAGGCCACTTGTCGGCGTACGGCGCATTGCACACCAGTGTATACGCCTCCGTACGCACACGCATGCAGGCGCAGGGGGCGCGGCGATCGCGCCTCGCTATTGCTCATAGAGAAAAAATTCCAAAATCAATTCGTTACATCGTAGACTATATTTGTTTAATAAACTTGAAGTATTTATCAATAATCAATAAGTACATTACAATAATTGAATAATTAGTATTTTGTTTCATAAGAGACTAGCATTACAAATAAATACCTTCAGCTATACAATTTAATGTTTTTATTTCTATTTTTAAACATTTTTTGAAGATGTTTAAAGTGGGCTACTTTGTCGGTTTACACACAAGAACGCGGTGGACGGTTCTTGTGTGGAAACTTCTAGTTTGATGCGTCTACACTTCGAGATATGACTTAAATGTATAGGTACTTAGATTTAGGGGAAAAAGGTCGTAAAAACAAAAAGAAAAGTTATTGAAATTTATAACAAACACCTTAACTAATAGTTGAATAATTTAGTTGAAGTTGGTATGGGGGCGCGCGGGGGCGAGGCTTGCGAAGGGGCGAGGGGCGACGCCCCCGCCGCGCCCCCCCGCTGGCACTCCTCCGCAAATGCAATACAAAAACGTTTCATTCCGTGCTAGATGACACAATGCGATGCGAGAATTACATGGTTTTTTTTTTCATTTTCGGTAATCATTTCAATCGATTGTTATTTTCAAAAAAAAAAAAAAAACACACGCCCATTCGCTCGTCCTCGCGTCTTAAATCTAAAAATTAATAATTAGACAATATTTTTTGTTTGTTTTTTTTTTTTATACCATTATCATTATTTGTTCAACAGACGCGCGCGGCGACGCGGCGTATTTACAATAAAAAATATTTCCTTCAAAAAAAACAATCGCAATAAACACACTAGTTAACAATGGCGCGCGCGGCGGCGTTACACGGCGGTCTCGGTGTGGCTGTGGCTGGAGAGCCGCTCCACGTCCAGGTCGTGGGGCGCGAGCGAGTCGCGCGTGTCCGCGTACTCGACGCTGGACGCGTGCGAGAAGCGCTTCGAGAGCGCGGTCTGCTTGCGCAGCGCCTCGGCCAGCGCCGCGTCCGCCAGCGAGCCGCGCGAGTCCAGCCCCTGCCGGAACGCGTTCACCACGCGGATCTGCGCCGCGCGCCGCGCTTTAGTCGCCGCAAGGCGCGCGCACGCCCCGCGCTCTGGCCGCGGCGGCCGACCGCGCCCGAGCCGACGCCGAATCGAGCGGCTCGGGCAGCGGTCGGCCGCGTGTCGATGCCGGTGAATTCCTGATTCGTGCTCTATGTACATTGTATATTGTCGACATGGTGGACCATCTTTCAGTGCGACCACGCTCGCTTGGTGTGCGTTACCGGAAAACTAAGAATGCAATTACGTTACCGTTTACATAAAACGTGTAACCGAATATAATGAAGAATTTTATTATTTTTTTTAAAAAAATGTAATTTAGATTCTGTAATAAGTGTGATTCGATGCAGATATAAATTTTGAAACATATATTATTCAGTGTCGGAATTCAACTTGGTAGTGTCAAGGGCCAGAGCGAGGCGAGTGTCGGGCGGTGGCGGCACCTTTGCGGCCGCCGTCGCCACACTTCCAGTTCGCAAGTAAATCCGAGGCAAATGTGGCGGCCGGGAAGGCGATACCACAGGTGCCGCCGCCGCAGAAGAGCGTTACACATTAAATTGTTAAACGTATATAAACATAAATGGAAGCACACCGAGCCATAAAAGATAGGCGGGAAAGCGTAGGCTGTTCGAAATTCCAGTCACAGGACACGCGGTGCGCAGTGCGCCGCCGCCATTGCTTCATGCCATGCAGTGTTCGATGTCGGCCGAGCCGCCCGCTCGCTCCCGTCTCTGAATACAGACATCGCGGTCCGGACCGGCCCCGCCGCGCGATCTCGCTACTGTGACTGCATTTGGACATCGAGCCCTCTACGCGCGAAAGCTGTAGACTGCCGGAGTACATGTACGCAATGCAAACACGAAGCAACACTGATTGTCCCCCGAATTGTAACCGAATGAACCAAAGCAAGCGCAGGTCGCCTGGACCGTTTCGCCTCACCTAAGTCTTAAGCTTGGCCTGATATATAGTTTGTTGTCGAACTAAAAGCTGTCGATGTTGATATGGTTTAATGCTTCCGACATGGTGTTCAAAGCGACTATGACGAATCCCTGGTGTTATTCGAAATTCTCCTTGTGGACGATTAGTCTTTTTTATCTGTGCACAATGTGGGGCAAAATAACACAAAACAAACTATAATAAGTAACTAGCATTGCATGATGTATGATGCCAAATTAAACAGTTTAGCCAGGTCAAACTTTCTAATGTTTTTGGAGCAAGCGTCTGTCCATCTAAATCTTCAACAAAGCTCTACATTTGCAGAAAATGTCATAAAATTGTTCCCTTATTTATTAAAAACATTGCATGAGTTCTACGTTTAATAGTAATTCAAAAAGCTTTTCGAAGTGAAATATTATGTTGCGATCATGTACTGCTATTTTGTTGCTTCGATAGGTCACTCGATGGAATGAGTAGCGAACAAGTTTCAGGTCTATTCATATAAATGTTCTTAAAATTGCGTAACATATTCAATGCAGTAAAAATTCATCAACGTATTTTTATGACAAGTCGAGGTAATAAATTTATTAAAGAGGATAATACAGCCCATGCGTTAGGGGGAAATGCATTAGGTGATATACACATGCGATTAACTCTGACCTTTCAATTTCAATGAGGAAGTTCACACGAAACGGTAAAAAAGTCACACAGAAATAGGTACATTGAACGCCGTGAAACAGAATGGTCAGTGCGGACAAAAACGGGGAACAGTTACAGAAATGTATAACAAGTTGTAAGTATAGAGTACAGTGAAAACGTAAAAACAAAGACGAACATAAAATAGTCCAAAAAACAAACAAGAGATGTGAGTGAAAGAGCAGGCTTTGTTTCAAATCTTACAGCTTGATCGGTGGAGGTCTTGCTGTAGGGCACTGGTATCAAGCGCTCCTGTAACTCGCCACCTATGACCTTCCGTGTGCAATGGGGATTCATGGAAAAGAAAATAAAAACAAGAACATGAAGTAAGACGACACGAAGAGGGTGGCTGAGGGCGGCGTCCGCCCTAGCGCACAGACAGATAGAGATAGTAAATCGGCAGTGCTGCGGATCGAACGCGATTCTACACGGACCTCTTGGGACCGTCACAGTATTTGGGTTCACGTTAGACTGTGACGGCACGTTTGATTTAAACATTAATGCAGATTAAGTCCATTTTAAAGACTAGTTGGATGCCAATTGCATAAATGAAGTATTTTAATACAAATATGGATCCGATGTAAAGTATGGTTAGCTCAATGCGGTCGATCGTAGAACAGCGTTCGATACTTTAGCAGTGAAGGTCTCTGCACATAGTGACGGAATTCCGGGGACTGAACGGAGCGGTGCGCCTCGCGAAGCAATGAACAGACTTTAGGAGGAAGATATCGAAATAAAACTAGAACATAAATTACAAACGCTGGGTTTACGCATCCTATTACCTTAAGAAGCACATTCATGGGGTGTGCACTTAAAATCTATATTTTATTTTACAATATCCATCCAAGGCTCCTCTAAATCCGTCGTTTTAATATCCAACGCAAACAAAATAACGTAAACGTAACAAAAAATATATTGAAACGTCGATCGGGTGGGAATGTACATTGAACACTAAATTATGTTGTAGATACAATTGCTGTGTGCAAACATCGATCACATCTTTGCTCGACTCTCCTTGATTGTGTTCGTTCATGAATTTCATGTGTGTGTGTGTGTGTTTGTGTTTGTGTGTCCACATGCGCACATGTCCGTCGCACACGGCGCTCGTGTCTAGCTCTGACCAGCTCATGCTCTATATAAAAGCACATATATTCTCATGAAACGATTTTACTCAGTTGCTCACATACCAGATTCTAGCTGAACATATTCTTATAATAACAACTAATGTACAGAAGCGGTAAAGGGTGATCTCACTAAACATCAACTACATCTAACATTCGTGAACATCGGGTATCTCACGTGGCAGCGTTGCAGTACTAAGTTTGTGGAAGCGAAACACGAACGTATCCGAACACACATATAAAACATTTAATTACACAGTTAATACTAAATTTCCATTTACTCTTTATTTATTATATATATTTCCATTTGCGGTCTTTATTTAAGGACCATGTAACGAAGCAACGCCGACGGAACTCGTGCCTGAGGCGTTAAATATAAAATGGCCGTAAAAATAAAAACCGCCTATGTTGTGGACCTACTACTTCACACACCGTGTAAGACGGCCACATCTAATATTGGCGCGGCCATGCGAACGCGTGAAGCGAAGCGAACATAGACCACAAACATCGAGTGTGCCACAAGGCACATTGGAACACCAAAACATAAAACGCGTCCCAGTTACCTTTTAATGCAGCACTCCGCGACGTGGCAGTTGGGTGAAATGAAAGTTACTTTGGAGTATAGATACTTTATTACTAAAGTTTAAGACAAGAAGCGTTAGAGGTAAATAATTAACAGACCTTGCCGATTTATAACCAGAGGGTACGCGTTACTGGGATTCGTGCTCAGCTATTTTTTCGGCATTAGGTGATTTTTAATCTATAGGCGTTTACGAGACGGCGACAAGCGTTATATTTTTTTTATTTCGAAAGGATTTATTACTTTTAATTCTTTAAATCTAACTTTTTTTCGATTCACACCGAAACACGAATTATACTTTAATATACTATTTTTATCAGTATCATGTTAGAATTAACTAGCAGGCTATTATTGAAATTTCACTACGAAGTGCAAAGAGCGACGAAGATTAAACTACCAGTATATAATAGAAACAATATAGTATAAATACAAACACATTAAGTATCTTTAACCCCAAAGAGTGATACTTAAATTTGCTTGAAATCTAGTCCATAAGTGGTCAAGTCAACCATAGATATAACGAAAAGAAAAACAAATGAAAATAAGGTGTAAAGGAAGGGACAAGAGTAATAAATAGTGTTAGTGTGTGTCTTTCAACAAAAAAGGTAAGAAATGGTCATGCATTACACTGTAAATTGTTAACAATTTTCTATTTAATATACTATGTCACAAATCATGCATTTACAAATTAACAGACAATACTTTCATATTGTCCAAAATGTGAATGATTATACACACAATTTTACTAGACCTGAGGAAATATTATGATATAACTTCAACAGATACACACTAGAGAGCATAGTTGACACAGTTAGGCGAGAGCTATGAACAAAACAGAAGACGTTATCAAACGCAAGAACTACTTTACTCAACATAGAGATGAATGCATTCCCATATAAAACGAGTACAGAAACAACAATAACAAGCAAATTTAAATATCATAAAATCCTTAATCGTAAAACGTTTATAAAAGCACTTGAGTTGCACAACATTGTGTATTCGTTTATAAAAATGGCACATAAATTTAACGCGTATTAAAATATTATCTCGCTACAACACATAACAACTTTATTAATTTAATTAGAGAAGAACGTTCAAGTATATTTACAGAAAATTAGTTTTTTTCACGTAACAAAAATAACCGTACCATTCATTCTATGTATGTCGGCATAAATCGGATAATAGCAATAATATGGCTAAATACTTTTTTAATATAGAAATGGTGCACCATATTCATATTTAAATCTAATTTAGATATTTTGCAAAAGTTCCTAACGTTTTTCTTACCCTAATACTTTTAGTAAACAATGGTAAACTTTATATGGTTAATTTACACATTAGATGATTTTTAAAACTTTTCTGTTTAACGATATTGCGAGCGATTGGATAGCGTTTCGGATTAAATTATATTATTGGCAGTATAATAATGGTTTAGTATGCTTAAAACCGATCTTTACTTTCTCACGTAACAGATTTTTTATTGTTATTATAGTTTAACGGCTTGGGATTTCTCCATACAGCCTATTCATTACTTATGCCGCCATTTTTATCACGCAACAGTGTGTTTTTCGGTGACATTTGACGTCATTGTTTTTGGGTTATAGCTGTTTTAGTCATCGCTCTGATGCGATACTGGGCTGAGTGCCGGCAGGGAACTGCCTCCGGATTGCACGCTGATCCTCCGGTGCTCCGCCAAATAATTATTGACAAATATCCGACGGCCGGCCAATATGTCCGCCTTTTGCTGTAAAACAACATCACGGGGGTGTCAGTGAGCCGCCGGGGCAATGGCGGCTCGGCGGAGTGGCGGCGACCAAGCCGCTCTTGTTGCCAGCACGGAATGGGGGGAGAATATCGGGCGTTCCAAAATCAAACGGAGACTATGCTGAATAGTTTAAGAAAAAAAAAAACTTAGCTTTTTTGGCTTTGGAACCCCGCCGCCGGTCTGTGTGATCTTCAGCAATTTTTGTAGTGGTTGTTACAAAGCAGTTTCGTTAGTCAGTGGCTATTTTTATCTAGGGTAGGGGCATTCTCTATAGCTGGGTCGGGGCGTTCGAGGGCATCCACTAGCAGATACTAATAGATAAAAAAATAATATATAATACTCTTCAATTACCGTGTAGGAAGCGACTACGAGGCGTTATAGATGATAAATCCGGTATGTGAGCTACTTCACGACGCCGTAACGAAACTGGGTTCAGCCAATTAATGTGTATTAGAGGTGAAATCAAATGAAATATCGGTACAATTGAAATAAATAATTTTATTTAAATGAGTTTTTCATATTAAAACTGGTCGCATATATAGCCGGTTAAGAAATAATTTAAAAAATTAAAATAAGACTTCTCGTTACATGAAAAATAAGTTAAATAACTAAAAAAAAGAAATCAACTTATTAAATAAGTACTTACACAACCGAGTCAACGATAATTAAAAAAAAAGAGATTATTTTATATATAAGCCGTATAAGTTTTTAATGATATTCTAGGTTAGATCTTTTAGTTTTCGTGGTTTCGAGTGGAGATATATTTTTAGACATTTTATTTTTTTCTTTTCGTACGACAGCTTATAGTCTAGTGTACGGGTTTGTTACTGTGATAAATAAAAATGATTAATTTTCCGAAATGTGAAATACTTCATATAATATATTAAAACAACATTGAACTTTACGACGTTCTGATAATATAAAGAAGACATTTTAAATTCTTTTACACACAGATGGCACTTTACATTATCAGAGACTGTCACTTATAAAATACAAATTGTGCATACTCACAGACATCTGTATACATGCATAACGCTGTAACATAAGCAGTTTCACACCTTTAAATGCGAAGCGAAAATAATTAAAATACAAGTTAAAAAAAACAAAAGAAACAACATTTGTACCAAAAAAAAAATAAAAAAAAAACAATTCAACATCTCTTCAATAGATACTCTGTACTTACAATCTACAAAGCGGCCGCCATTTTGTTGCCCTGTACCGGTCACAAAATGGCCGCTCGCGTAGTACATACACACCTCTCATACGAGGCGCTCGTCAGTTTGAATGCGACTTAGGAGTCGTGATTTGTGTTTTGTGACGTAATGTTACAATGTTAAGGTCGCTAATCGTCTGTACGATCGGGGGGCGAGTATGTACCGAAGGCTTGGGTAAGACGTGCAACACACGCTCATGCGCTAACTAGACGTTATTCGACTGTACCTACGTCACATTGTTACACCAGGTCCAGCGTCGTAAGTACACCGTACCACTGCCTACTCGAGTCGAACCTAAACTTACCGTTAACATCTGAAATAGAGCATTTCTGCTAAAACTGGGCGGCCCCCACCATACATAACTAGTGGCGAAAGAAAATGCTATGGAATTTGCTTCAAATTTTATTATTAATTGTAAATAGTTCAATAGTTCTCGGTAACATTACGCTATACAACAGTGTTTTAGGTCTTGACAGTTGTGAGAGTCCCTTCCTGTCGCATGTTCAAGCTACGATTCCCATTCATAATAAACTTCAGGCATGTACGAGGGTTGGCAAATCGATAAAATGATTTAATATCATATAGACAGGCGCGTTAACGAAGTCGATGAGGCGTTCAAGTGCTTAAACGTCAGAAAGAAGGAGTTAAGTGGTCCCAAAATTTACTATGAAACAAACACAATGCTGATTGGGAGTGGGTCCGTTGTAGCCGTGTGCGTTACAACGTACGCACTCCGCGCATTTCCGGTTTGGAACGTTAACATTACCTTGTAAAATTCAAGACTATAGGATTAAAAAGTTACAATAACACGAGACGACTCGATTTATAACAGCTATACAAAATATCACTGCTCCGATATACATATACAAAGACGTTCGAGAAACTTCTTACATATTTACAAACATGTTCGTCTCTAAGATAGCAGTGTTCGTTACTTATTTTAACGACTGACAGAAAGATTCGTTACATAGATCCGAATGAAACAGCCTACATTCAGTGGCCCCGTCGTTATCGGGACGTGCTATCGTCAAACATTAAAAATATCCATACTGCTCTATTTTAACCTCAACATTGCATAACGTAAACAGCACAAACGGGCTGGTTCAGAGGCGCCGTGGCGCACTAACAGGCACTATTCGGTGTAGGAGCCTACTAACGTCGGGCCGCTAACCTCAAACTACGCAAGTTTATTGCTATCGACTACCTAGTTCTAGAAAAAATTTCAACACTTATTTAAAAAAAATAAAGTCACTTAAATCTACGTTTCTAAGACTGAAAGACGTCCCTCGTGTGTGTATATAATAAAGCGTAAATAAGTAATCGAGCTGTCGTAACGTCGCGTTGAGATTGCGCGCGAGATTGTACGGTACGGTAATTAAGTACGGTTCCGGTCGCGGACGAGCGGTGAAACGGTCGGAGCGCGGAAGTGGGCGGGGAAGAAGGGGGCGGGGGTGTGGGGGGTTGGGGGTTCGGGTTCGTTCGTGTGGTGCGTGGGTGTCGGTCGGGCGCGGTCGGGGCCGTGGCGTTCGTGGGGCCTAGAATATGGTGGTCTCAGTGCGTTGCGCGGCCGGCACGTCGTCCGCGTCGATGTACGCGATGTCCTGCGGGGGGGCGCGCAGCCGCGAGCGCAAGCCGGCCGCCGAGTGGGCGGACAGCCGCTCCTCCAAGTCCTCCAGCGTCGATTTGAACGCGCGCACCACGCGCAGCTGCAACCAACACAACCCTCCCAGTGCGCGCACGCCCCTACGCCCCGTCTATTACACCCTCGCCGCTGCCTACGCCCGCCTACCGACGCTGCACACGCGACGCCGCCGTTATACCGAGTGTGGTGTGGATGTTCTCGAGAGGCTACGGCGCTACGGCTGTATTCAGAGTACGTTCAGTGTGACGCGGACGTCGCTCTAGGACGGCGCACTACGCATGCATCTAGATCGCGGAAATGGGGGGGGGGGGGGGGGGGGGGTTCGGACGGACCCCCGGACGGGTGGCCGGTGCTGGGTGGGCGCCATGCACGCGCTAACAGAACAGAGCACTAACAAAAAAAGAGGGTGCTAGCGAGAGCTGCTACGAGAGCGACGCGGCGGACTGCCTCGGGGTGGGAGGGGCTCACTAGATGAGACGTCACAAAGCGGGACGATGGTAGAGGGGGTTCTTCGAGGAGTCCGGAGCATCGGTAGTCGACAGTCGAGTGGAGACAGGGTGCGGGCGGGCGGACGGTGCCTGATGAAGGACAGCAAAGTCTACCGGAGCAGACGTGGGATGCAGCACAGACGGGGAACAGAACTCTATTGAAAACGCTCGCAGCAAGTAGACGACACTAGTCCCACTCACGAATGCTAATGACGGCTTTGATTTTTTACATTCAATCCTATTCGTTTATTCTTATGTATCATTACGAAAAAATTAAGTTTATTAAACCAATTGAGTACTGAATGATTTACTCTTTAAATTTTTTTACCACCTACAAAATCACGCCCACTAAACACTGTACAATTTGTCGAAATTCAATATTTATTATCTCGAGACAACTCGCGTTTCACGCCAAATAGCTTTTATTACTGAACGGGATTTTTCATTCGTATCATCAACTTGTACAGATGTCAACGTGAAATTTCCCGCGCTGTCAAAAGCGTCGAGCTGTCGGTCCGCCGCCACGCGACTAGTGTCGTCCGGCCCGCCGCGCGCCGGGATCTACGCGCTAGGGTTGTGTACCGTCAGCGTCCGTCGCACGCAGCGCGCCGCCAGCCGCCGCGCCCGCCACTACACCTCGGTCTCCAGCACAGGCCGGGGCTGCCAACAACATCTCTCAACGACGCGCGGCTCGCCCCATTCGACACCGTCCTACGTGCGCAGCCCTAACTTTACAACTGCTCGCGCCAGATTTGGGGGCACTGTGTGTCGCCTCACTAATCGTGTGTTTTTTTATTTTCTTTTCGACGGCAGCACGCTTCGCTCGCCTGGTGCGAGATATTGTTACTTCTTTTTAGCCAGTGTTTCGCATAAAGGATTATTTCTAAACAAATCAAACAAATATGCCAAAAATACTAAGTTTAGAGACATTGTCTTGTATGGAGTTCGAGTCAAAACTATATTAATAAAAAATATAAAAACTTTGTAGAACTATCTTTTTAAGAAATAGGAAAAATTTATTATTCTTGTCACAAGAGAAAGGTGTGAAAAAATAAACTAACATCAAAGTTATACTGAAAAACATAAACGATGTTTTATTTTTCACTAACTAACAAGTATCACTTCATTTTAAAATATCTTTTTTTTTTTCATTTTATCTTTTGACGTATTGTGTTAATTGATTTTTTTAACGATTCCGATTTTTATGTTTTCCTAATATAATTCGTACATCCAGGCGAGTAAAGCGTGTTAATGTAGGTTTCACCTTTACTTTTGTCAAAATCCATGTTCTACGTCCCCATATCTGCTGTCGTTGAAGCAGGCAAACACGGAAAGAGTGGAACCTATTCGTAACACAAAGAAAAAAGAAACAAAAGAACAAACGGATCTGTGTCTGGTGTATACTGAGGCATGTATGCGGCCATTGTTGGGCCGGTGTCACGTGATACGAATATGACATTCGGAGGTGCCAAACCAAATGGGGAACGATGAAACCATAAAACAAAAAAAAAAAAACAATGAGAGAAGAAATCGGGGGTTCGGATTGAAATGGCTGTCGAATCGAGGCCTTAGCTATCCTGCCGACTTGCTGGCTACACTACGCCTAGACAACGCAGGGGGATGAGACCTAAGAATGATTTGGAGGAACTGGGCACACTACCACACCTCGCCGGGTAACACCTAGTCCGCCACTAGATGGCGTTCAGCGTCGGGTTCAATTTTACATGGAGTTTTTATTCTGGAATTTATTTTTAATCAACTTTTATTTATACGGCACTTATTAAATTTCGATGTACATCAAATTCCATATGCCTCTATGGTGGTGGCTCGCATTTTATATCGTCATTTTAGTACATGTCATATTAACGCGTGCTTAATCTATCATGCCTTGTTATAGGTTTGTTAAACATCTAGTCTCGGGGGCCAAGGATGGACGAACAATCCACCTACAAGGTTTAGTATGACGTCTTACAATTGTGTAAAAAAAAGTAACAAGATGGCGTTAACAGTCCCATCTCTAGTTGTCGATAAAACCGATATCGGTACATTGGCAATTCGATATTAACATTTGCACAATTGTAGCGTCGAGGAAATTAGAAAGCTACACGGAATCACCGCATTTGTTTTTAATTTAAAAAAAAAAACCGAAACACGTTAGTTCTACACATGATACTTACCGGTCGTAGCTGCGACGCATACGATGTAACTCTATATACAGTTAATACATTATATGAACACTACAACAAGCCTAAACGCAAAATAACAAAAAGGCGATGTTTTATCTTTCCAATTGGCAAGGCAAGGCAACTACGGACATTAATACCCCATCTGACAACACCCCCTCCCTCCCTCTCGAAATTACGATTCGGACGGACAACATTCACGTACAAAAACAAACAAATACAAACAAAAAAAAAACAAAACATGGAGGGAAAAAAACTAAAAAAAAAAAACACTCAAACACTGACAACACAACAGCAAAGGAAAAAAGAGACGTGGTCGGTCGAGAACGGTTAAATTATCAAGTGTTAGTGCGGCGAGCATACGCGGCATGCCCTCTATCAAAAAAAAAAAATGTGTACTATAAACATTTTTTCTCGAATTCAAATAAAAAATTACATATCTCTTTAAAGATCTATATCAAGAAAAAATCCACTCCACACTCAAAACGGACAACTGCGCAGTGACGGTGCACGTTTCGTTGCGATCGTTAATTATTAGTTGTTTGGGAACGCGAAAACGTTGTGGCGTTTCCGCGTCGCAACGAACGTGTTACTGCAACGTTATTTGGATATCGGTGGCGCGTGTTAGTCGGACGCCGTGCGGGCTACCGGCACTCGGGCTTGCGAGTTTCATACAAGAGCTCGGGTTGATTTGGAACAGTGACGAGGATGTATCGGGTTGGCGTATCACAAGCGAAAAAGGTACAAAAAAAACACTATTCTTAAAAAGTAAACAATTAGATAAATAAAAAAAAACAAAGACAAAACAGTGAAAATAAAAATCAAACAGTCAGTATGACTAAGAGTGGAAAAATAAAAGACAGAGTAGGAAAAGAGACAGTCATATTCATACCGCGATGTTTGTTAATGTTGAGTATATTATATATATACGTATATTTCAAAAACAGAACAAACAAAAGATTAAATTAAAATCTGAACACTATGGGGTACGTAGTCATAGTAACTGTTTGAGGGTACAATTAATTATGAGGGATAAGTAACATCGTCACAGCCTACATAAATCGCATGCCAATGGGGTTGTGGTACAGGTTGGTGGGGGTGCTAATTAGGTTAAATAAAACAGAGGAGAAAGAGGAGGTAGGAGAAGAAAACAAATCGTAGAAAGTGTAACGGGAAGCGTCAGACTGGGTTCTTTGCTTAGCATGCACGGCCGTTACTCGCGATTTATCAGGCTTCTAACTAGTGTACTAGTAACTAAGGGCTTGGCCCCGGTTCCATGACAGCTTGGGTGCGGTGTGCGAGAGGGACAGCTGCTAGTACGGACTACGGTTCGGTATCGGAAACGGCAAGAGGTGTCGAGACAGAGATAGAGAACAGAATCGAATCGGAGCAGACAGATGTCATGAAACCAGGTCGAAAGTTTTTTTTTTTAGAATAGTCAACAAAGAAAATAAAAGTCTAGTGTAGCGTCGCTCGATTGCTTATTTCGTTGTTGCTGTTTCATTCATCAACGTTAAAACGCTTTATTTTTTTTATAATCGCGTTTTTTTTTCTAATCTCGCACAACGAAATAAACAGACGGACGAATGGTAAACTACGTTAATGGGCCAAAAATAATGTAGCGTATCTACTAAAATTTTAATCGTGTAAAGTGTTTCTCTGTGGTAGGTATAGAAAATAAATAAGTATTCAACGAGAACTGAAGTATACAGGAGAATGAAACTGAATTTGAGGCGAGAGAGAAATGAAATAAAAGGAGAGTAAAATAAAATAATATAAATGAAATAATAATAAAATAAACAATTCGAAACGAATATATAATAATGAACGTTCAGTCGTTAATCGGAATGGTCTGAATCACGCTAAAGGAATTTTATTGTGCCGTTCTAAATTTGATCTTTTTTTTATCACCGGCTATACCGATTTAATTCAAGGTATGTGTTTTCAAATAAAATCATTCAGCTATACTATGACGGTATTCTATTCATGGAAGCATAATATTGGAAAAAATGGTGGTTATATTCGGCTTGTATGCGGTAGAACAAAAGTATATGTATATAATAATATATATATAATATGTATATATATATATATATATATAAATTGACTCGTATCGTTGACTTAGCGTTAGGATGCCCAAGGTATCCGCAGTGTTGACCTGTTGACTTTGCTGTTTATGATTTCGGGTTTTTTTTTTGTTTTATTATGCTGCAAACTAAAAACTTATCCCTCTCACGAATTACACACGAACATTTCTGCCACTCCTATATTTTATTTATTTATATTTACTTTAAATCATATAATAGTAGGACAAATCATCTCAACGTCCGTTACTGAAATAAGCTTACGTGCAGTATATTGTCTTATAATAGTAAACTTAGTTTAGCAACGAATCTAATGGATGCCGTAGAATATCACAATGTATTTAATCAGTCTTCGAATCACAGACGTTTCGATTATGATGTTCTATGACAATGGACAACAAATGACAGTCTTTCGGGAACTATTACAAAATTTACATTAGAAAATCCAATAAAATTAACTATACACGATAAAAAATTGTCTAAAGAACTGAGTAATATCCGTCTAAAGTTAAATCGTAAAATAAGACTTATAAAAACTAATTAACTATAACTAACAAAACACTGTCATTCGATTTCGTACTGTAAATAACGGTTTCAATGAATTTTCGCTTAATTATTCCTATTTCCGATTCCTGTTTAAAAAAAATAAACAATTATTTACAGTAAGTATATTATCACAGTAAAAATATATTTAACAATGGACTGGTACGAGATTTCATCAGTTCAATATTGACCCCACAAAAGTTATATTTGAAATTAAGGGAATAAATTACGCATCAAATTCGCAAAATACATAGACAAAATCTGACATTGACCCCTTATGATAGCGTAACATTGAAGCGAAATGGACCCAATTTAGCTGCAAAATCATTACACCCAAGAGCGAATAGGCCGAACTTTGCATTTGCATCATTAATGCTTCAGTTAGTGCTATGGCAACATATTTATATGTCAAAACACTAACAACAAATGAACCGAAATTCACATTCAATTATTATTATTTATCTGTCAGAATACTTAATTCGCTAACAACACTGTTATGGTGCCCAAAAATACTATTAAAATAATTAGAGATTAGAAAAACAAAAAAAGAACATCTAATTTCAATTGCCCCATAATCCGGTATTCATAACTCGGCTCGAGAGCAATAAAAACGTTACTTCATTTCAAAATTCGAACGTCGACACCGGTCAGAAAAAAAAACAAACGATGAAAAATCTCTCGTACAGAAACCCGAGACATCAGTTTAAATTCGGAACGCTCGGACGCGCGACGCGTCCGGTCGGCCTATTCGCTGCGCTGACGTCACGCGGCCCCCCCCCCCCCCCCCCTATCCCCGGACAGTAACGCCCCCCCCCCCCCTGTCCCGGGTCCGCGCCGCGAGCGTACCTGCGTCTGCAGGCGCGTGAGGCCGCGTATCCACAAGATCTGGCCCGCGCGCGGCTTCTTGTCCAAGTCCGCGTCGTAGTCCGGCCCGGGCTGGATGGTCTCCGGGTCCGGCTGGCCGCGGCCCCAGCTGCGGTTTACAGTCAAAGTAAGTCAAAATTTCACTATTCAACAATGTAGGCTTGTTTGCTTGTAGGCTTATTGAGCGTACCGCCGCTACCACTTGAATTAGTGCAGGGCCTATATAGCGACATTTTTTTTAATGTGAAAAGTTGCCAAGCGTACAGACGGTACGCCTGATATTAAGTGAATACTGCCGCCCATGGACATTTGCTACAGCCGAAGTTTACAGATGCGTTGACAACCCTTTGGAAATTGGGCTGACGTAGTATGTAATACCCACTGCACACCCGTATAAACAGATCGGCCTGTTATACGGGTCCAATTGCTGGGCAAAGGTCTCCTCCATACAGAGGTTAGTAATAACTTAATGTAAATACCTTCTCATAAAAATAATGATAAAATTGTAGGACACATTTTTTTACACAACATTCCCTAGTCCCAAACAGAGCAACGCCTGTACTATGGGTACTAGATAACTGATGGATATACTTAACGTACTTTTTGTAAATAAGTACGTATATGCATGTATAAACAAGTAGACACTGGAAAAACACTATGTTCACCACACAATACGCCAATCGGGTCGTCTATTCTTAGAGTATTAGTTAGGGTCGTAGTCCAACCACGCGACCTCACTCCGGACTGGATAGATTACGTATAACATTAGTTTCAGTAGAATCCTAAGCTGAGTCCCTTATCGTAATAAGTAATAATAGAGAGCTTTTTTACTTTTTTTAAATTTTTATCATCATTAAATTTTAAGATTCATGATAATTATGGCCTGAGCTCTCTTTGGGCCGTTGTATCTATTTCATACATTTTTCCATTTCACCATCTCTTGTTCAATTTAATATGATATATTTCAATTAATCAGCAGTAACTTAAACGTAAAACTCCGAATTGAATATGCAATGTACATAGTATTCAATATGGCGTTGTATCTTTAGTAACTTCCATACGTAGGCCGTAATGGGATCGAAGCCATACGCAATATACTCACGAGAGCTTCTTGGGTATCTTCCTAGTGGGCACGGTGGTGACGAGCTGGCCCCAAACCAGCGTCCCCGCGCCGAAGAACAAACACCAAAGCCACTGGTCTATCGAGAGCCCCGCCGTGCTGAACGCCATGCCGCCGAATTGTATAATTATCACCTGGAATGTTATTAACCCTAATGTACACTCAATTGCATTAAACTTTCTTCCAAATACTTATAAGCCTTTTATATAAAGCGATATGTGTGACGAGTAAATAATAAGCGACAGGTGAGTGTCTCGTAGAGCAATCACGATTGCGAGATTTTTAGTTCGTTTTGCACTGCCAATATGGGTCCCGGCAAACATTGTGAAAATTGCATTAAACTGTCCTATACCCAATTTTTAGCTCCCAAGGTGGTGGAATCGGATCAATCGAAAAACTGCGACTGACAAGCCAAGACGCAGTTCATCCATTCACTGCAGATCCGTTCGAAAATAAAATTTCAAATACCTACCTAACAGAGCTAGTGTACGATGAACTACGGTAGGAAATTTATATGTTGTAAACCTCAGCTATTTACGTAGTCTAAAATGATAATTAGTCCAAAATGATTTCGGTCCTTCGCTCCGGGGGTCGTGGGTTCGATTCCCACACGAGACAACTATTCGAGTCACCCACAGATAATTGTTTCGCATCTAGGTCTAACCGACAGAAACGTCTACAACAGAGGATAATGTTAACCTACAGTGAGGGGCAAGGTTTTCGAAGGGAAGACTGCAATAGTGAATTTAAGTTTGTGAAACGTCAATCAAAAATCGGCAAATTAAAAAAAAAGATCTTTCTAGGTCGCAGTGGCCGTTGGGGCTTATCCGCCCTTATCCGATACCATGCGAATAGAGCACAAACACTCGCCTGCGATAGAGCGGTCCCTATCCATATCGAGTAGAAGATGGGGTTCGTGAAGAGTCCCTGGAACACGTTCCGCTGGCCGTGGATCTTGCGCGCGTTGATCTCGTTGAAGAGGGTCATCATCACGAAGGTGTTGAAGATGATGGTGAAGTGCTGGGTCGGCTCGGCGCCGAGCGGCTGCCCGCGCCCCGAGGGGATGTTCAGAATCCTGTCACCTGTTCGAGCGACGTTTATTTGTGACTAGCCGAGCCCGAGACTTCGTCCGCGTGGAATTATATTATATATATATTAATAACAATAAATAAAATTTCTAAACTAAAAGTAGCCCAAGTTACTCCTTATTACATCAGCTATCTGCCAGTGAAAGTCCTGTCAAAATCGGTCCAGCCGTTTCAGAGATCAGCCGGAACTTAATAAACAGCGGTTATTTGAATCTTACAAACAGACACTTCAATTTTATTTATCTGTATATTTTCGTCACATCCTGTGAAATTTTTCCTTAACAAAAAACAAAAGCGACTAATATCTTACTATACATTTTCTGTTTGATTTCTCCCTGATGTAAAGTCCGGGAGTTGTTCGATATCACCACATTAAGTGTGATCAGATACGATCAGTTACCTTGACCCATACTGACCTACGAATAGCAGTGAGAAAATGATGAAGAGCTGGTATATGGCCTGGCCGAGGATGTTCTTCATCATGGTGCGGCTGATGAGGGGTTTGGTCCTTCCGTAGGGCTTCCGTAGCAGGAGGTCGGAGGTTGGCAGTTCGGTAGCGAGAGCCAAAGAGGCGAGCGTGTCCATTATAAGATTCACCCACAACATTTGTACCGCCTGCAGAGTGCAAATTAAACGGATTGATCTTTGTATAATCGACGATGTAAAGTGACTAACTACTTGGATAACTTCGTGGCGCAATTGCCAAGGTATTGGTTTCGGCATCGGGGGTCTACAATGAATATGCCAAATAATGAAGAGGCAAATTTCTCCATCAAAATATGGTGACGACTCGTTCTTGCGTTTAAAGGCTTTAAGTCGAAAATTAGATTTATATCCGTATGAAATCATTCAAAATAAAAGAATAGTCCTCAGCAAGAGGATCGAGTTGAATGATATTAGTTAAACTTTGCACGGTACAGATAGAATAGAATAAAAAGTACAGTATGAAGGAACCAGACAACGAGACCCCCGGCCGGGAGGGCGCCAGTGGCGGACGGGGCTCACCTTGAGCGGGCTGTCCTGTATCGCGCAGGCGCCGATGAACGCGACGATCACCGCGACTACGTTCACCGTCAGCTGGAACTGGAGGAACTTCGCGATCGAGTCGTACACGTTTCGGCCCCACATCACCGCCTTCACGATCGACGAGAAGTTGTCGTCTGTGAGGATGATGTCGGACGCCTCCTTCGCCACGTCCGTGCCCGCGATGCCCTGGGCGGTTCGAAAAGAACGAGTGAACGAATGAATGAATAGATCCAGGAACGAAGGCTTAAGCTGCCAATGAATAAGTGGGATTGTAATGGGTGCTCGGGCTCAACTTAAGGCAGACGTAATTACGACGTTTCGATGACACACGTCGCACGAAATCTTCATCTACCAATCCATCTAAGGAGAATTGGAATTCATACAGGAAATTTACTTTACGGGAATCTCGATGAATGTATACAGCCCATTAGGATTGCAAAAACGCGACTGTTAAGTCATTTCTAAGTTTTTAAAGTTACGCCAGCGGTGTTTCCACCGATCTTTCTAGAACCGCAGCGAAGTGAGGCGGCAACGCGACCTCACCTATGTTTTTTATTACTTATCAATTATAATAGACTCTAGCGCAGACGGGAAGTCTCCGCTAGAGTCTATCATATCTAGACCGATCAATCTCAAGTCTCTGACACGTTTCTGCAACCCATCAAGTACATTCCTATTGGTGAATCCCTAACCAATGACAATTTCTTTTATTTTAGGCGATTACACATTATAAATTAAACTTAATCTTCTGGATTTCTCGTGTTTATTTTAATTCCCCACGTTTCGAACCCTTTACATGACCATGGTGATCGTAAAATTAGTTTCATCCCCAATCACCCACGTTTTTGTAATGTATCAACAATGATACAGTCGACTCTAGCCAGAGACTCCGGCATCACCCACGCTTAGCTAATCAAGTAGTAGTAGTCTCCGGCCACACCCACGTTTCTGTAGCTCACGAAGCGCGATAGGGTCGCACTTCTCGGCCGTTCTAGAGGGAGGGGGGGCCTCACCATGGCGAATCCGACGTCGGCCTTCTTGAGCGCTGGTCCATCGTTGGTGCCGTCGCCCGTGACGGCCACCACCTCGCGCGTGTCGAACGCCTTCGACTCGATCATCCCCTTCACGAGCGTGTACTTGTCCGTCGGCGAGGAGCGCGCCAGCACGCGCAGCTTCGGCCACACCTTGTCGATCAGGTGCTGCTGCACCTGCAAGTTGGTCGCTCGACTTTGAGAGTTGCTCTTTTTTATGGGAGAAATTGCCAAGCGAGCAGACGGTCCACCTGATGTTAAGTGAATAACGCCGCCCATGGACATCTGGTACACCCGAAGGTTCCAGATGCCTTGATAGCCTTTTGAAAATTGGACTCCGGCCACCTCACTCACCAGAAGAAACGCGAAAGTAATATACTTCCACTTTAACTGTAAGTAACCGTAACACTGTAACGGTAAGTAACCGTCACGGTCTGGGAACCTTCAAGAAGAGAGCTTCTTTCCTAACAGGCAGACAACGCATTTGCAAGCCCCATTTGTCAACCACGCTACCCCACTGCGGAATGGAGGAATTCACTCATTTCGAAATATTTTTTTTCGTTTGTTGTTTCTTCGAAATGATGCATCCCTAAAATTTGTAACTGGGCGAAATTACAGGAATATATACATGAGACGAAGTGTTACACTTCTGCGTTTCGTCTGGCAAGTGAGTGGTTATACTCCACACCGGGTGAACCGGCAGCTCGGTTGGCACTTTCTCGCATATAAAAAACCCACCTCGCCGTTGGCGTCGCGGATCCTCTTGTTGAACTCCTTGCCCTCGAGTATGAGGAAGTCGTCGGTGGGCTTCAGGATGCCGCACTTGACCGCGATGGAGCGGGCCGTGTTCACGTTGTCGCCCGTCACCATCCGCACCGTGATGCCCGCCTTCTGGCACTTGCGGATCGCCTCCGGCACCTGCCAATTGCGGCTTTATGTCAGGGGGCTAAGGTGCACTTTCGTTCGGCGAGTGCGTTTCGTACATACACTATGATATATAAATATAGAGTCTACCATTTTTCCAGTGTTATGAAAGTATACTAGTGATATGAGTAAGTAAAGTAGTAACTATTGATATAACACTATATGAACGAAGTACCAATAACATCTAAATTAATATACAAAAATAAAGATATACATATAAAGATAGTTAAAACATACCTCGGGCCTGACAGGGTCTTCAATTCCAACTACACAAAGGCAAGTGAGGTTGTTCACGATATTGTCCTCGTCGTCCCAGTTCGGCTCTTGGTCTATGTGCACCTGTTAGAAAGAGACAAAACGTGGACGTTTTAAGTCAATAGTTAACAGTAATAAAATAGTTTGCTTGTGCTAGGCAGCACAACTCTTGCATAGCAAACTTACAATAAACTAATAGAAACTATCTTAATACCAACTAATAATACATTATAACAATTTTAATATCTAATTTTCAAATCAACGTAGGTTAAAATGTCTAGTCAGACTGCGTTTTAAAGATGATTCTATAAAAACATTGTGTTTGAATGGGATTTTTCACTGATATATAAGAGAATTTTCAATTTGAAGTTCTATTATATGTATAATTAATTATTGCACATGTCAATTTAGTTGATAGACCAAAATATAAAAGCATAAATAAAAATAAGGGGCTTCCCCGCACCTGGTTGATGTCGGCCTTGCCCGGCACGAAGTCCCTGTACGCTACCGAGATGGTCCTAAGGCCGTCGCAGGCCATCGGCTCTATCACCTGCTTCACGAGGCGCTCCTGCATGTCCCGGGTGAACTTCTCCAGGCGGCCCTCGTGTCCGTATATGAACGCGCACCTGCACACAGATACGCGTTACAGCACTGGACACTTGTGTAAGTGGTTGATTTCTACCATATGGGAAATGCGCGCATATGAGAAAAATTATGAGTGAATACTTTTACAACGCGCGACTCTCTTTCGGTAATTTGATGTAGATATAATATTCCAACAGCCTGCTTGTGTTTTTTTTATTTTATATCATTTTAACAGAGTTCATCATTTTCATTTTATTAATTTATAATTATTTGTTAAAGATAAAAGATAATGTTTCTGTTACCTACAAATTTAGTATGTTTTATGGTGTTGTGTTTACCTGTTATTTTAATATTGTCACAACTTAATGATTAAGTTTAACCCATGTATGTAGTTAGTAAGCCTTAATAAATAATTTATGAAACAAATAACTGAATTAATAAATTTTTGAATAGCAACTTATTCAAGGCAATTAGGGAGGAATGAATGAATGGGCGAAATAATAAATTGCACTCACTTCTTCAGAACAATCTCGGAGGAATGAATGAATGAATGAACGAAGCAATAAATAGCACTCAATTCTTCAGAACACACTCGGGGGAATGATTGAATGAATGAACGAAGTAATAAATAGCACTCACTTCTTCAGAACGATCTCGGAGGCGCCCTTAGTGTAGAGCCTGTAGCCGCCCTTGTAGGGTATGACGGTGGACATGCTCTTGCGCACGGAATTGAACGTGTAGACCCTCGTGAAGGACTCCTCGGGGTGCCGCTCGCGGACCGCGTCGTAGCTCTGGCCCAGCGCCACCACGAAGCCCAGCAGGGCGCACTCCGTCTTGTTGCCCACCTGCATCGGCGGCCCTGTCGGGTCTTGGGAGGGCTGGAACGACATCCACGTATATTATTGTTGTACTTTGTGATAAAAGATGAGTGAACGATAAATATTCACTTTAATCCAGGAAAAGTTTTAAAGCTTAAACGCAGAGATGGCAAATGAGCGTGTTGCCAGTGTGAGTAAGTAACACCAAAAAACTCAAGTTATGACTGGAGTATGTTTTTATTTCTAACCATGATGATGCTTGTATAACCATCATCGTTGGAAAAAAAATAACACTGAAGTCCAAGTCAAAATTTCTCTATTTACTACACAACAATAACAATAACAAACTAATTTTGTCATCAGAATAGCTATATGTTATAATCACACTTATCCAAGCGCCATGGCACCTTTTTTACGCAAAGACAACTGCAACCCACCATAATTCTGGACGTGAAGGCACTGTTGACGGACACCCCCTCGATCAGGGTCTCCCCCACCTCGGCGGGGATGTCCCGGAAGTTGGGCGTGACCTTGCAGAGCTTCTCGCAGATGTAGGACTGGACGACGGTCATCCGGTTGGTGGTGAGGGTTCCAGTTTTGTCCGAGCAGATGGCGGTGGCGTTGCCCATCGTCTCGCACGCGTCCAAGTGGCGCACCAAGTTGTTGTCCTTCATCATTTTCTGCGTCGCGAGAGAGGCGGGGTTAGTTAAGGGCACATTTTTATATAGCGTTATCTAGACCCGAACTATGCAATGCTTGTACTATGGATACTAGGTTGATGAACATACTTAAACATACTTTTATCTTTAAATATATTCTTTTTATATTTATCTTTTATTATCATATTCTTCTGTACGTGTGTACTGTGTATGTCACTGAACTCCTCCTAAACGTCTGGACCGATATTAATGATTTTTTTTTGTGTGTGTTCAGACGGTTTCGACAATGGTTCAGATTCACAAAGTTATTCAAAAAAGTTTGAAATTTTCAAATTTAAGACGTGTGCAGGAAACGACGTCTGTCCGGTCCGCTAGCAGATGTATAAACATCCAGACACTAGAACATAGTCAGTGGAGTAACAAAGCTAGCCATATGTTACGGTAGAGTGGAAAAGGGCTTTTGGTTTGCAACACTCAGCATTCAGCTTCGCGTAATTTGTTAAATGGATGAAAACGGTATCAAAACTCGCCTATACACATTACATTGTATATTAATTTCGTACACAGCTCACAAAGATACGGTTCGTACGAACTTCTCACCTTCACGGAGTAAGCGAGCGAGAGCGTGACGGCCAGCGGTAGACCTTCAGGCACGGCAACCACCAGCACCGTCACACCGATGATGAGGTGCTTCACCAGGTTGTTGATGTAGGTCGCCTTCCACGGCCGGTCCTCTATGACGAAGGTCTTCACGCAGAACTGCACCACTAGGATGATGACCGTCAGCACGGCGATGGTGGAGCCGGCGTAGCCGATCTGCGGATCAATAGACGAGGGCATAAGTAAACATGGTTATAATAATGTTTTAGCTGCCAGTGTTTCGTAACAATACGTTTTTCTCATGTGAGAACGTGTCAAGCGTGCTGACGGTTCACTTAATGTTAAGTAACGTAAAGTGATAACCGCCGCCCATAGACGTTTACGGCTAACTACGATTGTAATTGTAGTTAGCTGTATATACGCACGTGAGCTTCTTGTGTGCGTGTACTGTGTTTGTGTGTGTGCTTTTATTGTAATTATGGTTTTAAATTATTTTTTTTTAAATAATTTATTGTAAATGTTCATTTGCGGAGTGGATGGCCCGGGGTCGTGGATTCGATTCTTACACGGGACAAGTATTTGTGTGACCCACAGATAATTGTTACGAATCTGGTTTGCTTCCCAAGGAGGGTTGACGACAGACAGACGGGCCGGTCGTGAAAAGCATAGCCGAAACCGCTTACGACACGTTTGAATAGTTATTCCATTTCACTAGTTGTTTTTGAAGCTTATTTCATTAGTGTGTGTGTGCGTGTGTGCGTGTGTGCGTGTGTGTGTGTGTGTGTGTGTGTGTGTGTGTGTGTGTGTGTGTGTGTGTGTGTGTGTGTGTGTGTGTACACGTATGCGTGCGGGCGTGCGTGTGTGTGTTTGTGTGTACGTATGCGTGCGCGTGTGTTCGTGTGCACCGCGCACCTGTATGGCGAGCTTGGTGAGCTTGGCCTGGAGCACCGACTTCTCCTTCTTGTGCGACGTCTCGGCCGGCTTCTCCGTTGCGGGCGGCACGTGGTTGTCGTCTGGCAGGTGGTTGGCGCCATGGCTGTTGCCAGCCGCTGGTAGCGCCGCGTCCTCCTCGCCTGCGCGTACAAACCGTTAAGAACCCCCCACCCCGACAACCCGCCCGTTTGGTACGTCGCCGTTACGTCATCGTAGCGTAGTTACATTTACTACGGGATACAATTTCTTGTTTTTTTTTTTTTTTTGGTTGTATCCACCTCTGTTTCTTTTTTTGCAAATTTCGCAGATACGCGAAGTCCGCGCAGTGGGGTCGCGTGGTGGACTACGCCCTGATACCCTCTATACAGAGGAGGCCTTTGCCCAACAGTGGGACATTTATAGTTACTTTACTTCACTACCACTTAAGGTGGCCCGGACGCTCGGGCCGCCTTAAGCAGTACACTGTAAAGTAAAATGTTATTTATATTCTTAAATAATTTCATTATCAGAACGACGTACCAAACGAGAATAAATTATACCACAGTAAAAGGGAATTAGGCAAACACTTTATTAAATAATTAAAAATAAAAGAAGGTAAAAGAAAAAAATAAAATGTTATTTTGAGTCTTTGGCAGAAGATATTATAAAGGCAAATTAAAAATGTTCACTTGTATGTACCCTTGTAAGAGTTTTAGATTGTATTATTGTGTCGTATTATAATAATTTAATTTATAAATATATAATATAGTGTATATTGTTAATGCTTTATATAACGGGATGCAATATCTAGAATGCAAAATGTGAAATTGGTTAATGTATGTTAATCACATTTCCGACAGTTCTATGTCGTGTTAGTCACTATGCGAACTATGTTAGCGGCGGTTCTCAGCGCCACGATCCGGCGGATTCTGAATCGTGACGCGTTGTAATAGAGTGCACTTTAGAACGGATCGCCTTTCGCGACGTGATCAACAGACCCGGACTGAGAGGCGTTATACGGCGGATTGTGAATCGTGACACCTTGCAATAAGGTGCACTTTAGAACGGATCGCCTTCTGCAGCGTATCATCGGGCCCGACCTGAGGGGCACGACCCGACGGATTATGACTTCTCACGCTTTGTAATAGAGTGCACTTTAGAACGGACCGCCTTTCGCGACGGGGTCAACGGGCCCGTCAGTAAGTGTGCGTGTTTGGGGAAGCAGAAGGGCGGGGGGCGCGGGGCGTAGCAAAGGATACAACTTACCTGTGAGGCTCTTGCGCTGGGTCGACTTCCGTTGCTGCTTTTTAGCTTCTACGCTCACGCATCCCGTTATCCGATCGTTATGCGTTTTTTTTATTATCGCCCCAACGAAACAAGCATACACATTTATCACAACGGGCACCAGATTCGTATCGTTGCGTGCCACGACACCATGCACCATCGACAACAGTTACACGATGCAGTTTTAAATGTGTACGATTTTTGTTGTTGTTGTTGGAGTTTTTTTTATATGGGTGGTATTTTTTTTTGTTTTAGATCGTTCGTCGGCGGCATGGATGTGGGTGTGCGGCAGGCCGGGGGCAGGGGTGGAGGAAAAAAAAAAGTCGGATGTCATTGATAGGGTCCATACTAGATCGGTCGTTGGTGGTCGAGAGCTATGGGGTGGGTTGGAGCACAGCGAACGGTCGCGTCGTTGTATCGTATATCGATTGGACCCTTGTGAGATGGCCAAACATTAAGACGCTATATAGTCGTTTTCAATTAAGTATAATAAAGGGGATTACTACAAACATTAGATTGCATTGAATTCAATATCTTGCAAACAAACTAAAACGTTTGCTGCGATTGAGTTGGGAGTTTGATACTTAAGTATATGTAAATAAGAGCCATCGATACGTGATTACCTACGGACGCGACCGTTCGCAGGCCTTCTGGAAGGTTCAAATTCGGAACGTCGACGAGATTATTTTATCCGGGACACGCTCACGGCTTACATTTAAACATAAACGGGTCGGCGTGGATTGGGCGGGAACTGCTCAAGCGCTATCCCGATGACAATTGAATATCATCCTTAAGCCATTACGTTAAGGCTGACAATTTAATGCGATAGATTATTGGACTCCGTATCTTTCAATTCAAGTTCGGTCGCTCGAGCTGTTCCCGCGCATTCTGCACTGACCGACTCAACATGAAAACTAAACGAGATACGAGCCAATGTACCATGCTGCCCACGAGGCACGAACGATGCAGGCATATTAGTCAAACACATAGGTGGGAAAGAGAGAGAAAACAATCACGAACAACGACTAACACGTTGCACCACGACCCCGAAGCGAAACACGCGACCTTGTCCACGCATAAAATAATCTCACGCCCGCCGGTATAAACTGGTAGATGCCTCAGTGGAATTTGTATCTTAAACACACATCAATACAGTTCACTTTTCTACCAATTTCACCGTATCAATACTTCACCTACTAGGAGTGCGGTGGCTCAATGGCATGGGGGTAAACATTCTTCATGGGTGGTAACACTAATATGCAACTAAGCATCAGACGGTACAGTGCTCATTTAGACCTTAGCTATAGGATTTTTAAAGTTACAGTATACGCAATATGGCCTATTTTTATTTGTCAGTATATATTAGAACATTTACAGTTCAAGTGCTATTGCCGTCTACTTTTACACCAAAGTTGGCTATTTAAGGCCCATTTACACGATGCCATTTTCTTGTACATGCAAGAGCAATAATTGAATGCAATAAATTGCGCGCAATAATTGGTTAGACCATTTGTTGTTTAGACCATGCAACTTATTTATTGCTTCAATTTAATTGTATACAACAGGCAAGAAACTGGCACCGTGTAAATGGGCCTTAACGCCTACTTTTTTTTAAGTTGAATACAATTGACACTAGACTAAATGAGCAAAGTAATCCATCGAACAACACTAAACTAGAGATCTGCAATGTTCTATTGGGATGGGACATCCTCTCCGTGGTATTAAATATCTACGATTTAGTGACGTCATAATTTTTGAACGACTTAAAAAAATATAAACGGGTCTAGGAATTCTGGATGCGACTGTACGGAGAGGGTGACCCTTGACTAATGGGACATCACTAGTGGCTACGGCGGCATTACAAAGCGGGGGGTCACTGACCTTTCTTCATCTGCTTTATCTCCTTCTCTTGCTTGTCCACGGCCGCGCCGAGGAGAGTGAAGATGATGCCCGCTTGCGAGTTCACTCCAACCGCCGTCACCAACATCTTGCCGGAGCCTGCAAATTGTGTAACACGTTAAGTGTGTGTTGACTTATGTAAAAAAAGTAAAGTAAAAAAAAGTAAATTATGTACAGGATAATCCACTGCTGGGCAAAGGCCGCCTCTGTGCAGTGTGTATTAGGGTATAGTCTACCACGCGGTTTGGTGGTTATTGTTCTTATTGGCTCTTTAACTGTCTTCCTTCACCGTTCAACACTTAAAATTAACAATTTCATTGATGCCGCTACCGGGATTTCATCTAAAGTTACTAGAATTTTGTGTATTAAATAGAAAGCGAGCGAGGACACTGAACTATCACGACGGTGACTGTAATAATAATAAACAATATTAGTTAACCTTTACGGTTAAATTATATTGTTTGTTACTATTACAGTTCAACGTCTTGGGATTATATATATGACGATTATTCTCGAACAACTTACATTGTTGCTTTTCAAATAGACAGAGATAAAGCGGAGACAAGCGAACGACCTGGTAGTGTGGTTATACAGCGTGTCGTTACCATCGCGACAATAAATGAACACACATATAGGGGATAACTTTTTAAAGTTGTATTAAACATTTAAATTCTATAAACATCAATATTTACAGAGTTATAAAATTTTCCAAAACAAAGAATTTTAGAACACCCTTACCTATAAAAACGTAAAGTTCATTTGTAAAGGTCACAAAGAATATGAATGGGTTGAATGAATTTAAAACAGACAAAACATGCTGTTAGAAGGAGAGGCTTGTAATACGACGCTGTGGCGCGAGTTGTATAGGATGTTACAAATTTTGTTTCTTTTTTACTTATTTAGTTTGTTTGAAAAATATTTTTTGTAATCAGGAATTTTGTTTAAAGTTAATATTTTTTTTATGATTATTGGCAAGTAGCGTTAGACGTGTGTACATTTATTGTCGCGATGGTAACGACACGCTGTATATGACGCTGACATTAAAAGTATGAATTATTTGCTTTCAAAAAGCAGTGTCGTTTCCACACATACGGTCAAAGTTTGAAAGCAATGTTCATTTGTAATACGTCAATTTTGGATTTAAAAGTATTATGAACGAAAATATAGAAACTGGTCGAATAAATTCTAAGGAGACAAAATCGTGAGAGACCTCGTCGCGACTTAACATTTTTTAGGTTTAGGACATTTACATTTTTTCATTTTTGACATTTTTTCAAAATATTTACAAAACAAAATTACAGAGAAAATGCAAAAACTATAGCTTAGTGGACTAATAATAATAAAGATGAAATACAAGGCAGTTACAAAAAAAAATAGATAAGAATTTACGTACCTTCCATAACGTGAGTACCGGATAGCACCATGGGATCAAAAGATTCACCCTTCTTGACATGGTCCGATTCGCCGGTGAGTGATGACTCGTCGATCTGCAAGCAATAGAACGAAGATTGGGATGCTGCAGGACAACATAATTTGAAGTACTTTTAGGCTAGAATGCATGTATACATGAAGTGTGCGTATGAATTTAAGGTAGGCTATGCCCCTTTGTTATAGCAATGTTGCATTGACGTTGTTACTGCTGTAGCTGCCTAAGAAACGTTATAGTTTTATTTAGGTAGCTCGGCACGAGTAGTTCTGGATTCTAGGACTTCTTTTCCAACATAAATACCAATAATCTCCACGAAATTAATGTAGTGCGATTATCATTTCAATCCGTTGAATATATTCGAAAGTTATAGCATAAGTAACGGATTAGAAAACTGCTACTAGTTTACGATCTAGATTTAGATTTATTTAACTAATTTTAGATCGTCTCGAAACCATACACCAAGTACATTTTTGTTAACAAAAAGACAAAACCGAATTCAAATATCTCGCTCACGTACACAGATAGTAAACATAAAAGAAATCGAATAGAGAGCATCCTTTAAAAGAGATTTTATGTTGATTTTGGTAAAAACCTCTAGGCGGATTTCGATAAAATTTAAATGGCTCCACCTGGGATGTATCACTCCACCTATGACCCTTTGAAACAATAATGAATTTTCCAAATCGGTTCAGTCGTCTTCGAGTAATCGATGAATGTACATGAAAAAAAAATAATCTGACGAATTGAGAACCTCCTTCTGTTTTGAAATCGAAAAAGAATAATCAGTAAGCGCTACTCATGTTTGGGGCCGAGGTTACGATTGTCATTGGGAAATCAAGGTAAATATGCCGCATTGAACGCGACAGACAAACAAATATCGATAAGATAGAAACGCCGCATTGTGTTGAGCTATTAAACTGCTTACTAAATACGCTTCTATATTCACATCTTTATTTACTGTTCCATGTGTTGTGATGACGTCGCAACGCGTTGCGTAATAACTGATAAGTCACTGTTAGAGGTACTGGTGACAGCTGTTGCAACGTTAGGAGTATTATTACTATTGCAGCAGGTGTCAGAATGATGCACAAACTTTCGATAGGGATGGCGGAACGGCGGTTTGTGGCGAAACATTTTAAGGAGGAAGTGATTACTGGAGACGGTAGAATTCGTCGGCGACAACCCTAATTTAATAGAATTAGCGATAGAGTGATTAAGCCAATTACGGCCGCCCCATACGGGCTCACACACACACATGTAGACGCGTGCGTGTGCGTGTAGTGTATTACCGATGCAATAAAAAATAGGATGGTTTCATAGATGTGTTCTGCGTAATACAAAAATGGTCATACTAATAATTCTTGTTCAATTTCGACTTGATGCTATTGTAAATCGTAGTTAGGTATTTGTTATAATCGTGTAAGCTAGAATAGACCTGAGAGGTCGGAGTGATCACACCAAGTTTATTCGCGTGCGACTGTTCTCTGTCAAACATTTTAATTAAATAAATATAACGCCTTTTCTCCGCGACAGTACAAGAAAACTCCAACTGCAGCTTTGGCTTATTAGAAAGTGTTTTTCTCTATTCAAATCGTATCGCCTCTTATCTGGGTAATCGGCGACGCGCCCATGTTCATATGCTTCGGCAGGTGGCAATAATATCTATATTCGCCCGATATCGGGTCGCTATCGCCTCCGCGTGCGTCAGAGGCGCACGGGGCGTTGGTTAATCGAAAGATAAAGACGCCCATTTATTGGCTTATCGGCCCGGACACGCGGCCGTGTTTGTTTTGTACTGACGCGTCGAGTGGATGCGCCGCAAATTGTTTCGTGCAGTACACGGGCGTAGGGTTGGCGGCTTTGAGATGTATCGATATAAATGATTTCTATATTATCGATTGAGATTTGTCAAAAGAGTAACAATCGTGCCTTCTCTTGTAGGGATGGGGGAATAATGCAGGTTACGAGTTCAGTTATTATGTTTATTTGATTTACACGGGGTTTACTGGATGACACTTGGAAATGGGCTAATTGATTATTAAAATACTAAATGAACTAAAATTTATGTTTTTTTAGAAATTTATTTTTTTATAGTGCTAATCTCTGCACTAAATATTAAACATTAAAATATTCACACGTTTTTGGGATTCGCGTCCTGACGCTCGAGCCGCTGAGCTAAACGGCTGATTGCCACACCCTAGTGTTATACCAATAATTTTATGCACCGTGCTGAGTCTGCATTAACTGGGGTTTATTTATTTACCATATGTTAAATACTAATGATAATGATAATAACTAACTAATGATCTTTTAAATAGTTAGGAAAGGTCACCTTGAGGTCGTTGCTCTGCAGCAGGATGCCGTCCGCCGGTAGAAGGTCTCCATACTTGATCTGGCAAATGTCGCCAACCACGATCTCGCTGATGGGCACTTGGTTAACTTCGCCGGCGCGTATCACTGCGAATTTGTGTTCGCCCTCTATCCTCGATTGAAGCCCTCTGAAATTTGACAAGCATTCGTGCTTATTCGAACAAATCAATACATTCATGATGCCAATTGTTTACATCTAAAAAAATACCACCTCAATGCCTTTGCTACAGTTAAGTGTCTCTTCATCTTCAGTGACAGAGAGTTAAATACATCAAAGGTATAAAAAGTAGGCGAATCACCAAAGAGTTTTAACCTACGTCCAAATATCTTTTTACGGACCTAAGCATAAGATTCAAGGATATATATTGACTTTTACTTTAACATCAATATATTTGACTGACATCTTTAGCTCAACACCATTTTCTTGACATTTCTATTAACATATAGTACTGTATACGTCCTTTACCAATAAATATTTGTAGCGTATGTTCTCATACGCTCATAAAGATATTTAATAAAATCAACTGCATACCCGTTCTTGCTGAGTAACAAAGCGGTCATATGATAGTCGAACTCAGATCTTGAAGTTTTAAATGCCAATGTTTCTGTACAAGAACACTAGACTGCAGTGAAAACGTTGAATTTGGATTTTGTTAAGTTGTTGTTGCTAATTTTAAAGTATTAAATATAAACTGGCTACTGGTAGTACCTCATCGGGTGGAGATTAAAGGCAGGAGGGAGCGAGAGGTGTTTACTCCCCCCGACTGCTTTACATCAAATATGTAATAATAAAAAATAATAAAACAACTATGAATACACAAAATAGTTTTGGTTTTTGTTTGTGCAAGTCTCACCTGAATTGTCTCTCTTTCGTGTAATCGTTGAACGCTGTGACTATGACGACAACTATGACGGATATTAAGATAGCCAGACCTTCGATCCACTGGTAGTGGCCCTCCTCCTCGTCCAGGTGGCCTGGAACACGTGACAGATGCCTTATCCTCTGCAGACATTGTTGCTAAAATGTTCAGACTCCAGGCCGGACCAGCGAAAAAATATGCAGTAGTTCAGTGAAAATGCTATGTTTATAGGCCAAGGTTTTTATAATTTGTTTTATATTGCCTTTTAAAAAAGTCATAAAAACCTAAACTCGTATAAAAATATGTTGTGTGGAAAATATGCTTCGATGGAAATTGTGAGAATGTGGGGTTGATTTGTTTAAGGGGTTACGTCATATAGTTAGAATTATTTAATTTAATTCCGATCATATTACACAACGTTATTTGGTCCCAAAACTAAGGAAAGCTTGAACTATGGGTTTGTTCGGTGATAAATATACTTTTCATTGTAAATACATATACATTATACATATTTAAGCACCTACGTGTTAGAAAAACAATATGTGAGTCACACAATATTATTCCAGTAGTGGCATTGTCACACAATGTTAAAAATATTACAATTTTTGTACGCGAATGTACTTACGAAATAATTTTCAGTAGCTTAACAATAAAATAAAATATTTAGTCTAATCCATTTATAATACAAAATAATCTTTAGTCGTTTTTTTTATTATATTATTAGATGCGTTCAATTAAAATAAAAAAATTGTAAACATTGAAAATTTCTTATTGCATTAGTTAAAAGTAACATATTTAAATTCCCATTCAGCACATATTTTCAATACCAATCGCATGCATAACCATCTCGCTTATAGGATGTTTTAACGAAGATAAAATTGGACGTTACGAATTGTTTATAACAAATGTGAACGTACTAGAATAATGGAATAACTAATGCATAGGTGGAAGGCGTCAATGCACCAGGTTCAATTAATTGAATAACAAGGAAAGAAATCGATTTGCATTCGCCGAATAGTGGATACGACACTAGTATTGCTAGTTTCGAGTCTCACGATGCAACACCATACATAATGCGAATTCGATTATCGAATAGATGCGATTTACGTTATGAGCCCTGCGCTGCTCGCATAGATTACACAAACGAACGGCTAAGGGTTGTCCGCCGTCTCCACCGCGCGCGTGGTGCGCGAGTGAGACGGCGAACCGTTATTCAATTATGATTTGCCTGCTGTGACCCCGATCCGATAAGGAAGGTGTCATAGGATTTAATGCTTTAATACGAAGGCGTGGGTCAATTGGTATTGGTTATCGGCTAAATTGTGGGGTGATTTGACACACTGGACATTGTTAGCACTGTTAAAGTAATAAAAATAAATTTGATATTAAATAATTTAGTGGCTTTACTGAATGAATTAAATACGTGACATTTTATTATGTTACTTGTACTTATTTAGGGCTTTTTAGGTGTCTAGATTAACAATATATTTAGACGTAGTTTTAGACCAAATATTAAATCTAAACACAGCTAAACACAACACACAGACGGACAAACATCGCCGCTATCTATGTTTGCTAAACTATCCGTAAGCGAACTAACCAGTGGAGGTAAGACGGGTGCGTTGGGTGTGCAACCGATAGACCACGTGGCCAGTACTCAAGGGGACAAGCAACTAAACCAATAGCATGCCCTAACGCCATGATTCCTCGAACTCCATGTACAGCCTTTGTCCAATAATAATTATTGTAATAATGCAAAAAACAAAAACACTTCAAATAAAGATTCCTTAGACAAAACAGTAAAGGAAACTAAAGATGAAGATTGTGTTGTAACGTACACGAACGAAGCCATTCGATCTAATTATAAAGAAAGTTTTGCTTCTGTCTGCCCTAATAATGTCATTAAAGCAGATGAAGAATTTCCCCGTTCACACGCAGTGGTGATTGGAAATGCTATCCAGAATTCATAGGGTTAAGTCTGATGAAACGACGAGTATGTCGCCGTAACCGAAAAACTGCAACCGCTTCGTGCACTCTGGTACATTTCCAACCGGTTGAGCTTGGCACCAAATAGACTACTGACTACAGTAAACAAGATAGATGTATTAATAATTAAAGTAGAGATTACTCAAACGTTTTTCTCAATTCCCAAAAGCCCGTTCCGAGGCAATGCCCCGACATTCTCAAAATAAAAATTTAACAGGAACCGCTTCCCCGGGGCGAGAGCCTTCAATTATTCAAGGAGACGCTGAATACACTAAGCATTACGTGCTGTTCGAGAAAACAGCCAGTAGCAAATAAATGTATACCTTTGCCTAAGTTCTACATCCTCGATTTGCGACATAAAAACATTATGGATTTTACGCGTCGTAAAACGGAGCGACGTAGAACAATTTATACGCGATGCACGAGATCGAAGAATCATGGCCACTCAAATTCACGAATAAACACAGATTAAAGAAAATAAAATAAGGAAAAGTCACACGCAGTTTAATATCGATTCAGTTGCATTCGTACAGAATATAGGAGATTTTTGAAAAATATCACATTGCAACAAGAAAATCGATATTCCAATGAGCTTGAGTACTATCTTTATATAACGAGCAGGTAAAGTGTTTACAAATCATTAAAAAAAATCAATTTTTGTTCTTACCAACATCGTCTACCAATTCCAAATTGTTATTGAAAAGAGAAAAGCAAATTATTAATATATGGTCGAAAGGACAATACAATTACTGTTACTTTGTATAATACTACGCTAAAGTTTTATCAGTTACGATCAAAATGACATATAGAAAGTCAGGAATATCCAGTTTTGACCATCTAATTTATGTAGACACCAGATACTTACCCAACTAATTATAGTACCAGCATGTTTCAAAAGTACTTAATCTAATAGATTTTGATTTAAATAATGATGCTCGAATGAATCTGGGATGAATATTAATTTATGAAACAAAGCTGATGAACTAACAACAGGAAAACCATTAAAATTTGTTGTTTCGATTTGAACCGTAGTAGTATTACTATAAGATTCGATTTCGGCAAATCTGAGCCAATTTATTTGATACTCCCCCAATAGTATTGCACACTTAATACTATCACCTTTATCATCTCAAAGGGACAATACAGAACCAATTTATGCCCTTTTACACTGAAAATGAGCGAAGCGCGGAGGGGATCGACATAATGGGCTCTCTGGTAGGAGCTGAATTGGTCGATCCTTAAAGGTTTTCCCCTTAAACCTTTTGACTCTGTGTTCGTTTCATGCTCTGTTACCTTACAACTTACTATTATGTCTTTAGGTAGATTTTAACTTTATTTAATACAAGTACACTAAACATCTCACTATAAACAATCTGCTGTATTAACAGTTAGTACACGGCAACAATTGCCTTTTCTTTAAAAAAATGACTTTAATTCCTTATTATTACGATATATATGGATATTGGTGAGAAACCCGTAACGACAATAAATCCGGGGCAGAGTGGGGGGAAGAGAATTATCAGTTATGAACGGGCGGATAGAGGGCGCGCCGACCAAAGCCTCGGGCTAATTTCCACCGATTTCCATCGGATAATGAGTTCGAAGCTCGAGTCTATTTTTACGGCGCTCGATCCCATCGGCGCGCCTGGCCAGCGTCGGACCGTTTGGCGCGAACACGGCCGCGTTGTCAACAAAACATTTCTTAAGATACAACCTAATGCGTCTAACTAGGTAAATGTTACACCCAAAATGTAAAATAATGCATTGATATAGCGACATTTTTCGATATATCTCCATCATTTATCATATACTGGTGGCGGTCAGTTTACGCTTGGTGATACAATTTTTAAGCGGTCTATATAACTGACAAAGAATGATCACGAATGACTTTCATTCGGATAAATAATGATCGCAAAAGAGCGATTTTCTTACGGAAATCTCACATACCGACATCGCTCTCATCTTCGGACGGCTTGTAGAAACTTAATCCCAGCGAAACCACAGCGGCCACCTCCAGGATGATAAGAGTGACGTCCTGCAAGGCCTCCCATACCAAGGTTAGGAAGGTCTTGGGCGGCTTCGGCGGGATCAGATTCGAACCGAACACCTCGCGCCTGTGTTGCTGGTCTGCTTTAGAACCGCTAAGACCTGGGGACAAAAATGATTTTCCGTTATCTTATCTGTCTCATTCCAAGTACATATTTATTTGTTCTAATGTTTAATCTATTTTACCTAATCTAGTAGGGAATATTTGAAAATTTTCCTAATTACATAACACAATAACAATTAGTTGTAAGAATTCCGTGTGTATTACGAACGGTATACTGCGGATTGTAAGGAACATAATGGACTCCGATAAGCCCGCACGCATAATACCATATCCGATTGGCTATAATCAGAATCATATTAGCGGGAGGTCGTATAAGAACGAATCTGGTTCGTTCTATTACTACCTTCCCTAGTACGCGATTGGCAATTACGGATCGTGTAACGAAATAACATCGCCTTCAGCCGTTCATTATTGGATATTATGCTGTGACAAAAGTAAAGCAACTATGATCCTATGGAGGTCTTGTTCATTGGCGAAAGAAAAATGTCACGGGGTCACTTAGGTAGAGTTTCAATTGAGATGAAAACCTTAAATCAGCTTACCTTAAAAAGGTCTGTCGGTTTATCATATTTACTACAAAAAAACATATCAGCCTGCTGAAAGAAAACTTGATATACGTATGTATACGGTAACGTAACGCGGTTGACAAAAGATAACGTGATGCAAATTCTTCTAAGCTGTCGGCTCTTCAATCGCATTACACGCATTCGTAGACGATAATTGGTACGCGACTGATACAGTGCTAATTCTAAAACCGTTTTTGTAAAGTTGAAGTATTTATTATACTCAGGTTCAGTGAGTGAGGCGGAATCCAATAATACTTTTAGTTCTTTCCAATAAAACGTTTTTGGTTGACGCGTTTGCAATACCGCAGGCGCTGTGAATAATGTCCAACAGCGGTAATCCTTATCATCACGAGCATGGGTAAACCATCAGTTGCCACCATTTGATATAAAAAAAATCTACGCATATTTACAATGAATACAAGCAACTACTTCACTCGAACACACCAAATATCCGAGGGCGATGAACCAGCTCCCGCGTGCCGACTGTCAAACGGACAAACAATCAAAGGGGGCAGACGCTAAAGCGATCGGTTTACTGTTTGTATGTTTGTGTTATTGCGAATCGGCAACGCTGTACCGCACGGGCCGGTAGCCTTTTAACGGCCCCGTTAGAACGATGCGCGGCTCTTTGATGTTTTATTTTGATACAACAAGCACGGCGTGACTTGTGGAATATAAATGGAGCTCCCTTGGGATTATGCTGAGACTTCCACGTTACGCCAATTGATCGTAGGAAATTTTTCCTTTAATTTAATCTGCTGCGTCCGTGTGTATATATCATAGTTTCTATCTGTTTCGAAGAAACAGCTTAAAACCTGATTGAAAAGGTGTTAATTATAATTAACTTTGCGAAAATTTAAGTTTTTTGTTCTTATAAGCATTGCCTTTACTCTAGGATAATATAATCCTGTTGTAAGGAAGTTTTACAAACATAAATTTCAAGTGGACAAACACTCAGATGCGAAACAACTATCTTTGGGTCACGCAAATAGTTGTCCCGTGTAGGAATCGAACCCACGATCCCCGACGCTGAAGTCAATACCTTTCCAATTGCGCCACGGAGTCATAAGTGAAACCGTACATACGTGCACATACGGCATATATTTGGGCGAACTCTTTACTATTTGCCATTGCAAGCTGACAAACACTGAAAACCACAAGATTTAATCCCCACACGGAACAGAAAATTGTGTACTCGATAAAGTTAATGGTTGTTCCGCAGACAAACACTGAAAACCACACGATTTGATCCCCACACGGAACAGAAAATTGTGAACTCGATAAAGTTAATGGTTGTTCCGCAGCACAATACGGGTGAGTTAATTTCCGTCTTCAAGACTGATGTGAGGCAGAAATTATTACTTCATGACTACGCATGATTCGTTTGGAAAAAAAATACACGCAATTATTTCAAGTCCTTTTGAACTATACCTGTTACCACAGATGTAAATCAACACGCTTAAAGTGTATATTGCCATATATCCGCCTTTGCCGAGGTATTTTTTATTTCACGCATATACCAAGCCGTGACTCATGTTCGATTTAACCGTATCGCCGAATCATATTTCAATGTGAAACCATTCAGAGTTATTCATTAACGCGCATCCAATAACTAACGAGAACGTTGTTAGGTGCATAGATTATTTGCGATATCATTATGTTACTGCAACGGGGCTGAGTGAGCGAGCTAATGCGGTTCGATGTGTTTGCAGTTTGGCTAACGGCCAGTGGAACGATCTTGCCTGAATCAATGTAACTTATAAACTTTACCATATCGGTGTATTAACGTCGAAAGAAAAACCCAGCTTGTAGCCACACAGCAGATTTTGATGTTACAAGAATGCCAGTAGTAAAAGCTAGTATTTCGAGATGATATGTCTGATATGTGTGTACAATGATATTATGTATAACACATATTATGACTCATCGTTTGTCCTATTGGTCCGGTCGAACGATTGTATATTTGTACTAGCGACCCGCCCCGGCTTGTAAGCAATGTATTATACATATAAACCTTCCTCTTGAATCACTCTATCTAGTAAAAAAAAAGCATCAAGATCCGTTGCGTAGTTTTAAAGATCTAAGCATTCATAGGGACAGACAGACAGCGGGACGACTGTTTTATACTATGTAGTGATTAGTATGGCAGTCCTCGTCAGTCAGTATATCTTTTTAGAGTAAGAGAAAGCCGCTTACTTATCACTTGCCAGTTCATTCGATATGAGATTGAAAAAAAATTAAAAGATAAGGAACGTGTGACGTAACGAGATGGAGCCAGAGCCGAAAAAGCAGCTAGTCAACTCGTCGCCTATTTTAAATTGCGGAAACATCATTCCGCGGCGTTAACAGCGTCAAACGTGCAATTCACGGGGGCAGGAAATACGAGAATAGATCCATAACCGTGGAGCCGTAGTGGTGCCGTTGAACGGGGATTACTCATGGCATAGACGGCGTCACTTTTCACTCGAAACCGATGTCGAAACGGAGCGCGCAGCCGGTTCGTGTCTTCACGACTGTACACTTCTTAACGGTTTTTAGAACCAAAGAAAAGCTGCCATATAGTGGTGTTGAGTTATTTTTTTTATTTTATACTTACAGCTCTCGCAATACTGAAATGCATGCGCGTACCTTAATTGCAATAGTAGTGTGGACGCAACAGTGCGTTCGCAAAACTATATTGCAAAATTATTCGCGACTGTACCCCAGACAGGGATGGCGAAAGAAAACGACTTGAAATGCCGCGCGAAAGAGTGGGCAATAGTCTCCCAGCACAGCGTATGTAACCACTCAGAAATCTATCCAATGGCCGAACATAAGAGCTGCGTAAATTACGAGCTCCCTTGCAGTACAAACACCACAAAATAAACAATCACAAATAACTGTTTCTAACAACATCACTGTAATAGTTTTGATAGGTTAAAACATTCAATGACAACACTTATACCGCAGAACTAACTACTCACCGACGTATTCTAGAAGTGTCTAATGATTGTGACATTGGAAATCTTCAATCGATCGGCAACTTCGCGGACGGTTCATAAACAATTCAAAGTTGAGCTTAACCTAGTCGTCACTGAAAATAAACCCGAAGGCTAAATCCACTAAAACATAGCAAATGTTTGAACTCCTAACGGCAGGAGTGATTGACTATGGACGGCAACAATACGGATCTATACCTGATCGTCTGAGTTACAACAATTTTGCACTCTCGGATTGTAAGATTGCTCAATTAGGGAAAAGCTTCAGAAAACAAAGCACCACTACGTTTACCCGCTGATTTAAATTACATATTTACTTACTTCATACAAAGATTCGGATGGACTGTTTAAAGAATGATATGTCTGTAAAAGGGGTGAGTATTGGGATAACGGCTGATACAGGAAAGTGGTAGGAAAGAACGCGTTATGCCGACCCCACCTAGTGTCGGATAAAGGCAGGAGAAAGAAGAAGAAGACAACTAGATACACATTCATATGTATCCAGCAAAGTATGAATCACTTACCCCTAATCAACAAATTATTTATTTATTAATATTGTCACAGTCACAGAGATCATACATTACCTACTTATACAGCGTGTCGTTACCATCGCGACAGTAAATTAACACACGTCTCACGCTACTTGCCAATAATCATAAAAAAATATTAACGTTAAACAAAATCCATAACTAAAAGAAATATTTTTCAAACAAACTAATTAAGTAAAAAAGAAACAAAATTTGCAACATCCTATACAACTCGCGCCACAGCGTCGCATTACAAGCCTCTGCTTCTAACAGTATGTTGTCTCTTTTAAACTCATTCAACCCATTCATATGCTTTGTGACCTTTACAAATGAACTTTACGTTACAGTTTTATACGTAAGGTTGTTCTAAAATTGTTTGTTTTGGAAAATTTTATAACTCGGTAAATATTGATGTTTAAAGAATGCAAATGCTTAATACAATTTTAAAAAGTTATCCCCTATATGTGTGTTCATTTATTGTCGCGGTGGTAACGACACGCTGTATACATAACAGAACATATGATATTATTCATAATACTTGCAGCGAACAGGGCCGAAATTTATTGGCGATAAATCTGCGAACGACAGCTTAAAAGTGATACGTGACACGAGTACGAGCAAGTGTTTAAGATGCGCGGGTAGTAAAATTGTATATTATATGCATTTTGCATATATATAAAACGCATAGTTAAATCTTTACGTACAATCGATTTGATGGAAAATTCCCTAGTATGTCCGCGTTATCTTTGAAATGTTGTCAAATAAGAAGTTGGCGAGGGTACTGAAATATTATTATCAGAGAAAATATAAATGACTACAAGTAATAGTCAGTGCCTAATATTATATGAGCTGGCGGTTCACCTAATATAAATGATAATATAAGTGATAAACCCCGCCTGTGGACATTTCCGTTGAGTTGCAGATGGATTGCCACCTTTTAATAAACTGGGCCCCGGTTATCTCACTC